ATTTAATCATGAGTTTATGAAAATATAAAAGATGATAGTGAATCATCATTAATAAACTAACTATAATAATTTAGTTGGCAATATTTACTTTAACTTTTGTAAATTGTTAAAATTAATCATAGTAATTTAATTTCCAAATTAAATTTAACTTTATTTAAACTATTAATTTAATAAATCTAATTCTTTTTATTTAGAGTAAGTTTCGTTATTTTATTATTATTCGTTGGGATCCCCTTGTTATATCTATATTTCTTTTAACATAGATATTAAATTTGAATTTAATTCTTAAGAATCTTTTTATGTAAGATCTTATAGATATTGTTAGAGAAGCTTTTCACTTTATTCTATAGCTTAAGGATTTATTGTATCTCCCAATTTTTCAAGATCCATAATTAATTATGTAAATTAATCAAATTTAGTAATCTATTATTTTTAAATTAATACTTTTTTCAATTCATCTTTAATTTTTTATTTCATATCTAGGAAATTATTTAAGTTTTATTCTATTTCTTCATAAACATCTTCTAGCTACTTTTAAATCTTAGTAATTTAATTTTTCAAATCCATAAGAACACCATTCATTTTTTTATCATTCTATTTATCTAAATCAGTCAAATATTCCTTAACCTCAGAAGACAAATTCAGCTTAGATAGGAAATATTCAGGTGACTTTAATGCCTTTCATATTATATAATGAGATAATACATTCTTGATATGGATTAAGTCTTATAATTTATTTGATTCTAAACCTATAAAACATTCATCACAGACATATTCTGTTTTATTTTTATCAAATCTAATAAATAAAATCTATTATCCTTCATGTTTATAACATGGAATTTTCATTTTCTATTAAAATTATTTATAAAATAAATATGGAATTATGTGTATAATATTTTAAAAATTATTATCTTTTTAATTCTGAATTGTTTTTAACTTTTAATTAATGTAAATTAATTATTACTTTTTTATATTAATATCAATCATATTTTATGTTTTACAGAAAAATATAAATATGAATTTGATTAATGATTCCAAACCATTTGTTTTAATTTAAGAAAAGGAATTTTGATTATTATTGGTATTATTTATACTTTATAACAATAACTAGATAATAAGTAAATAAATTTTAATGTCCCAAACAATTAAAATTTTATCGAATCTATCATTTGTTTTCAAAAACTTTTTAATGATTTAAAATCCTTATTTTATAATTATATTAATTTTCTATTAGATACATAAACATTAAATAAGTCAGTTAGACAACTTTCATTTGATAAATGTTTCCTAATAGATTATAAAATATTTTTATACTAATCTAAAGTGTCTTGAATAACTTACATTCATTAAATATTATTCTAGTATTTTATTTATTATACTGCATATTATCTTTACTATTTTGATATATTTTTAAATTTAAATATTATTTTGATGATCAGATTTAAATTAATGTTCACCTTTAATTTTTAATTATCATGATATTTGGATTCAAACAGTTTATTTTTTAAATAATGTATAATATAATTTAGATTATTAAATTGCAGAATTTCTGAATCTCAAAATTAGTTTTTTGATTAATTACTCTTCAATTACTTATATTAAAATGAATTTTTAAGATTATAGTTCGAATTAATTGCATCAATCATTTTATCATCAATGAATTTATCTAACTCAAATAAACATTATTTAATAAATTAAATTACAAGTGGTCAATTAAAAAAGCTTAAAATAAGTATACCTTATATCCTATTCTTTCATTTCACATTAAAGTTTGTGGAGTCCTTAGGTTCAATTACATTCATTCAATAAAAGAAAGCGATATTCAGTGTTATAGATTATTTTAAAATGTTGTAAGCTTAATAAAGCTATATTTTCTAATTATTTTGAATAGATTTACTAAAATTGTCTGCTTTTTAATTAACTATGTCAATTATAAAAATGCATCAATCAAAATATTATAATAAATTCAAGATCAATTTCTTGAAGATATTCTCATCCTTCAATCTTTAGTGATTATATTATAGAGAAGGAGCAATATTTGATATCATATAAATGATAACAAGATATTTTAAGTAAAATTATGAAGAAATAGAAAAACATTTTAATATAATTTTATCCTCTTATTCGTGAACAAGTTAAATATGATAATTGCTTATTTTAATAAAGAGTTAAATTAATTTTGAACACTTAAAATTCATAAGAAATTGTATTTTTTATGTTAATGCTATTTATTATAGCCGAATCTTCAGCTATCCACTATTATTGTACTTATCAAGTGAGATACATTTGGCTAAATGAAAAAGATTAATTGTCTATAACTTTTCATTAAGGCTAAATTAGGTACCAATCAAGGTTTTAATTATTGATTTTTTATAAATTTCAAATATGGTTCATAATTACATCAAATTAATTTCTATATTTTTTTTTTATTTTCTATTCTTTGAAAAAATTCCATCCACAATTTAAATTTCAGTTAAAACAAAAATGGCCATTAATTTTCCTTACGATTCTGAGATATTATAAAATTTCTAGTAATACTTATATAACTAATTTCCTCTTAATTTAAATTTTAAATAAGATAAAGTTAGAATTTTAATGAATCGATTAATCTTTTTACACTTTTTATTTAATCAATATGTAAATATCATAATAAATTATTTTAACTTATTTTCATTAACTAAAATTACCTTATTTATTTAAAATTTTAAATGCACCCTTCAACCTTCTTTGCATTAAAATAAAAATATATAGCAACTATATTATTCAAAAATCATTTTCTATACATAATCAATGTAAAATAGATATTCAAATACTAAATATCCTTATTCTCACTTAGAGTATTTGGAAAAATAATGAATTTATAAATTAGGAATTTAAATAAATTAACATTCTATTCAACCATTCTTATAATCAATGATCTTTTATAATATTATATTGTTTCATTTTCGGTTAATTCTAACATAAGATTAAAGATATTATAAGGTTAGTCTGAGCCTATTTCTAATATTGTATCCTATATGTTTAGTTTCTCTATAAGATTAGTTAAATTTTAGCCAATACCTAAAACTTGATTTAATTGTGGAATTCATTTATAAAACCAAACTTTGATATGTGGTTACCTTAATCCATTAAATAGTGTGTAATAAATTTAAAAATATAAAATGGTTTTAAATTATAGAAATAATCTTAAGAGTATTTCTATATGTTAAAATAATATCAAATATAGTATACAAATAGGTATTGGTGTGGAATTAATTCATGTCAGGAATGAGAATGAAAAAAAATCTTTTTAAATGGATATTTTCTTTGACATTTTTATATAATTATAATTATTTATTATGTTAGAAATATATTTTATATAATTAATAATTAAAGATATAGTATAGTTATTTTAAACTAATCATTTTGTTTTCAAATCTCTCTTATATGTTTTCTATACAGGATATAATAATTTTAAACAGTTAAATATCTAAACAACTAGTTCCCCTGTCAATTGTAGGATGTTTAATTTATAAATTTAATAAAATTGTTTAGTATAAACTATTATTTCTTTTATACCTTTAAATTAATAATTAGAAAATTTATTTAGCTTATTGTTTCATTATTTAAATTCTTTGAAGATAATATCAATTATAATTTATCTATCTTTTTCAAAAATACATTAATAAAACTTCATTTATAAGACGAAACTATAAAAAAAAGAGTAAATATTTTATATAAAATGAATAGTAGTACAGAATTCCTATATGGAGGATTAATTCACTATTTTATATATTAGTAAAATTAAGGATCAAACAAAGGATTATATAAAACTAAATAATAAGTTCGGAAAAAATCTGAACTATAAATATTATTATCAATTAATAAAACTTTCTGAGTTTTTGAGAATCTAAGATTGTTGGATAATCACTATTAATTGAATACTTTTTGACTAAAATAAATTCCAATTGGATCCTCTCTAGAATATAAAATTATTTATTAAAAATTATTTATAAAAAACTATTGTTTTTAGTAGGTATAAATTCTTTCTGATGTTAAGGAAGAGAAGCTGGAAATTGTATATTTATTATTATACCTAAACATGATGGAGTGCTCAAAGTTGTGTATAATTATAGTCAAACTATTCTATAATATTAAGAGCTGTGAGAATTAACAAACTATTTACTTTAGAATTCCAAACAGGTTCTAATAAATTACTTATTTGTGTTTAGTAGTCAGAAAAAATTTAATTAATTAAATTTCCTAAAGTGATATAAAATAATCCACCATTAAAATCCTTTAAAAATCAATAATTATAATAGTAATAGCTAATAAAGTGGATTACATTCACATTACTTGTATTTTAAGTTCTATTTGGATATAGATTTATAGCTCTTTTAAATAATCTTATATGATAGTTGAACTTAAATATCTTAGAACCTAATCAAAAATTCATTTTCTGCAGCTTTATTTTAATTGCATAATTATCAAAATTAAAAAAAATATATACATGCTATATACTTACAATTATTAAAATATATATTTTGCAATAATTTATATTTCCTATTTAATTAATTTAGAAATCCTCAATAAAAAGGAAACTGAATCAATAAATATTCGGGAGATGATTTTTCAAAAATCTTAAATCTGAAATATTTTTATTAATAATTGCGTATAATTTTTTTTAATAAGAAGTATATAAATTATTGATGGTTGAAAAGAGCATTCTTTATTCTCTAATTAAAAAAAGTTATTTTATCATATGTTCGTTAGACTGATGATTATCTCTTACATTATTATATATAATTTTTAATTAAAATGAAGTATTAATTTTCTTAGTGATATTTATATATATATATAAATTTTTAATTTTATAATTATCATCACGCAAAATAAATTTATTCAAACATTAATTTTGTTGATTATTCATATTCTTTTGCTTATGTGCTTCTTGCTTTAAGTACTTAATTTAATTATCTTTTTAGTTTTAATTTATTTCTTAATCATTTAATATATGAAGATTTTAATTATTTTTATAAGTTAAAATTTCTACATCTTCCTAATTGCTATCTATTAAGAAAAAAGAATAAACTTTGTGATCACATTAATGATTGCAAGTAATTTCTTTGAAAGTGAAACAATACACATCACATTTAATTTAAATGCAATTAAGATTAATTATAATAATAATGCAGTTTTATCACTTATTAGCACTTGTTTAATGTAAAATAATCATAAAAATATAGAATTCCGGAATCATCTTGAACAAACCTTTTTTGATAACAATGAAACTATTGATCTAATAATTTATATTAAATAAAATTTATTTAAATGTCTTGGTCACCTTTAATAAAAGAAATGAAACCATATTAGACATTATAAGTTTTGGATGATAATAATCTATATGATTATGTTAAATATAAGGATATACAAGGTATAACTAACATTTAGTCATATTAAATCGACAATATATATACTCATTTAGATATTTATATTTCTTTAATATTTATTTAATGTTACTGCAGTTTCTTTATTTTAAATGCTTGGGAATTTTTGTTGAGGCCTAATATATTTAGAATTTTGTCACTTCTTAAATATCTAATAACGAAGGTGAATATTTTAATATTAATTTAGGATGGACAATCGTAAATCCTTATAATGGAGCAACTAATTATATTACTAATTGTGGAGGAAACATCATTTTTGGAGGATATCAAGTTTTTGGATGCACTTCATCAGCAATACCTTAATTAACTTCGGTGATGAAATATTTTATTCTGCCACCTCATTATAATTTACGTATTAATATCAGATTCTGGAAGTTTTAATATTATCTTATATTAAGAATTGATGATTGGCCAACCTCCCAATACTTTTATATATTTGCAGATTAATGGTTCGATAATTGGTATGTTGTAGCAAATACAGGATCTAATTTATGTGGTGGTTCTGGTACAGAATTTAGTGCTTTATAATTTATTGATTATCGTCTGCATACATTAAATTCAGTAATTGTCAGATTTTCATCACACTGTAATTAATAGGTATTTGTTTAACTTTTTAAATTTTAAGAATTTTTGGGGAATTACTGATTTTTAATTATTATTACGTGAATGTTACAAAGGATGTTTATTTTGTCTAGATGATACAGCAGATTGTATTTTATGGAAAGTATGGTAATCATATTTTGATTTATAATATCTCGGCAATGGTTTTGAAGGTTGGATAAAAAATAAATTTTCATCGTTTACATATCTAACTAATAATTATTTCTGTAAATTTGCATATTATATATTTAGCTTAATTAAAAATGTTGATCATAAATTAAGGAGAATCTGCAATCAATTATTTATTATTACCTGATCATAGTTCCTTAATTATTCAATTTAGAATTGAATTTCTCTCAAATTTACCATAAACATTGAGTATTTATTTAAATGATGAATAATAACTAGAATTTACTACTAATTCTAGAAGATATATTGATTATAGAAGTTCAATAATTAATGATTCAAGAAATTAAATTAAATTAGAAATCAGAAGTATTAATGGTAGAATAGCTATTCGTGAAGTATAAATAATTCTTCGAGGACCAATAAATTTAATTTCATGTATTGATGATAATATAGAACCTTTTGATGGTTGTTTTGCTAAACAAGAATCATGTTAATAAGGATGTTCATTTTGTGTTAATAGATAATGTCTTATGTGTGATAATTAATGGGTTTATAATGAATTAAATAATAATTGTGAACCTTTATGTGGAGACAAATTTATTATAGCAAATGAATAATGTGATGATGGGAATGAATTTCCATTTGATGGTTGTTATTAATGCTAGTTTTCATGTCCTTTAAATTGTCATAATTGTTTATTTGGTAAATGTTAGGAGTGTTAAACAGGTTATTATTATTCTAATGGAATATGCAATCAAATATATGAAAATTTATTTCAAGTAGCAAATTCATAATTAATTAAAAATTATAATGTAAATTAAATTTCTTTAGCTTTTTATGATGATATAAACTTCAATTAAATTCATTTGTATTATCAAGAAAGATCAATTTTTGAAAATGGAATTGAAATATTTGAATCTTTATGTTCACCTCTTTGTTAAGTTTGTATATATAAAAATTGCTTGGAATGCTAAAGTAATTATTTACTATTCAAAAATTAATGTATCCCTAGATTAAATAAAGGGATACTTTTATTTGAAGATGGAATTCATTTGAGTGAATATTTAATTGGATGCTATCAATGTGTAGAGAGCTGTCAGATTTAATGTCTATAATGTTAAAATTCATATTGTATATAATGTATGGATGGTTGGTAACTTTTTAATGGATATTGCAAATAAGTTTGTGGAGATAATCAAGTAGCTATATTATCTCAAGAACAATGTGATTCAAATTTAACAGATTGCTTAAATTGTAATAATCTTTGTTCTGAAGATTGTTAATATTGTTTAGATGATAAGAAATGTTTAATATGTTATGAGAATTATGTAGAAATTGATAATTAATGTTAATTAGCTTGTTAAAAAGAGTGTAAAGAATGTTTTCAAGGTATATGTTTAGATAATTTCTCAAATGAAGAAACTAATGTTGTTGATGATGCTTAGAATTAAATTTGTGGTGATGGTATTAGATAATAATAAGAATTTTGTGATGATGGAAATAATATATAATTTGATGGATGTTATAATTGCCAATTTTCATGTCCACTTAATTGTGTAAATTGTATTGATGGTATTTGTTATGAATGTGAATATCAATTACAATTAAAATATAATTAATGTTATGAATATTGTGGAAATGGTAAAAAAAATTAAGATGAATTATGTGATGATGGCAATATTATTGATGCTGATGGTTGTTCTTCTAATTGTAATATAGAAGTTGATTATAACTGTATTGAAAATTATAATGGATTATCTGAATGCCAATATTATAAATCTCCTTAAATGATATTGAAATTCTTAAATTAAACATATAGTAAATATTACATTGATATATCATTCACCTAACCAATCTATTTCAATAATAATTATTAACTTGAATCTCTTTTTGATATTAGTATTGATGACATAAAAACTGAAGATTTTGCAATTAAATTAGAATCAAATCATTAACCAACTATTAATACTGTTTTAAATTTTAAATTTCTTTTAGAAATAAACCTTTTCATTTCAACTAATAGTAGTTTTGTATAGTCTAATATATAACTTATGAACGAAGCATTTAATGAAAATCAAATGAAATTACTTAATCCATCATCAAAAATTTAACTTAAATAATACATTTAAATGAGCAAAGCTGATATAGATAAAACAAAAAAACTCACTGAATATCAAGAAATTATGATTGTAGTTTAAGGAATAATAAGTGTAATTAGTTTAATTTCTGGAAATTTTTAAATGCTTATTGAAATTTTAGATAACTTATAGTATCAATCATATTTAAAATACATAAATATTATTTATCCAGAAAATCTATACCTTTTTTTTGAATCCACTAATCTAATAACTATCAATCCAATTCTAGATTTCTTTAAAGTTGGTGAAATCTTTGAAACATATATCTATTAAGATTTTATTTAGTCTTATGGTAAATTAAAATTTTATAGTTTAAATGCTAATTTACTTACTAATCTGTAATTCTTTTTCATTTAAACCATTGCATTGTTTGTATTAGCAATTTTATTGAATACTATTTGTTAAATTACCATTAAATTATGTGAACAAAATATCATTAAATATTTCTTATTTAGTAAATTTAAGAGTTGGAGATTTAAATTTATATTTAAGATCATTAATTTCACCTACAATATTTTTCATCAAATCCTAATCTTTGTAAATTAATTTAATTAAAATGGTGTATAAAATATATTGTTAGCAAATGCTTGGGATTTACTTTTTAAAACATTATTATTTTTAACCTCAAATTCAAGTAAAGATAAAATTTCCTAAATATAATCTGTCCTCTCATATTGTTTATTGGCAGCGTTAGGATTTACAATGTCACTATTATTAAAGCATTCCTTTAAAAATAAAAAAAAAAGGATGNATTCTTAAATTAAACATATAGTAAATATTACATTGATATATCATTCACCTAACCAATCTATTTCAATAATAATTATTAACTTGAATCTCTTTTTGATATTAGTATTGATGACATAAAAACTGAAGATTTTGCAATTAAATTAGAATCAAATCATTAACCAACTATTAATACTGTTTTAAATTTTAAATTTCTTTTAGAAATAAACCTTTTCATTTCAACTAATAGTAGTTTTGTATAGTCTAATATATAACTTATGAACGAAGCATTTAATGAAAATCAAATGAAATTACTTAATCCATCATCAAAAATTTAACTTAAATAATACATTTAAATGAGCAAAGCTGATATAGATAAAACAAAAAAACTCACTGAATATCAAGAAATTATGATTGTAGTTTAAGGAATAATAAGTGTAATTAGTTTAATTTCTGGAAATTTTTAAATGCTTATTGAAATTTTAGATAACTTATAGTATCAATCATATTTAAAATACATAAATATTATTTATCCAGAAAATCTATACCTTTTTTTTGAATCCACTAATCTAATAACTATCAATCCAATTCTAGATTTCTTTAAAGTTGGTGAAATCTTTGAAACATATATCTATTAAGATTTTATTTAGTCTTATGGTAAATTAAAATTTTATAGTTTAAATGCTAATTTACTTACTAATCTGTAATTCTTTTTCATTTAAACCATTGCATTGTTTGTATTAGCAATTTTATTGAATACTATTTGTTAAATTACCATTAAATTATGTGAACAAAATATCATTAAATATTTCTTATTTAGTAAATTTAAGAGTTGGAGATTTAAATTTATATTTAAGATCATTAATTTCACCTACAATATTTTTCATCAAATCCTAATCTTTGTAAATTAATTTAATTAAAATGGTGTATAAAATATATTGTTAGCAAATGCTTGGGATTTACTTTTTAAAACATTATTATTTTTAACCTCAAATTCAAGTAAAGATAAAATTTCCTAAATATAATCTGTCCTCTCATATTGTTTATTGGCAGCGTTAGGATTTACAATGTCACTATTATTAAAGCATTCCTTTAAAAATAAAAAAAAAAGGATGAATGATAGATACAAGGCTTTTTACTTACTTAAACAATTTTTCTTTTGTTATTACTTAATATGTTTTTAAAATGATTAATTTATTCAATTAATAATGTTAACCACAACAAATTTAATTTACTTAATTGTATTAATATCAGTAGATTTGAATTTATCAACCTTGGAAAAAATATAAATAATTATATAAGAAATCTCAATAATAGTATTTACTTTTACTTCAATATTTCATTTATTAGATTACAATTTCTTGATTGCTGGATAAAATCAGATAACTTTGGGTTTTTCTTAAATATATTTATTAATATCTAGCTTATTGTGGATATTCATTAAATATATAATTATGATTTATTCAAAAATTAAACAAAAATGCATTTAAAATAAAATAAAATAATAAAATGAAAAAGTCAGAAAAGTAACCCACTTAATATTTGAACCGGTTAATTGAATTAAAATACATTGTTTATATTAAATATTATTTCCTAAAATTGATATACTTTTCTTCCATATCTATATGAACTATTTTTAAATGATGATAAATTTATAATTGATTTTTTCTTTTTTAATAGTTCATATACTACAAATCCTCAATAATTAACATATCATCAATCATAAAAATTCAATTTTGAATTAATAACATGTTAAAATTGAAATAATTAAATAAATATTCATTAAAAATTATAAAAGATGTATCAAGTAATACAAATTCCATTCTCTTTGATCTTGTTTACAAAATCAATAATTTTTTTATGATTTTTGTATTATTTTTTTATATTATAATTAACTAATAAGAATTTAAAATTTTTATTTAAAAATACTTCAAAAAAAACGATATGAATTAAGTGTTGGATTTTGCAACAATCTTCATTTAATTTTAATGAATTCCATACGAAAACCTTTATTTTTTATTTCTTTTAATGAGGAATTTTAACATAAAATAAATAATGATCTTTATTGTCAAATTTAAAATTTTAAAGCTAATATATAACAAATAATAACTAAGATATAAATATTACACTCATAATATTTATTTTCTCTAAAGATCTTTTCTTATTTAAATTCCATTTGTGTAATTGTCCCATGTAATTAAGTAATTGCCATCTTAACTTAAGGTAAAACCAATTTAATTTGTATAAAAATTGATTGATTATCCAACTTGAAGTTCACCATTTTCCTTAACCTTGATAATATGAATGTAATTATTTGTCTTATTAAATAAAATTTATTTTTCTGGATTATAAATTAAGATTTTTTCCTAATTATCAGAATTACCAATAACTTATGTTTCTGATTCACATTTAAAGCAGTGTAATTATTCATTAAATCTGTATATTTGTATGTTTTTCCCCTCTTTAGACTAAAATGCAAAAATATTATTTGTTATAAAACATAATGCTTATCCATAAAATAATAAAGGTATCTTTTAATTTAATATCCATTAATTATTTTCATATTTTTCCATTATGCAAATGAAATTATCATAACCACTTGAAATCAATTTATTTTGTTCTGAATTCAAACTCATAGTGCAAATTTATTGAGAATGGACATTCAATTACTATTATAATTTCCATTTGTTAATCTTTTCATAAAATCTAATAACATTATCAGAATTTAAAATAATTAAATCTTCTGCTTCATTCACTATTAAACATTCATTTAAATTAATATCTGGCAATTCTTAAAAACAATTCCAATTTCCATATATATTTTTTCCCCAAATTTAAATAAATCCAAAACTATAAGTTAAGAATTAGTTTTGATGTTTCATTGAATATATTTTAGTTATATAGTCATCATGACCTGAATAAAATTTAGAAACTTCATACACCTACTCATTCTTAAATTCATAAACACTTAAATAATCTATTTATGCAATCATAATCAATTTTGAACTTTAATTCATAACTATATTTGAACAACAAAAGATTTTTGGAATAATTTAATAATTAAAAAGATTGCTTAATTTAGTTGAAGCTATTTATTATTTGATTTCATCTGAATCATTTTCAGAAATTAAAATATTATCTAATTAATAAATTTTAGCTTGAATACTATTAATTAAATTGTTAGTAGAGAATAGTGATAAATCATTGTTTAACTTTTCTTTTAAGTAATTAAAAGATTTTTCAGGATCAGTTTCTATAATCTCTTTATTTTAAATGTTATTTTAAAGAAGGAAAATATACTTTGCTATTGTATGTTCATAAAGTGATATAGAATGTAATATCATCTCTGAAAAATTTCTTATTTCTCCTTTTATTTAACATAAAATTAACAGTTGATTTTCAATCATTTCCTAATTCTCCTTTTAATTTTTAAAATGGTTTTCAAATTAAGCTTATTAATTATCTGAAATCTCATTTTTCTTAGTAGATTCAAAATCAATTTGTCTTATAAAATTGTTTTTCTCATCCTAATAGGTAGATTATCCAATAATTGCATTTAAATTATTTGCACTCATATAAAAATAAAATTAATTATTTTTTTAATAATCTTCCTATATTTTAATTATTAATTACTATTAATAACTTGCTCTTAAAAAATATATTTTCTTTTCTTCATAATTAAAAAAAAAATCAAAAATAACCTTAAGGAAATCCATATTCCAAAGTACTCAAAACTAATACTTAATTATAACAAAGAGAATATTTATTTATATATCCATAGTTAATAAATAAATGTTTTATAATGAAATTATTTTCATAATAAATTTAATATATTATATAAAAATACTCAAGGTTTCACCATTTTCATGTTTGGAATTGATTCATATTGTAAGTAATCTTAATCTTTAAATTTGCTCTTTAATACAAAAGCTAGATTTGTTAGAATTATAATTATTAAGTAGTAAGAGATCCTTTGAATTATTGGTATAAATTAAAGAATTGTTAAGATTAGATTAAAGAGGAAAGGTTTTTGATACAAAGTGAAGAATGGGTTTATAAATTATGATTTTCGAATTCTTAAAGACAAATTTAATTGTTATAATGTGCATATCAATATTTCTAAATAATATGAATAATGTTTTATTAATAATTATGACATGATTCATATTATATCTATTAAATGGATCATTAATTTAAAAGTTATTAAGCAATGAACTTAAATGGAAAAAAAATATTACAATATTATGTTGCTCTAAATTTCTATAACAATCAATTAATATTATATATATTTGTAATTCTATCATGGAATAATAATTTTGTAAAGTCAAAGATCATGAATAAGAAGAACAAATATACATTTGTAATGAGTTGTAATGTATTAACCTAAAAGATAACAAACTCTTATGTTAAAAATGTTTATGTAATCATAATGGTTTGAATTATAACAAACTAAAAGAAAAGGCTGTAAATTCATTTAATGAATATAATCAAATTTTGAAATCTGAAATAGAAGACAGTGAAAAATTAAAGAAGAATTTTGATGATTAAATTACAAAGATGAAAGAATAGATCTCTAAATTTTTAGATTCTTTGAACAAAAAGACTGTTTCATTTGTAGATAATTAAAGTTTCAAATTAATTACCAATTAAAATAAAGCATAATAATTAATGCAATACAATAATCCTTCGCTTGATACACTAATATTTTTTGCTTTGTTTTCAAATTAACAATTATAGAATAAATTGAATTAGACAAAATAATAAATGAATAGAATCATTAATGATATAAATGATGATTTAAATTTAAAAATAAGAGAATATCTAGATTAACCAAACATTAATGAATATAAAATTATCGAATATGAATTACATTCATTTTAGATTGAATCAATTTTTAAGCAAAAACAACCTTACGGCTATTGTAATGAGCATTTCTCATAAAAATCTTCAATATGTATTCATAAAGAATGTTTATAAGAAAATATAGCTTACAATTGTTTAAGATGCTGTAAAACTACTCATATTGAACATTTTCAAAATGATTATATAGAGGAATATGAAAAATTAAAATAAATATAAAAAATAAAATTAACATTTCAAGAGAATGAAAAAATAAAAGTTAAAGAAAAAGCTCAAAAATTAATAGATGATTAAATAAGAAAGTTAAAAATTGAGTAAAACGAACAATATATGAAATATATAATTACAATAGAAAATATAAAACATTTAGAATAATAATTTTATATTAATTTATCTATTTAAGATACTACTAAATATATATTTGGTGATTTGCTTATATCATTAATTACAAGTAAAGATGAAGAAATTTAATCATAAATTAATCATGAATATAAAAAGCTTGAAGAAAAACTGAAGTATTGTCAAATTTAGGAAGAGCAAAAATTCCAAGATAAATGCAATCTCATTTAATCTTATTCAGATATTATATATAAACTCTAAAAAGATAAATAAGAACTTCAATAACTGGTATATTAATAAGACTAACTTATAAAAAATAATTCTTTGGATTGTTTACTTAGCTAAATTAAGTTAATAAATTTAAATATAGGAGAATTGAAAAATATAGATTTTAAATTCAATACAAATTTTACCCAAAAAATCGATAATATATAATAACAATAATAAGAACATTACAAAGTTTTACAATCTGTAAAAATAGGAGAAACTGTATAAAAAATTGATAATTTAAAAGATGATTTTCATAAAAAAATTCAGAAGTTGGAATAAAGATAGGAAGAATAATATTAGCAAATGGGTTTATAAATAATTGATGATTTTCATAAAAATATTCAGAAGTTGGAATAAAGATAGAAAGAATAATATTAGCAAATGGGTTAATAAATAATTGATGATTTTCATAAAAATATTCAGAAGTTGGAATAAACATAGAAAGTATAATATTAGCAAATGGGTTAATAAATAATTGATGATTTTCATAAAAATAGTCAGAAGTTGGAATAAACATAGAAAGTATAATATTAGCAAATGGGTTAATAAATAATTGATGATTTTCATAAAAATAGTCAGAAGTTGGAATAAACATAGAAAGTATAATATTAGCAAATGGGTTAATAAATAATTGATGATTTTCATAAAAATAGTCAGAAGTTGGAATAAACATAGAAAGTATAATATTAGCAAATGGGTTAATAAATAATTGATGATTTTCATAAAAATAGTCAGAAGTTGGAATAAACATAGAAAGTATAATATTAGCAAATGGGTTAATAAATAATTGATGATTTTCATAAAAATAGTCAGAAGTTGGAATAAACATAGAAAGTATAATATTAGCAAATGGGTTAATAAATAATTGATGATTTTCATAAAAATAGTCAGAAGTTGGAATAAACATAGAAAGTATAATATTAGCAAATGGGTTAATAAATAATTGATGATTTTCATAAAAATAGTCAGAAGTTGGAATAAACATAGAAAGTATAATATTAGCAAATGGGTTAATAAATAATTGATGATTTTCATAAAAATAGTCAGAAGTTGGAATAAACATAGAAAGTATAATATTAGCAAATGGGTTAATAAATAATTGATGATTTTCATAAAAATAGTCAGAAGTTGGAATAAACATAGAAAGTATAATATTAGCAAATGGGTTAATAAATAATTGATGATTTTCATAAAAATAGTCAGAAGTTGGAATAAACATAGAAAGTATAATATTAGCAAATAGGTTAATAAATAATTGGTATGCTGAAGAATATACTAGAAATATGCACGGCCAATAGAAACAGAAATAATGGCTGGAACGGCGATTAATGTTAAATTTCTTGAATAAAATAAATACAATATTTCAATATAGAAATATAAATAGTTTTTTTTATTAAAAATTATTCATTAAGTATATAATATTTATTTTTTACTTTTTTAATGGTAAACCTAAGAATATACATTATTCAGGATCAAAAAAGTAAAAGATGAATAGGCTCACAAAAAAAAATTATAACATCATTTTTAAAGTAATCTCTCATAGATTTGATATTCAATCCATATTGAAATTCGCTTTTTTCTGGCACCTAGTTATATTATGAATCAAAATCTTAGTAAACTCTAAATAAATTAAAATCAATTATTTGAATCACAAAACTACTAAAATAAGAATAAATATGTATTTTTACTAATTAGGTTTACATTTTCGAGACATAATTAAACTCAGTTTCGGATCACTTTTATTATTTTCTTGGTTTTAGCTATACATCAGTATTATCTTCCATATTGGAAATCACAAGTCATTGCAGTAGATTTAAAAAATATGGCACAGAAAATCTTATGGATAAAAGTTATCAAAACTATATTAATATATCTATACATCATCTTCTCTTTAATATTTATTATCTATCTGTTATTATAAATAATATTCTCTCACACATTATTTTACACTTAAATCTGTTTTTAGTTATGAAATTCAACTTTGAACAAAGAAGTTGCAAAAATGTGGCTTACCAAAAAATGCTTAAGTTCATACATTAATTGGTTGAGTTAATTAACTCATAATCCTTTTTATTGCATCCATCTAGAATTAATTAAATATTTTTTAAAATCTTCTATTTTACTACTTAATAGATTTAATTCAAATATAAAATACACATAAAAAGAATTCTAATTGATACTAATATCTTTTAAATTCTCTATCCATATACTTTTTATAAAATTAATAATTTAGTGAGTTCTTGAAAGAAAAAAAGAGTTTTCATGAAATTGATTTACTTGATAAGAGAGTTTCGAATAAAAAATAATAATAGCAAAATAATTATTTTAAAAAATACCATTATAAATATTATACTCCTCATTCTCTATTTAAAAATTCTTCATACATTTAAAATGTATTGGCTCTTTAATCAGTTGGAACCATATGGCCTGCACCTCTTATAATATAAAATGTTAAATAATTATATTCAACAATCCATCCTGCCATTTATTATGTCTATTTATTTGCAAATGGCTTTCTTGATAATTATGTAAGGCCATCAATTAATTTAAATGAAGCATATGTATAATCAACACTAATAACATCATCAGCATTTCCTGAATATTACAATATTCTAATATTATTATCAAATAAAAATTTCATCAAAGTATGACTATGCTTATCTCTTTTATAATTCAAGAAAATGTCAATATTACAGGAATCCCATTTTTTATCCTCAGGAATTCCTAATTTTTATTTTACTTCAGGATTATTAAAATAATTATTTAGGATTCCATCATCTATGCAAGAATAATCTTCTACATCTTTAAAATTTCTTTAATTATTTTTATGATAGATTGATGAATCTCCATAACAGTACCCATAAACATTATAAGGATTTAAATTTTTTCTTACAATTTTTTCTCTTTCCAAAGCTCTTTAACAACTTGCTGAATTTGGATATTTTGTACATGAAATTTGCATAATATTTTATGTTACTAAATCTAAGAAATTTCTTTTAACCAAATATTCTCTATTCCATTTATATATAAATTCATCTTCATTTACTAAAACCCCATTACCTACCATAATGCCTTTTAAATTAATTTTATCTTCTGGGAATTATTTATTTTTTTTAACTATAACTTCTGCTGTGCAAGGTATATACATACCTTTCATCAAATAAACTAATTACCTGAGTATGAAACTCCACTTATCCATACATCTCTCTCTTTATAATTTTGAAATGCATTTAACCATGTTTTAATTATTTCATAAGAATCAAGGCCAGTGTTTGTGTCACTCCATTAGTAATCATCATCATGAAGTTCAGAATATCCAACTCCTGCAGGTATATCTAAATATAAAACATTCCCTAATTTATGTAATGTATATGGATTCTCTGTTAATTCCATTTTATCACTACCCCAGATTCGAACATAAGGACCTATTCCTGAAATAAGGCCAGCCAAACTACTACATCCTGGTCCTCCTCCAAATTATATAATCAAAGGTTTATTCTCTGGATTAGTAATACTCTCCATAAAAATATAGTGGATGACTCTGCAAAAATATTCATTTTTGTTACTATTTTCCATTATATATATCTACGAATCCATTATACGTTTTAAAATTGTGTATTGGATAATATGGCCAATCAAAAATCTCATCATTTTAAGGATCAACACCTAAATTCCTTATCACTAACACCAGAAATATTAAATATCTCATTTTATGATATTTTAATCAAATTTTATATTAATTAAAATAAAATTGGATCATAAAGTTTATTTATCATTAGTTTAATGAGCAGTTTGAATTGAATTTGATTCTTATTTCAGAGTTTTTATTCGCTTTTATAAGTAAAAATTTCTATTTAAAAAGTAAAACCAATGTATGCTATTTAAAGAAATTTTCTTTAAGATCTCAAAAATTTGAATAGCACTTAGTGTTTATCCATCGATTAAGAAATATTGTAAATTCGAGATGCAATAATTTATAATATAAATATTTTTCAACACATTAATAGAGTATTTATTTGATTTATTTTACTTTAAAATTGTTTTAAGATATAACTCATCAAATTCTATCAAATAGAAACAAATTAATAAACTTTAAAAGTAAGAAAATTAATCTATTTTTGATTTTCATTTTTATATGAAATATTTATATGAAAGAACCCAATGTAGTGGTTCTGAGTTTATTTTTGTAATTTTATGAAATGATTGATATATTATTATTATATAATTAAATTTAGAGATATATTCCTTAGTTTCCCAAATGATTATTGTATTAATGATTTAATCTTAGTGCATAATTTAAATATTTTGATAAAAATTGCATTTCTATCTGAAAAATGTCCCAATATGACTTAATAATTGAAAGAATTGCCATAACTTCAGGATGGCTTTATGAGATGGAAGAAAAAACAAATGAAAAGAAAATTTAATTACTTGCACTATCACCCTTTGAACCATTTCATCAAAATTTTTTACAAGATGAAATAAATTTCAAAGCCACAATATAAAAAACTAAATTGCTTAGACATTATTTACGTTGTGTAGATTTAAATAAAAAATACTATCTATTTGAATTTGTTTAAGGACAATCCATTTAATAAATAATTAATAAATATAGAGTGAAATCTGAGTCTATACCAATAGAGAAAATTAATAATTATCTCAAATATTTGCTTGAAGCTCTATATCAATTACATAAGATGAAAATTTTAGGGAGAGTTTTCTCAATAGAAAATATTATTGAGCTTCAAGACAATAGTATCACATTGATGGATTTTGGTTTTGCATCTGAATTAAAGCAAAATTAATTTAATATACTAGCACCTCCAGAAATTGTATCAAGCATGGTTGAGACAAGTAAATATCATAATTTCATCTAGATGGTTAAAGGTTAAATTATAGCATTGAAATAGATTCATGGTTATTAGGTGCATTCCTATTCAATCTCGTTAAACTATATCCAATTAATTCATATTTGAAAGGCAATAAACTAAATGCATATACTTATTCAAATTTAGAGGAATACAATCTTTTTCTTTAACAGTAAATTAAAGAAAATAAATATATTAAAGTAGAACCCTCGAAATATCCAAAAAAATTAAATAAATTAATAGAGTCATTATTAACATATGATCCAAAAGAAAGGCTATCTTTTTTGGATATCTATTAGTCTGAATATATAAAAGATTTAGAATTAGAAATATGTGATGAGTAAATATAATTTTACAAGAATCTAAATTTAACTGAAATTCACCAAAAAATTATGCTTAGAGATGGAATAACTTCAAATGAGTTTATTTAAACTAGTGTTTTGAAATAGCCTCTAAATCCATAATCTGAAATAAAAAATCTCTAAGATATTCAATCTTATGAAGCTGATCATGATTTTAAGTATATTTGAAAACCAATAAATAGGATTCCTCAAAAAATATATCTTGAAAGTGTAGTTCCAGATGTTTATCAATCCGAGCAGGTTACTCAACAATCTAGCCATCTCTTAAAACTACCATATTTTATGGAAAATCAATTAGAAGTAAATAATTTTTTTGATAAAGGCTAAGAAATTTTAGAGACTATTCCAAATCCTTAATTTGGAGTAGTTTAGATTTGTTATTCTAAACAATACTGCTGATGAGGTTGTTTCTTTATTATCTAATAAAAAATTTGGATTAGAATATGTTATTGAATATTTTTTAAAGAAGATGGCATACCTTATAATGATTGAAATATTAGGAAAATTAAATTCATAAAAAAGCCAGTTTACAACTAGTTAAGAAGAATGGGATAATTTTTAAAAGCTTGAAAAGAAAACAGATTTAATAAAAAATATAAATTCATAAATTTAAGAGAATATAAATAGACTAAAAAATTTAAATGAATAATGTTATAAAGATTTGGCTTAAAATTAATTATTTAATGAAAATATAAGAAATTCAGTTAAACAAGATAAACATTTCTTATAAGGCAATAAAGCACCAGAAACTAATATTTTTGGATGTACTTCAAATGAATTTTTAAAAAGCGGATATAGAAATATTACTTAATATTTATACAATTATTTAGTTTCAAAATGTTAATTTGATGAAATGAGAACGAAATAATTCAGTCTTATATTAAAGACTGTCTTATGTCATTTAATTAATCGCATATTTGACTATGATTACATTAATACTCAATTTAAAAACATTAAATCTGAAAAAAACAATGATATAACTCCAGAAACAATTTATAAATTTATTGAATCTAAAGAGAATGATGAATAAAAAATATAAGAGATACAATATTTAGTGAATAAATATTTTTAAAATTAAACAAATAATTGATGAAATTTACATATTATCAAATGATAATTAAAATTATATAAATTTTAAGGTAGAATTAATCAAAGATTTCTCAAGCTGCTAAAATACTAGTATATTCAAATTTTATTAAAATTTTCTCATAAAATTGTCTACTAGGTTTGATAATTTAAGATTGAAAAATAATTATCAATTTACTATCAACATTGATATATATCTATNATGAGTAAATATAATTTTACAAGAATCTAAATTTAACTGAAATTCACCAAAAAATTATGCTTAGAGATGGAATAACTTCAAATGAGTTTATTTAAACTAGTGTTTTGAAATAGCCTCTAAATCCATAATCTGAAATAAAAAATCTCTAAGATATTCAATCTTATGAAGCTGATCATGATTTTAAGTATATTTGAAAACCAATAAATAGGATTCCTCAAAAAATATATCTTGAAAGTGTAGTTCCAGATGTTTATCAATCCGAGCAGGTTACTCAACAATCTAGCCATCTCTTAAAACTACCATATTTTATGGAAAATCAATTAGAAGTAAATAATTTTTTTGATAAAGGCTAAGAAATTTTAGAGACTATTCCAAATCCTTAATTTGGAGTAGTTTAGATTTGTTATTCTAAACAATACTGCTGATGAGGTTGTTTCTTTATTATCTAATAAAAAATTTGGATTAGAATATGTTATTGAATATTTTTTAAAGAAGATGGCATACCTTATAATGATTGAAATATTAGGAAAATTAAATTCATAAAAAAGCCAGTTTACAACTAGTTAAGAAGAATGGGATAATTTTTAAAAGCTTGAAAAGAAAACAGATTTAATAAAAAATATAAATTCATAAATTTAAGAGAATATAAATAGACTAAAAAATTTAAATGAATAATGTTATAAAGATTTGGCTTAAAATTAATTATTTAATGAAAATATAAGAAATTCAGTTAAACAAGATAAACATTTCTTATAAGGCAATAAAGCACCAGAAACTAATATTTTTGGATGTACTTCAAATGAATTTTTAAAAAGCGGATATAGAAATATTACTTAATATTTATACAATTATTTAGTTTCAAAATGTTAATTTGATGAAATGAGAACGAAATAATTCAGTCTTATATTAAAGACTGTCTTATGTCATTTAATTAATCGCATATTTGACTATGATTACATTAATACTCAATTTAAAAACATTAAATCTGAAAAAAACAATGATATAACTCCAGAAACAATTTATAAATTTATTGAATCTAAAGAGAATGATGAATAAAAAATATAAGAGATACAATATTTAGTGAATAAATATTTTTAAAATTAAACAAATAATTGATGAAATTTACATATTATCAAATGATAATTAAAATTATATAAATTTTAAGGTAGAATTAATCAAAGATTTCTCAAGCTGCTAAAATACTAGTATATTCAAATTTTATTAAAATTTTCTCATAAAATTGTCTACTAGGTTTGATAATTTAAGATTGAAAAATAATTATCAATTTACTATCAACATTGATATATATCTATAATTTCTGAAAAAATGAAGGAATGCCTTGGAGCCTTGGAAGATTATGAAAAAAAATACATTTTTATTTTGTGTTAAAATAATTAAAATACAAATGTTAAAATCCTTTGGAATTATTTCTGGTTTTCTTTTCATTAGCCAGGGGAAAGTCAATTCTTCAACAGAAAACTTTAATTAGGCAAGACATGCTTTATGCATCCTATTTCCAGATTCAAATTCTGGAGTCAATGGTGTTGTTTCTTTTTCTTAAGAACATATTAATGCAAAAACAAAGATTGCTGCAGTAGTAAGAGGATTAAAGCCAAACAGTCTTCACGGCATTCATGTTCATGAATTTGGGGATTTAAGCAATGGATGTACAACAGCAGGACCCCATTTCAATCCTTTTGAACAAGAACATGGAGGTCCTTTAGAGAAGTAAAGACACGTTGGAGATTTGGGAAATATAAAAACAGATGAAAGAGGAAATGGATATTTGGCTTATGAAGACAATTAGATTTAATTATATGGAGAGTATAGGTAAAGGAGCATATTAATAAAATAAGTATTTTGGGAAGATCAGTGGTAGTCCATGCAGGTTAAGATGATTTAGGAAGAGGTAATGAAAAAGACTCAAAAACAACTGGTAATAGTGGTGCAAGATTAGCTTGTGGAGTTATAGGTTTGGCATCAGGATTTAAGAATTTATAACCATATAAATGATAATTAATATATAACTATAGAAAAATTTAAGAATATTGTTATTCTCTTAATTAAAAAAAATGTTATCATTCGATTACCTTTTGAAGCCATTCGATTAGTTTGACTAATTGGTCATGAACAGCATTAAAGATTTGAACATTTCAGAGGATAAAGTTAGGCTTGTTTCATATTTTGTAAAAATTTGTATTCATTACTAGTTGTTTTGTATTCCAATAGCAATTATATTTGGTAATATCAAATCACCAAGAATAAGGCTTATATATAATATTTTTTGGGGAGTTTTCTTCACATTATTTCTTGGTAGAGAGTGGTTTGTGTATATAAATATTACAACCATCTTGGTGTACTTTATATCAACTATACCAACTAAGAATGTTGTTATACCAATATCAATAACTGCTTTTGTAGCTCTATCATATGTCCATCTCTTTCGACAATGGGTAATATACAAGTAAATATTATTAGTTTGATTACTTGTCCTGGAAGATTGATTTTTCTGTAATACAGATGACAGTAACCTGCAGATTAATTTACTATGCAGTTGATTTATAAGATGGAAAAGCTTATGACACTGGATTTTGGACATATTACTCTTACATATTCTCATTTTTTAGTATAATGATTGGACCTGTACCATATCATAATTATTTAAATCTGCTTAATAAAAAAGAAGAATATTCTAATATCAAATTTAATTAATATAAATCCGTTATTACTAACTTAATAAAAGCATTATTATTTTGCGCCGGGGAAATCTGGATTAGACCATACGTTGATTATGATTGGTATGATTCCCCATAATGGAATGAATTGAATCTTATTGAGAAGAATCTTTTATAAGCGATTATTGGTTTAGTTGCTAGGATGAGATATTTTGCAGGATTCAAATTCACTTAGGCTGCTATGGATGCTACTGGAATTACTTATAATGAAGATTCATGTAATAAATATATAAATAATAATTAGAGTAATTTGATAAATTTATCACTTGTGATTATTCTTATGAAAAAGATGTGAGTGCAATTCATAAAACAGCAAAGTGGAATACAACTGTATAAATATGGCTTAAATATTGTTTTTTTGATAAATTATCAATTATTTTCGATGTTTCAACAGCCTATTATATGACTTATGGGATAAGTGCATTATGGCATGGTTTTTATCTAGGATATTATCAAACCTTTTTTTGGTGGGCTTTAATTAATCAAAATTGTAAGTATGTTTACAGAAGTAGAGATAAATTTTAATGGTATTTAATTATCCTAAATATCTATATAGGATTCCAGCACCACTTAGAAGTATTATTGCCTTTACATATTGTACATTCACTATGAATCAAATTGCTATGACAATGGGTTTATTAGATTGGGATAAAGGAATGCGATTTAATAATAGTATGTATTGGTCTGGACCTATTGCAATCCTAATTGTATTCTTCTTCTTCTTCCTTACCCAATATGGATAAAAAAGAAGGAAATGATGAAATTTTTATATCTTATTTTATTAATATTAGTAATTAAATAAAATTTAATGCTCTATTGCAACCATTTATTATATCAAAGTCATTAGATTATTTGAAGAGTCAATCAAATGTTTAGTAAAAAAAAAGGTGAAGATTTGAATTCAAATTTATATAAATCAATTTTCTAAGTATTATTATTTATATTATGAACTTGAATTATTTATTCATATGTTAATATTTTATAAATAATGCTCTATTTTTGATATTTGAATTTAAATTATTTAGTATTAAAATAGGAGAATGATTAATTAATCTTGAACAAAAATTACTCTAATATTTTAATTTACTTTTTAGGTTGCAATGTAATTTCTATTTATTTAAACCCTATCTTTTCTCATAATATAATAATATGCAATTTAATTAAAAAGTAGATATTAGTTCTTATAAATAAAAATAAGGATCATTTATTGACTTAAAAATCTTTTGTTCAATAATGATAAGTGTTATTCTGAAATAATGTTACTTAAAAATGATAAAAAATTTAATTTTAAATGGATCTCTATCTCAAGAAGTCGAATAATCATATCTTCATTAAAACTATGGAAAAGTTCAGTAGCTTAAATATTTATGATTATATTAAAAATTTGCAAGATTCATAATTTACTTTTCTATTTTCTTAAGACATTAATTGAATTTTATATATCATTTTATCATATGATTTAGATGAATCAATTTATTTAAGGTATTTATTTAATCTTTAATTTATATACAAAATATATTTGGAATTTTGATACATTATTTAAAGTAATGTTTAAATGAATTTAATAAAAAGGACTTATATATATACCTAGAGTGATTATTTTAAAAAAATTGTTAAGATTTTTGAATAATCTTGTTTTTATATTTAAGTTACAAATAACAATCAATGTCATAGGATATATAAAGCCATTATATCTTGATCTATATTTATTTAATTAAAATAAGTTAAAAATGGTTCCTTTAATTTTCAAAAATAAACAATTTTGCATTAAAATCTGAATAGTCAAAAACAACACTATTATTACAATAAAATAATTCAATTTTTGAGTAGTTATTATTTGATCAATATAATTGTAATTATTTATTTGAAAGTATGATTAATAGATGATATTCATTAATGGATGTAAAATGAGATATTTAATAATTGATTTTTTATGAATTAATCTCTTTTCTCTTTTAACTTGAAGGCACTTTTACCTATGGAAAATTACTAATTAATACTTAATGAGTAAACAAGGATGAATAAATACATTCACAGCTAGAATACTATTTAGATTAAGGAGTTAGATTTAGAATAAAAAACTAGAAGAAAAAGCTGTCATTGTGGATTATGTGGTTAACAAAGTCAATTTTAGTTTAAAACAATGAATATTCCACTTAAAATAAGACAAATTCAAAAGGAGTAGGAATTTATTATACCAGAATTAATAGTAACAAAACCTGAATGTATAAATAGAAATATTTTATAGCTAGAATGAGTACCTTTTATAAGAAATCTTCTTTTAAGAATTTGTAAATTATAGAAACTAAAGAATAGATAAATAACACTTAATTGTCCTTAAATATTCATGGACTCAAAAGAGCTTATAATAGATAAAATACATTATTGAAATTAATAACAGATGGTCAAGAGAAATCTAAAAGAAGAGATAGTAGTGGATTATTTTCATCATCTGAACTCTAATCTTTAAATTCTTTGAAATCTTTGAATATTACAACTAGTCCTACACAATCATCCTTATAGAATCAAAAGAATTCCATTTAGCCTAAAAGCCCTTTAAGTCTATTTTCTCCTAAAAGAAAACATCAATAAACACATAACAAATTATACAGTATTAATACAAGAAATTATAATCCATATGTGATAAATTCGAATAAATAACTATTGATAAAGCCATTAAAGTTATAAAATTCACTTTCCACTCTTGGAAGTTCATTTCCAAAACTTAATAAAAAAAAGTAGTGATTTTATTATAATTATAATTTCCTATAGGATATGATTATAAATAGAATACAATTTGATAAATTTTATTCAATTATTATTCCAATTCTATTTCAAAAGAAGTTTTAAATAAATTAATAAATTATTTTATTTATTTTGGATATATACAGGATTAATACAAATAAGTATATCCAAATATGATTATCATTTTGAAAAAACAATTACATCTCTATGATTTTCAACATGTTGAAGTAATTCATCAATATCTTAATTTGGTACTTCCATATCCTAAGCAATATTTTTGAGATGAGTCTTAAATTTGTCAAATTATTAGTTTGTGATATTCAGATTTTTGTGGACTTCAATTAAATCTCTATATATATATTAATTAATTGATAATACCTGCCAGTATATTAAGTATTTTTATCACCCATCATTTAAGAGAAGAATCGCTTTTATTGATATCTTACTCTACTCATGTCTGCCTTCAAAAATTTATCACGAAGAAGTTTATCAAAGAGTACTTTGTAATAGAATTGATCTATAAGTTCTGATACTTATTAGTCTCCTCCAAATTTTTCATACAAGCATTTTTTTTAATTATCCATTATTAATTTTTATTATCAAATATTCACTAAATATCCTACACGCTTTAAATCTTCAATTTTCTTTTTTGCTTTTGTTGCATTTATTAAAGTTTGGTTCAAGTATAATGATTTGGGCAATGAACTTCCTGAAGGGGAATTTCTAACTAAAGATATAAAATAATCTAGAGTTCTTTCAGTTATCATATTTGATGATAAATGTAGACTTTAAAATACTTAATTTGTATTTTATACTAGACAATCTAATAATTTACAGGCACCCTCATCAGTTATTTTATTTCTCACTAATTTAAGTTATTTAACTCTCTTTGATATTTTCAGAATGTCACCTATAAATTATAATCCTTCATCTCCCAATTCTAATATTTATATATTTATATATATATACCTGCACTTGAAAAATCTGCTATTTCTAAATTATCACTTTTAAATGCTTACCAAACACTTTCAAATTTTTCATTAATCTTAAACATTTTTTTCTTTTTGCAATCTTAGATTTTAGTATTAGGACTAACTCCCTGTCTAATTGAATTTACCTATTCAATATCTACTCTTCTACCTGGACTTGGTTATTAAAAAGATCCTTTCAATTTCTCTAAAGCTCTTATTTATATTCTTTCTGGTTTTGTAGGAGTTGTTGATTGAATAGTTTAAGATGTAGATACAGGTTAAATATCTTTTAATTCTTTCAATCCAGATCCCATTTTATTTTTCACAAAATCTTCTTAATCTAAACTACTTCTATTTGGACTTCTCACTTATGTAATATTTGTTGTTTCTTCCATAAGACTTTCACTCCAATCTGCCATAGATATATCTTTTAGTAACATTGGCTCATCTTAACAAAAACTTGAGAAAACATCTTAACCACATAATTTGCTAAAACTTTCATTTCTTTTCATATCCTATAATAATGTTGAATCTGTTAAAGTATTGATAGTTTTTAAAATTTAACTACTTTTTGTCATATTACTAGTATTATTGACATTACTTAATTATAAAGTAATAGTAAAGAGATTATCAAAACTCTTATCTATTTCTGCTTTTTTTAGATCTACTCTTAATTTTTTAATTTTTATATTTTATAATTTAAGATCCAATTATTTTTAGATTTTCTCCAATTCATCATAAATTCCTTTTCCCTTATCTACACAAGCATAATCTTGATTATTTAATAAATCTAAAGGTAATTCTCCATTTTCTGTTTTAGTAGAGAAATAAACTAATCTATCCTTAGCTGTAATCTTCCATAATTCAGCCTAAGATAAATAACTTTATAACAATTCTTTAATTTATTTTTTTGTTTATTATTCTAGTGATTATGTTAATGTAGTTAATTATTCTATAAGTTTCTGTTCTTTGAGATCTAATAATTAATGCAATTCTTTAAATTTTTCTTTGACAGTATTATGACTTTCTGTAAGAACATTTGAAAATCTTTCTTATAATGGTTCAAAATATTTTAATTCTGTTAATTCACTTTATTTTTAGAGTATCTTTTAATATATCTACATAATATTTTCAGCTTTTTAAGTTATTTCTTTAACAACATCATCAACAGATCTAACTTCATGATGTCTATGTTATCCAAATAATGCACATCTTGTACAAATTCTTACTTGATCTGTAAGACAAACAATTTCCAATTTTTCTAGATGTTCTTAACATAAATCATTAGGAATATCATTAGAAATTATGTTATTCAATTAGAGTTGATAACCTATATCACCATCATCATTTCTTGATGATTATCGACTTTATTAGTATTAAGCCTTATGTTTGATTACCATTTTTAATAATTGACAATTTTTTGGAAATTATGAGATTTCATTTTTGTTTTTAGCCATGATACTATAATATATAATAATTTTACCCATCTTCTGGACAAACAATGTACTTTTTATTGATTAGCATTTATTAAATACAATTTTAACATATTGTATGTCCACAATCTGGAAGCATCAATGGTAAATTGTCATTTTCATTAAACATCATTTAACATTCTGGACATATAAGCTCTTCTATTTATTACATTTTTGAATTCAAAAACAGTTGATATTAAATTTATAATAAATATATATTTTCATGCAATAATCATAATTACACAAACATATAGATGATGGTTTACTTTAGTAAGAATTACAAAATGGATATTCTTAAGATGAAATATTGAATGCATGGTATGCTTCATCTGGAAATAGATCTCTTTTTTAATAGCTTTTATAAGGAATGAAAAATTAATCATTTATAATTAGTCCAATTACTCAATAATTTAATGATGATATCTAAGTAGCTATGGAAGCATCATTAACATTACATTAATAAAATATTCCAGAAGGTAAAATTAGGATAGATAAAATACCATGTGGATTATTAAATGTAGGGAATACATGTTATTTTAATTCTCTTCTTTAAACTTATTATTTTATTTCAGATTTTGTGTCTCCCATAATTAAATGTAAATTTGATCATATAAATCTTCAAAATATTGTTGATAAGAGAGTAGTTAATTCAATCTAACTTCTTAAAAACTTATAAAATCTTTTTGTACTTATGATTGGAAGTGATAGGTAATTTGTTGATCCAAAATAAGTTATACTTTCAATATATGATGATTTTGGTAAAGCTTTACCTATAGGAGATTAAAAAGATGTTGGTGAATTTAATAATTATTTTTTATCAAGAATTGATGAAGGTATCACTTATTTAACTTAATCATAATAAAAAGGTTAGTAATAATAATTTTAATAAAATTATCCTGGATAATCTGTTATTTAAAATCCAACTAATTATTCACATTAATAGAATAAAAGTTTTATTTCATAAAAATCATTATTATTTAGAAAATCATCAGTTATTGCAGAAAATTCTGTTATGTATAAATTGTTTTATGGCAAATTTACACCTTAAATTATAATATAAGGTTAGGGAAGTAAAGATTGTTAACAAGAAATATTTAATTATATTCAAATAGATGTGAATAGTAAATCTTTAATAGAAGGATTAGAAAAATAATTGAATTAAGTTGTGGAATACAAAAATGATATTGATGGATATTCAGAAGCAATCAAATAGTTTTGGATATCATAAGCTCCTCAAGTCCTTACTTTTTAGATATAAAGAGTAGAATTTAATAAATAATTTTGTAATTTCTTTATATAATTAATTAGGTTCTTTTGCTAAAAATAACTCTCCTTTTTTATTTGATAAAGAAATATATATAGATCGTTTTCTATTATCTAATCAAAAAATTGCAAGAGATATACAAACATAGAATTAATAAATGAATGATAGATTAAAGAAAATTGATGAAGAATTAGAAATGTTAAATTAATTTAATGGAAATGTTTAAATTATTTAAAATTTAGAAAATACATTATAATTTTTGAAATTATAAACCCCAAATGAAAAATAAAATCCATTTTATGTAAACAACAATGACAATTAAGCAGTTATTAATTCAATTTCTTAATATCATTAATATTTTATTAAAAAAAGAGACTCATTATTAAAAGAGAAAAAAGAAACAGAATTAAAAATTTCTTAAAGTTATAATAACTTAAAAAAGTAGAAATACATTTTATAATCCATTTTAATGCATGAAGGTAGTCCTAATGCTGGTCATTATTTTGTATACATTTATAACATTGATGATCAAAAATGGTATGTATTTAATGACACTCTTGTTCAAGAAGAGACAGAAGAAAATGTACTAAAATATGCTTTTGGTGATTAAACAAATTCTAAAAGTGCTTATTTAATTTAATATGTCAAAGAAGATAAAGTTAAATAAACTTAAAACTAAAATAAGAAGTAAAAGCTATTTAGTACAAGTAATGATACAAATAATTATTTAAATGATGTATATGGATCATTATTATCATAATAATAGAGAGATTTTCTATATTAAGATAATCAAAAGTTAAAAAAAGAAATTATTTAATAGTAATTAGTTACCTAAATAGAAATAATTGTTTCAATATATCATTAATATTTAGAGATTGCTAATGAAAAATAAATAAAATATTAATAAAAATAATATAAGTTATTGTAATACAAACCACCTTTAATTGAAAATTTTGCTATGTATTTGAAAATGAAACCTGATGAGAAAATGTTCAGATGGGTAATATTAGATTATGCAATTAAAAAAATGATGCCTACGACCGATGGATTATTTGGTAAACCTCATTTTGATGAGAATTTAAAGATATAAATATTAGCTGAAGTTAACAAATACGTATATAATAAACCAATATAACCAATTCCTTAAAATTAAGAATATTAATAATTATTAGATGAATACAAAAATGTTCTTAAATTATAGAGTATGATTGCTTATGTCTTGGAATAATACAATAATAATAATTTAAAAGAAACTGTAATTGCTTTACATTTTTATATGAAATTAGCAAAACTCACCAATTAATAATCCTTTTTTTATAATTTAGCCTTATAATTGAAACCTCTAGTTTTATTAGGAATCATTTGTAAAATATTTTATCAGAAAAATATTGGTGATTAAGATATACTAGTTTTTAAACTAATAATAGCATTTTAGATGTAGGAACACTTTCTATATAAAGATTTACCATTATGGAGTAAGCAATTATAGAATTTAATTGGTGTTGCTCTTTTAACTTAAGGTTAAAATGAAAAACTGTCATAAGATGTACTTAAACCTTTAATTCAAAATAAGAAAGACTTTGATATGTGCTCTTAATTAGATACATCTTTTCAAGTAAAATACTATATTATTCTAGAAAATTGATTAATATTACTAATCCATCTAGTCTATATATTTAAACAAATAATTTGAAAGTGATCTAGATGACTACCTATAAGATAATTCAATGAATTCTTTATAGACCTTTTTATAAATAAAAGTAAACTCTTATATTTATCTATTAGTGTATTTTGATTTTATTTGATAAAATATAGAAATCCAATTCAATTTTGGATAAAAAAGATATTATTAAAATAATCGAAGAAAACCCTCAAAATAAATGAATAATAATATATATATATATCAATAACCATAATTTTAAGTAACATTATTGCCTGCAATATATGCACTTACATTTCTTAATCTCTTGAATTGCATTTATTAATCAGTAGATTTTTTAAATGTTCCATCCACATATGCTCTTATAGATTATAATAATAAATTTACTTTTATTTTAATTTTTCATAATCAACATGATTAGATAATCCAGGAACAACTCCAATACCAGCTTATTGAGGATCATCTTCTGCCTATTTTATATATGTGTATTTGATACTTCGAATATTTTCTTATTCATATTTAATTCTACCATACTCATAGATGCTTCTTATTATTTTCTATTTTTGTCTTCTTCAATTTACATAATTAAATCTTATCTATATTAAGATTATTGTATATTCTTTTTTTCATTTTATTCTTTTTCTTGCATTTAAAATTTTTAATGAAGTCCAAGCAAAACTTCTTGATCTTTATATTTGCTATTTTACTATTCTCTTTAACTTTGCTGTTTAGAGTGAATTTGATTTAAGATTGTGTCAACAGTATCCCTTTTTAATTTTTCTTTATTAACTCTTTCCATAATATATTTTTCTTCTTCTTATCTTTACTTATATGAAGCAGCTTCTTCAACAAATTTTCTTTGAAGTTCTTTATCTTTATACTCTTTTTGTAAATATAGATCGTTATACTTCTGTAAAACATTTTCATTCTAATGATATCCATACTTAATTTTGCTTAGATGCTAATTCATAAGAATTAATGATTACTAATAATCGTTACTCTTCTTCTTTTTGGCTTCTTTATAATTATTCTTATAGAATTTATTATTCTCTTTATCTAGCCAAATATTAATCCATTTTTTTTTATTCCTCTTATTAAGCATAAGATTATGCTAAATCTTTTTGGACTTATTCCTTTTTCTATTATTTTAGATATATATCCTTTTTTTCTGCTTAATCCATCATCTATCCAATTTAAAATTGTTATTATCTATCCTATAAAAAGTTAACTCGCTTAAAAATAATAAAAAATATAGATACTTATTATTCTTTCTTCATTTATTCTTATTCAAGACTATATCTTATAAATTCAGATTATTTTTATTTAAGTTCTTACAATTTCAATTATTCAACACTATCTCTCTCATGTAAGAATTTCTGCATAGCTCCAGCAAATTCAGAATCGTATTTTGTTTTCTAAATAGTTGATTGTTTCTATTCATTAATCAATCTTTCCAATTCTTCTCTATTTTCATTTATATTATATACCTATATAACCGCTTTCTATTTTCTTATTCTTCTTTCTCCTACTTTTCTTAAGTTTCTTATTGTATTCTTTATCTGTCAATCAATCTTGACCATTAACCACTAGGATCTAAGATGGATAAAATAAGTCAATTACCATGTTTACTATAATGAGTCATATTAACAAACAAAAAAGTAAAATTAATAAAATTTATTTATTAAATATTAAATAACTAGAACACTTAACAAGTTCAAATCAAATTAGTAATATAATAAATTAATTAATTAACAATGCGTGGATCACGTCCTTTGAGTCCATAATCAAACTAATAATAAGTCGAGAAAATGAAGTTAGCCTAAACAGCAATCAAAAAACGAACATCTAAACCTAATTTCTTTACTACTTACAGAACACATGTTATTATATCAAGTATTAATCTAAATATATTAAATTAGTTATTGTTGGAATAATCATCATTGTAGTCTTATCATTTACTAAATAAATTAAAGAGTATATCATAATTAATTAGTCAGAAATCAACTTCCATAATTCTTAAGGATATCCTTATACTTTAGGACCAAATGATTTCTTTTAAGTAATTTGATCATATAATTAGAATGTAACATTAATGCAAGCTAAAACTTTGTTTAAGAATGATTTCACTTAATAAATTAATGTAGAAAAATGCAAAGTACCTATTAATTTTGAAATTCCAACTTATTTTAATTTCAAAGAATCCTATCCTAATTGCTCTCATATTATATTCAATTAAGGCAATTGTTCATCCTCTTATTCTATTGCTGTTTCTTCTGCCTTTTCAGATAGAGTCTGCAAAGTCAATTAAACTCAATAATTATCAGCTTAAAATCTATTATCTTGTGATGGCAAATTGAATTAAGGATGTACTGGAGGACATATAACTAGATCAGCTGAATATATTATTAAACATGGATTAACTACTAATGAATGTCACCCATTCAGAGGTGATGATAATTTCTAAGAATGTACAAAAACATTTGAAAAATGTTAAAGATATAAAGCTAATTCATTTTGTTAATTATAGAATAAGGATGTATATAATTATTTTATTTTTAGGATATTAAACGAGATATTATTAATAGAGGTCCTGTAGTTGCTATTATGCAAGTCTATAAAGACTTTCTTGTTTATAGGGATGGAGTGTATTAGGTTTTAGAAGGAACACCAAGATTTCATGGAGGACATGCTATTAAAATTGTTGGATGGGGAGAATAAAATGGATATTAATATTGGATTATTGAAAATACATGGGGTACTACTTGGGGAAATGAAGGATTAGCCAAACTTGCTATTGATGGTTTTATAGATCTGTCATAACAAGCATTATCAATTATTTATTGAATATTATTATAAAGTATGCATATTTTTGATGTTAATTATTCAAATAAATCAAAATTTCAAATGATAAGAACACCATCTCATTCCTTATATATGAGAAATTCTCATAATTAATCTCATTCACCAATACCTTAATAAAAATTTGTTACTCCAGAAAAATTAGTTAGAGTTAGTGGAAGTTCAGGTGTAAAAGTAAATTCAATTTCAAAAAATGGCACAAGAATTAAAAGTGAAGCTATTGAAACTGTTAATAAGATTAAAGAATAATAAAAGCTATAAGAATATGTTTAAGAATTTGAATATAGTAATTTTTATCAATAAAGACTTAGAACTTGTACAATAAAAAAATGAAGAATAATAATAATTAGAAATGAGAATCTTAATGTTATTGCAATAGAATCATGATTAAGTACAAGAAATGGAAATATTGAAATAAGAAAATGAATAATTAAAGCAACTTTTATATGAATAATAGACTAAAATTGTTGAATAAAGTTAAGAAATCTTAACATTAAAAGTTTATAAAGATGGATTAAAGAAATTAAGTTTTAGTGATTACTTTCGATAATAAAATATATGATTTTCACTATTTTTATTATACATATATATTGTTTCTTTGGAAATATAATAAATAATAATATCTAATGTTAGAAAAATATGATAAATTCTTTAAACTATGTCTGCCAATTGAAATAAAGTAATTATATAAATCTATTAAATAAAATTAATAATAACTTTTCAATTATTTTTTAGTTATTCTTTTTTTACTCTTTATATAAAAAAGATGACACATTTGTTTAGATGATTTTTGATTGTTTTTCTAGAATTAAATTTAATCCATTATCCTTTATTAATTTTTTTTTTAAATTTTGAAATTGTATAGATCCTTTCAATTTATTAATTAAATACTTATGATATAATTTATAAATGTCTTATGGTATACATTAATTATTATATGGATAATATTCCCAGTAATTGTATATATATATATAAATTATGAATTAGAAAAAAAATAGAGTTATTATGTTTTTCCAAATTATTATAATCTATTTTGTTTGATTTAAAGAGATGAAATTTAATATCAAGAGCGTTCCATATATAGAATTGTTTATCATTAAGTCTTTAGTTATTAAAGAAATTTTATATAATAGATAAAAAATTATGTAGTAATTTGATTAAGAAATCCTGGTTAGTGAAGTGGTTCAAATCAGAAATACTAAAACAGGAAGCTATTTGACTGCTACAGGATTTAATACTTAAGAGAAGGGATTTTTGTTTAGTAGTACTCCAAACATAAATAATTATTACGTGGTTGGAAGTGATGATCCAAATAACCATTATACACTTTGGACTATAATTAAAATGTTTGATGATATAAATAGAATAAATTATGGTGATATTGTTTTTCTAAAGAATTTAAGTACTAAATTGTTTTTGATATATGAATTTGAGAAGTATTCAGAAGTTTCTAATTAAGTAAGGGTTTCCTTGCATGAGAAAAGATAAGAAAATTATCCATTGATTTTGCAATAAAAGGGAGAATAAATATTTTAAACAAAGTCATATAATATATAGAGTGGTGTACAATTAAAGATCTAAACTACAAAATTAACTCATTTTTTATAAGCCTCAAATAAAAATTATACTTCTAAATAGGTCAAAGAATATAAAGAAATATCTTGCAGTAAGGATAGTGATTATAATAATTGGGAAATTATTAAATTGAATCCAGAGAAATAATAATTATTTGAAATTAAACCAACTTGGTAATTGAAGATAAATAATCAAGAAATCTTTGATAGTGATAAAATAATTATAAGAAATTATAAAAGTGGATACTCTTTGCATTCTCATAAAAATAAATATTCTTCTACTGGAAACCAAGAAATTACATGTTTTAGTTATGAAAGAGATGGTAATATTATTTATTAAAAATGATAGTTAATGATTGGTGGGTGATATAATAAACTTTTTAAATGGCCTAAAAGTAGATCCAAGATTAAATGCCAATAAATTTAGTTCATTAAGAAACAATCAAATTTTTAAGTGTAGATGAGATAAATCTAACCAAATCTAAAAATGGTAATTAAGTCAGGGGTATGCCATCACCTATATAATAATCATTTATTATTTCAAGTATATATATAATTATCATTTTATAGCTATTGATAATTAATAACTCATTGTGGGTAAACCATTTTTTTTATTTTATTAACCAATCAATAAATATTTGTGTTAAGGACCATCATTATCAGAAATGCAATAAACATAATATGAAGTAATAATGACAGATAAATTATCAACTTCATGTTTATGGGTTATTGAAAAAAAAATTAAATGAATATAAAATTATTAATTTAAAATGATGATAAATTAAAAAAATTGCACACAGTGAGATTTGAACTCACGCGAGAATGACTCACCGCATCTTGAGTGCGGCCCCTTAGACCACTCGGGCATGTGTGCTATATCGAGAATTTGGTTTTGATTTCAATTATAAACTAGTCAAAGTATACTTTATTTAATAAGAAAACATGCATAATAAAATTATTTATTTCTTAAAATTTCCCATTTTCATTCAATCTAATTATAATTTGTATTTAAATTAATATGATTTTGAGTTTTTTTTAATTTTAAAGTGAGTATTTTTTTTGATTAAAAGTTTTTTATGATAAGTTAATAATTTGGATGAAAATTTATATTTTAATCATTTTAGAAGTAATTTAAATAGTATAGTCTTACATATATATTATTGAATTTTTATAATCACAATTGATTTATAATTTAAATGTATATATATTAGTATTTTATATTAAATTATTTTAAACGAAGTTCTAAGGTTTGATTATCATTTGAAAATATTTATTTCCTTTATTTGATTGTTTCCAATTGAGATTTCAATAAAAAAAATTAATTAATATTATAATATAACTCTGATCTTTAATAAATTATTTAGATTCATATTTATAAATTATAGAAAATAATTATAATTTATTTATTTTGAATACCAGATTGAATAATTTCAAACTCATAAATATTCTTTTAATATTTAATTGCTGAATTCCCATAATTCTTCAATTTAATTCAATTTCTCAATAGTTTTGCTGCACTTGCTTAATTTGTTTTTTTCATAATATCCACCATTCAATAGTTCTCTGTATGGCATTAAAGCACAATATAATGTTGTTTCAGCACCTTCTTCAACTGATAAAGTCATAGGTCTGAAAAACCAAAACAAAAGCTTTTATATTATTTACAATAGTATTGTATTTCCAGCTTTATCTAAGAGTTCAGTTTTTATTACTCCAGGATGAAGAGCTACTACTTTTGTATTCTTTAATATTTAGGATAATTTTAAACTCAATAATACTCCACAATATTTTGTATTATTATAATTTTCTAAATATTTTCCATTTAAAACATCATTAAAATTCAATTTAGATCTAATCAATTCATGCATAACAGATGAAACTATTATTATTCTACTTTCCTTGCTCATTGAATCTAATAATAGTCTTGTTAAAAGAAAATGCCCTAAGTAATTAGTGGCAAAAACTAATTCATGATTATTTTTATTATATTTGTGCCACCATTATGCAATACCAGCATTATTAATAAGAATATCTAATACACCAAATTTAATTTTAAAATTCTTAACAAATTCTTTTACATTATCATAATCATCCAATTAAAGATTCATATAATGTAATTTTTAATTTCCGGTTTCTTATTTAATTTCATTAATAACTTTCATTGTTTTCAATTCATCTCTACATGCAAATATAATAGTTGCATTTTACCATGCCAATCTTTTTGCTGTTTCCTTTCCTATCCCTGCACTTGCTCCTGTTATTATAACAATTTTGCCTTCCAAATTAACTTAATTATATATCCTTATTGGACCTCTTTAATATCTATGAACATAATATGCTATTATAAAATAAGTTAATGTCAATAATGGTAAAGAATAATGAAGGTAGAAGAGTATAATCAAACTACTTCCAATAATAGGGTAATATTTTGATTAAATAATATTATTAAACATTTTTTATTGTTTTTATATTGTATAAATATATTTTGTAATTTGTAATACTTATACCAATTAATTTAATAAGTATTATCAAATATATTGGTTTTATAAGCAAAGAAAATGAATAAAAATAATTCAAAGGATGAATTTTACTGCTTCTTAAGGAAATTCTGTTATAATTCCTTAAAGCAATGTGCTACTCCTTTAATATATTTTACCTATGTCTTATTCATCAAATAATTTCTTAATATCTTCATTATCATCTTAAAATGTCCATCCATATATAATTAAGCCATTCTTTTTAGCCTCATTATAATATTCATGAGTTTAATTATTTTACCAAACTAATCTTAGATCTAATCCAACTATTTTAGCATATTGAACAATTTCAGTTATCGTTGGAATATTTTTATCTTCAAACCAAACCAATTATGCTAAAGGAAGATCAGAACGGGCACTAAAATATTACAGAACTTATTTATCAAATGCCATAATCACTATTGGTAATTTTTAAGAGCATTCATTAAGTGTACTTAAACCTTATTCTTATAAAAAGTTATGTATAATTTAAGCAATATTAATATTACAGTATTTCTAATGATATTCGAAATCTTTAATTTCTAAAAGGATTCCTTTCTTATTGTCAGTGTTTTAATTATACTTCAAAAAATACTCAAATATTTCTTTTAAAGAAGGTATTTAAAGATGTCCATCATATTCACTTTTACGATTATTAATACATTAACTCAAATGTAATTCTTTCAATTCTTCAAAAGTGAAATCAGAAATCCACCAATCTGATTTTTCTTTATCATATAGAATTCTAGACTGTTTTCGATTTTCAAATTTAATATGATTTTTAACATCACTTACTAAACTTAAAAAAGCATCATGACAAACTACAGGTAGTCCATCTTTGTTTAAAACAACATCTAATTCAATAAAATCAGAAAATTAGAGTGCAGATTTAAATCCTTCTAATGTATTTTCTACGTTTAAGTTATAAAATACCTGGGTAAAGACTGGATAATCCTCTATGAGCAGCTATAAGAGGCTTAACTTTTTAGTAATAGGACAATAACATGAATTTTTAAATTGTGGATTTTAAAAATGATATATTATATTGCGTAGGATTTGTTCCTTTATATAATTCATAATTTAATAATTTAATGAATATTATTATGTAATTTATACGTTATAGCAATTCAATATTTTTTATCTTTAATAATCGTAGTAGTCTTAGACTTGGTTAAATATTTGTTGCATTTATGATCTACAAAGTCAAACAATTAAACATCAACACCCATTCCTATTTTTCTTGCTTCATTATTATATTTTACTACATTCTTATTTAATTTATGCCTAATTAATAATTTCTATACATGTCATCCACATATTCTACCATACATTATTCAGTTTAAGCAATCATTCTTCTTAATTCAGCTAAATCATCATAAGGTCTTTCTTCTTGAGCAATCAAATCTTTAAGCATATTATTACAATCAGTTTCTTCCTTATAATACTCTTTAGTCTGATTCTATTTTTTTTATTATTTTTATGGCATTGAATTAACTGCTGTGATTAAAAAGGTGTCTTTTTTTCTCTATGCAGCTAATTTCTTTCTTCCTTCTTCAAAAAATGAAGGATTTGCTTCTTTCTTTTATTAAATTCTCTATTTTGCTTATTCAAGTAAATCAACTTTTGGTTGTAATGTTTAAACTTATTCTTATTTTGGTTAATCAATAAAGAGGTTATCCAACTTGGAAAACAAATTCTAGTTTCAAATGATCAAATAACCTCTTCTAATTCACTAATTTTACTTTTTCTGCTTAAAACAGGTTGAGATTATGTTGGAAACGATCTTTGCATTATAATATATTTATTTTATTAATATATATATAGATATTCAATTCTCACCTAATTTGACTTTTTTTTCTGCTTATTCCCATTATTCTAAATTGCTGCTTGAAAAAGATAAGATTGAAGAGGATCTAGAAGTTGTTTCATTTTTGATTGAATTGGAATGATTAATGAATATTTCAGCTTCATCATCACTAATAACTACAAATGTCTTATTTATAAAATGATCTAATGCTTATTTAGTTATTTTAATTTTTGTATTCTTCAATTAAGGAGTATTCTTTTCAATGATTTCAAATGAGGAATCTTAATCATTAGTATGTTTTTTTTGCATCATTTATTTCTTTGTTAATTTTCTGAATCGAGGTTTATTTTCTGTTAAGAGTTAATCTGTAATTACTGCTAAAACTCCATCAGTTGACATCACACGATTTCTTTTCATATTTATCATATTTAATTTATTTTAATTCAATATAATGGAAATAGAATTTTTAAATAATAAGATATTCTTATGTTATATGTTTCATCTATATATACTAGCCAATGTCTTGAAACTATCTTTTAAATGAATTGATTTATATGTTGATTAACCTTATCTTAATTTGTTGAGTTGAATTGGATACAATTTAAAAGATCGAGGTGATGATTACGTTGGTTCAGTTTTAATTCTATGAGATGGAAATGCCGAATATCTTTAACTGTATTGAAATATCTTAATTTGAGATTACTCTAAAAGTAATTTGGTAGTTCTCGAGACAGATTTATATTTGTTGATGGGCGACTTATTTTAACTTATATATGATATTTTGATGTTTTCCTATTAAATTTGAGATTTTAGTTTATCTTAATACTTATGTCTTCTGGATATACTGCTTTAGTTTTTTATTTATTATAAAAACTTATTAAATTTGTCAAAAAATGGATCATTTTAATGTCTTATTTATTTTTCACTCATTTTTCCACATTAAGCACAATAACAACTATATCTTCGTCTTTTCTTTATATTTTTATTATTAGATGGCTACTTTATTTATTTCACCATCTCATCAAAATCTTAATTAGATGTCTTGAGCATTTTTAATGTTTAGATTATTGTTTTGCTTTTACTAATATCTTAAATTCCTCTTCTAAATTTAAGAATAGCCACATCCTCCATAATTTATGTTTACCTTCTTCTTTTTTCTCTCATCTCTATCTCATGAATAGATTATTTAGTTTTATATTCAGGTAAAATGTTTTTTAATCTAATCTAAAATTTACTCATCTATCCAAATTCATCTCCATAACAACTAATTCTTCTGGTTTACCCATTTTAATTATCCAAAATATACTTATTTTCGAGATTTACAAAACTTTGACAAAATTTATTTTTTTTTTCAACTATTTCTCTTTTAATCGTTACATTCCTTCTATTTCTATACCTTTTCATACTTAAACTTATTTATTTAATAAATATTAATATTTAATTATAGACATTCATTAACGATTACTAAATTTTGGATTATATTTTTAAACCTCATAAATATTTAGTATTTCGATTGTCTTCATATAAGAACTTTTAACCATTGGAAGATTTAGTTTCTTATTCGTATCACATTTCCCTCCAAATTCTCTACTACTAGAATTTGTCTTTAAATTATATTTTCCTTGTTCACTCTTTAGAATATTTCTATTTTATTATCCTCCATTTATTTATTTCTTAGGTTTAACTAATTATCTCTTAAATGTTTTATGAACAACTTAATTAAAAAGATTGCAAATATTCTTATTATTTTAATTATTCTCTATATCAAAATTATCATCCTATTAAACTAATCTTATTGGACTTATTCCTTTGAATATTTATTCTAAATTCTACTTTCGATTCATTTTTTTATTTTTCTCTATATTTATTTTTATTGATTTACTAAATTCTTGAAATTTACTATTCATCCCACATTGTTAACAATCACAACTTTTTTATCTCTTATATTTTTTTTATATATGTAAACATTTAAAGATTTTATCCTCACCATTAATTCCAATTCTAATATTATCATAACTGATATGTCTTTAAGATGAAGATTTAAAGTTATGGTTTAAATTAGTTTTAATTTTTGAATATTATTGTATATAACTAGGAACATTCATATGCTTGTATTAAAATTAGTTCAATTTTCCACAATCATGACAAGTACAACTTTTTCTTCTCTACTTTTATTCATCCCAAATATTCTCTTTTTAGATTATTTAAAAGCTCCTTTGTTTCTTCTATTCTTAGAGAATAATAGAAGTGAAGGACATTTATAAAAAAAGTATTTGATTATATAATTATATAATAATTAAATATCAAAATTAAAGAATGATCAAAAAATCCCAGATTTTTAATGATGTATTTTGAAATTATCTCTTTATTAGTTTGAAATAGGTTATTTCTGAAGTTGTTTTTATTGAGGGCTTCTATTTTAGTTAAATTAAAAATAAGGTAGATTTTTTCTTTTATTTACAAGAGGTGATAAGAAATCAGTTCTTTATCTTGATGATATTTCAAAACAATTTAATGATTATTAATGATGAAGTATTCTTGGATTTTTAGTTTTTTTTAATTGAAATTTGGACAATAATTGGTTATCATTTAAATCCAATTCAATCATTCTCTTTTTTAAATGTCTAAGTTCACTATTTTTTGCAGGAGAAAATTATTCTGTATATTATTTTCTAAATTAATATCTTTTTATTGTTTTCTTAATTCTAAATTAGTTAATAGGAGATTATTATTATTTTTTGATCATTTCATAATTTTGCCATTTTATTTAAAACTTATTTAGAGTACCACATTAAGAACAATCACAACTTTTTCTATTTCTAGACTTTGTAATATTCTCTAATAATAAGCGTTGAAAATTAATTATTGATTTACTTCGAAAAGAATAAGATATATTAGTATTATTTCTGGACTAATATTGTACTTTTAGAAGTTCTTATTGTTACTGTAATTTTTATTGTAAGATATGATTATTTTAAAAGAAATTGATACAAGTTGAGAGATTCATTTGTGTATATTGAAATAAACTCATTTTTCCACATAATTAACAATAACAACTTTTTCTTCTATGCTATTTTTTATATATATGTGAAGATCTTTCTTCTTCAAATGAGTAATCCTTAAAATGATGACTCTTCCAAATATCAGTATTTTATTTTTATCTCCTGATAAAAGGCACATCAAATTATTACATTAATTATAATATATATAATGTATATATATATATATATCAAGGAGTACTATCCTCTTCAAAATATTACTCCTCATTAATTTCAGATTCAGGTTTTGGTGGATACTCATCAAGTGTTTGGATATGAATTTAATTTCCAGCAAGAAATTATAGAGTGAAATCTTAATCTTATATAAAGAAATCAGCTAATAATTATTTCACCTAAGATTTAAGATATTTAAATATACTTAATTAATTTTAACTTTCTCTTCTTCAATTTATTCTTCCTCTTATTCCTTTTAATCTTCTCCTGCCTCACTCTAAGGAAATTATGATCCTTTTTAACTGGGTTCTGGAGCTTATTCAATTTCTTCCTCATTTCCTATATTTTGAAAATCTTCTTAGTTAAGTACTTTCTCCAATTTTTCACCAATAATAGTCACTACACAATCTTAATTGAAATCATAAGCAACTTAATGTCCTTATTTTTAGGCATGTTAATGTCTATCTTTTTTTTCTTGATTCATTTCATAAATAAATAAACCTAATTCTCTATTAGTTAGATTAAATACTGGAACATTAATTTCTTTTGTAGTTTTAACTAAAATATTAATATTTCATAATATATTACTATTAATAGGTTCCTTAGGTGGTTCTTCTTTGAGACCTTTTTTATTTCCTTTTCCTCCTTTCTTTTCTTTTAATTTTTCCAATCTCTCTCTTTCTCTTTCAGCTTCTTCCTCTCTTAATTTCTTAAGTAAAGCAATAGCTTCAAAATCAGGAACAGTTATTTATTTTTAAATATTGTATAATCCAAGGTTAGCATCATCTATCCAAAATAATCTTTATGCATTTTATATTTCTTGTTTAACAATTTCAATAGTTTTAGGTCCATAATCTAAGAGTATCTTTCCTTCTTCTAATTAAATATTGCCTTCAGGTACAAAAGGTGCAATAGTGGAAGTCACAATCTATACATGTTCTTAATTTGCAGGATCATATTCTTCAGGTAATGTAGTAATTAGATAATCTTATGGACATATTAACCTTGCTTTAGGTTTTGGTTGTTCTGGTAGATGACTAATTCTTGTTAATCTTTATGGAGGTTTTTCAGTTGATTCATCTCTTAAAACATTAAGTAGATTTTTAATAACCTCTCTTACAGCTTCTGACACAAGATCACTTGGTATCTCATACATAGTTAAATAGAATGATAATCCTAGTTTACCTAACAAAACTATTGATGATAGATGTCCAGATAATTAATCAATTGTTAATAATTTATCACCTGTAAGATCTCCACCTAGAATGAGAGTTCCATTTCTTTCTTAACAACCCATAAGATTATGACATAATATATGTATATCTTTGGCAATAGCTGAAGATAAAATTGTTTAATCTGCATTCATATGAATTATGGAAGGATAAAATCTTGAAAAGAAATTCACTCTATCTCCTATAATATAAATATTGCCATAAGGTAATAGAGTTCTGAAAGGTGTTTTTGATTCAATATCAGGTTCTTCTTCAGTGTAACCAACTTCATCTGGATAGAAAAATAAGTTTTCTAATACTAAAACACTATTTTCTTAATATGTTTAAGTTTCTAATTATTCATCTAAATTTTCAATGATAGCATCATTAAAATATACTGGACATTCTACATGTGTCTTTAACCATTCATAAAAGAATTTAGTTGAAGATGTAAACTTATATTTTCCACTTGGATTATCATAACTTACAAGTAATACAACAATTTTAGCTTATCTTTCCATCAATAATTTAATAGTATCAACACATTCTTGAAGTGTTGCTTAATCTAAATGACTTAAATCATAATTCTTTTATTAAACTATTGATATTAATTTTAAATATTACCTTATACAACTTCAACTTCTTTTTATTTAACTGGTTTACCTTTACCTTTTTTCTTTGCTGCTTCTTAAGCCAATCTTTCTTTTTCTAATCTTTCTTCTTCCAATCTTTTATTTTCTTCTTCTTATTCTTTAAGTAATGTTTATTCAAATTTTTCTTTAAGTTCATAAACATCAAGTCTATTAGCTAATTTTAAATGTATTTTTAATCCTATTTTTTTTCCTTCAATATCTGAATCTTGAATAGTTTTTTTTCTAAGAAGATCATAAAAATAAGTAGATTAATATCTTCTCCTTCTAAAAACATTCCATTTTAATTCTGGTTTCATCATTGCTCCTACTTATAATAATTATCCATCATTTTCTAATTTAATAGCTGCTTATGCTAATGCTTCAGATACTTTAACTCCTAATTTATTTTTATATTCTTCAATTAATTCTTTTTCCATATCATCATTCCATTTCTTCTTTTTTGCATTTTTTAACCAATTAGCTTTCATTTTATTAAATTCATCTAATTTAGCTTTAGCTTTTTCAGGTGTTAAATCTTCAGGTTCATGAAATGTATATTCCCACATTTATAATTCCTTACGCATATCTTCAGATAATTAAGGAACTTGATTAGCCACATCTCCTAATAAATCTTTAACAACACTATATATAGGATTTCTAGAAATTGGTACTTTCTTAGCCAATTTAACCCACAATTCTAATTTACGTAATACTAATTCTTTGACTTCTTCTTCATCTATAGTATGACATGATTATCTTAATAATTTAACATCACCATTCCAAGGTATATCTTATTTTAATACTTAACATATTTCATCTGATGAAAAATTAAAGAAATTCATAATTTCATGTGTAAACCATAATTATTCTCCTAAATTTAATTCTTCAAATTCTATTTTAAATTATTCTGGATCATTAAGATCTGGTTTAGGAGGTGGTGGTGTTTTAACTTCTTCAAATATATCATCAACTATTTCTGTTGCTATTTTTAATGCAAATTTATTTTTAATTTATTTTTGAAATTCTTTTCTTCCATTGGTTAATTCATCATCTATAAATGAAATACCTGTTAATTTTAAATTAGGTAATTAAGTTAAACATGGAGGTTCACATTTCAATTCCCATTCTTCATTAAATACACCTGCTTATTTTGATAGAAAACTAAAAACAAATTTAATTCTTTCTCCTGGTTTTATAACATTTTAATCATGATGACAAAAGAACCTCTCCTCATTTATATCTTAAATTGAATTAGGCTATTTCCTAACACTTTCAATTCTCTTCCATTCATAATAAATAGCTGCACTTCCATTATTTGAAACTACTACATTATCATAACCGACTGTTTCAGTTTTAACCAAAAATGATATATGCTCTTTCTCCATTTTCAACTTAATGTATTTAATTCGAATTCATACCTAAGGTCCCTCTACCTCATTTTTCTTCTCCTCCTCATCTAATTCAGATATTATACTAATAGCTCCTTTTGGTGTGCTTGCTTTTTGATCCTATTTATCTTAACCTCCTCTACTCTTCAATGATGGTACACCTGATGTAGGTTTCTTTATTTGAATTTTAGAAAGTGGCATGTATGACTAAATTAAATAAGATTCAAATACTACTCCTCCTCCTCCTCCTCCTGGATTAGATGGATATAATTTAGATTATTTATATGAATCATCAACTTTCTTTTTAACTAAGAATGTCTTCTTTTTTAGTTAAGTTTGATTCAAACTATCGTCCATAATAATATAATATATAATTAATATAAATCAAATAAGTATTTCATCAACTTTTCCTTCATTATCATCTATTTTCTAACTAGGTACTTCAGACATATTTCTATATTCATCATTATTACCTCATTTTCTCATTAATAAAACAACACCATACCTATAAAAAACCTTATCAAATAAGCATGCATTACTTTTTTCTTTCTCCATCCCAAATAGAAATCATCTATTTTAGATGCTTAAAAATAATCTCCTGAATATCCAAGCCAACAGTGACATTCGCTCTCAATACATAAACCATGTTCAGAACATCGTTTAGGACAATCATTCAATAACATAAATTAGTAAGGATCTTCTACTTATTCAGTCCTCAAAGGTACCATAGTTAATTAGAAATATTTTGATCATTAATACTTTAAAGACTATTAAATTTTCTTTATTTTTTTATAAGATTATTATAATCTAAATTTTCATCATAATTATCTTCTTCACCTTCAGATGTAACATAATAATTCTATTATTTTTTAAATTTATTTCCAGTTAATATAAAATCTTACATATTTACTTTTTTTTTCCAGTTTCAGGTTCATTATCATCATCTTTAAACTACTCCAGTCACATATCCTCCAAATACATATGCAACACCATGATGGGATATCATAGAGAAATTCTCTCTCCCTATAGGAATATCTCCACTTACTACTTTTATTAACAGATTCTCATTAACAATATCAAGAATATATACTTCAATTGAGTATTTTTCGTTCATAATTCCTCCAAATACTATTCCACCTAAGGTTGTCAAAATCATTTTGTGTCCTGCTCTTGGTGTCGGAGCTATTCCTGGCCTAAATAGTTGATTCCAACTTTTTACTTTCTAAATCTAATACAAATAAAAAATTTGTCATTTCTTGTAAAGTATATCCACCAAATATTTACAATCTTGCTCCATTACTAAAGCTCCGAATCCATTTCTACCTACTGGAGGAATGTCAAAAATTTTAGGAGAAGTCCATTCCTTAGTTATGCATCTAATAAAAAAATATAATCAAAGTATTTTATGTCCTAAAAGCATCCTCCCTAATAAAACTATTATATCTCCTGTAGCATGCATCGAATGTCCTCCCCTATTCCTTGGGAAACTCTCGTAAGCTATCAAAGGAGTCCATTCAAATTCTTTCAATACTTATTCAGGTATCTTCAGACTTTTTTTGGTACATACTTAACTCTAGTAATATCATTTAAATTCACAAGATTTGTTAATTCACTTGTTGGATCAGTTGATTTTGAATACCAAGTTCCATCTGAAAATTAATACAGTGTTCCAACCTTTATTGAATAGTCTTTTGGCTATTTATCTGCTTCATCTATTTCATCTACACATTCAAATTTAGGAGCAGGATCTTTTACTAATTTGTTCTTATTCATTCCTAATCTAGCTATCAAAACGAGTTCATATTAACAATTTATTAAGCTCAATAATAAAATTGATCAAAACATAAAATAATATGAGATTGCAATAGGAGAAATTAAAAAAAAATTTTAACTCGTTATTAAGAATAGTTCNCCATGTTCAGAACATCGTTTAGGACAATCATTCAATAACATAAATTAGTAAGGATCTTCTACTTATTCAGTCCTCAAAGGTACCATAGTTAATTAGAAATATTTTGATCATTAATACTTTAAAGACTATTAAATTTTCTTTATTTTTTTATAAGATTATTATAATCTAAATTTTCATCATAATTATCTTCTTCACCTTCAGATGTAACATAATAATTCTATTATTTTTTAAATTTATTTCCAGTTAATATAAAATCTTACATATTTACTTTTTTTTTCCAGTTTCAGGTTCATTATCATCATCTTTAAACTACTCCAGTCACATATCCTCCAAATACATATGCAACACCATGATGGGATATCATAGAGAAATTCTCTCTCCCTATAGGAATATCTCCACTTACTACTTTTATTAACAGATTCTCATTAACAATATCAAGAATATATACTTCAATTGAGTATTTTTCGTTCATAATTCCTCCAAATACTATTCCACCTAAGGTTGTCAAAATCATTTTGTGTCCTGCTCTTGGTGTCGGAGCTATTCCTGGCCTAAATAGTTGATTCCAACTTTTTACTTTCTAAATCTAATACAAATAAAAAATTTGTCATTTCTTGTAAAGTATATCCACCAAATATTTACAATCTTGCTCCATTACTAAAGCTCCGAATCCATTTCTACCTACTGGAGGAATGTCAAAAATTTTAGGAGAAGTCCATTCCTTAGTTATGCATCTAATAAAAAAATATAATCAAAGTATTTTATGTCCTAAAAGCATCCTCCCTAATAAAACTATTATATCTCCTGTAGCATGCATCGAATGTCCTCCCCTATTCCTTGGGAAACTCTCGTAAGCTATCAAAGGAGTCCATTCAAATTCTTTCAATACTTATTCAGGTATCTTCAGACTTTTTTTGGTACATACTTAACTCTAGTAATATCATTTAAATTCACAAGATTTGTTAATTCACTTGTTGGATCAGTTGATTTTGAATACCAAGTTCCATCTGAAAATTAATACAGTGTTCCAACCTTTATTGAATAGTCTTTTGGCTATTTATCTGCTTCATCTATTTCATCTACACATTCAAATTTAGGAGCAGGATCTTTTACTAATTTGTTCTTATTCATTCCTAATCTAGCTATCAAAACGAGTTCATATTAACAATTTATTAAGCTCAATAATAAAATTGATCAAAACATAAAATAATATGAGATTGCAATAGGAGAAATTAAAAAAAAATTTTAACTCGTTATTAAGAATAGTTCTTATGAATGATATAAAAAGGATTTAATTTTTTATTTAAAATAACTATATTAAAGAAATAATTCAAATTAAAATTTATAATTATCATCAATAAATGAAATTCTAATTTTATATTTAAAAACTTCTTACATCTAGGTAATAATTTAAAATGCACAAATATTAGATTTTTATACTTTATTAAATATTATAATTGATAATATATATGATTAGTCAAAGAATTTTTATCAATTATTTTTTAATTATTATCTTTATGACTTTTTCTATTTTTATTATTTATTTATTTATGTTTAACCAATTTAATACAGGATATTAATCACAAAAATAAAAGTTGAATGAAATGTAGAATAAATTTATTATCAAAGAAGTTTATGATTTGAACACTACAGAATAATATTGGTGTAAGTCTATAAAATTTAATACATCAAATACTAATTTTTGTTGCCTTTTTGAAACTCATACTATAAATGATTTAATGTTATTTTCATTAAATCCTCTAAAATTCTTAGCATAAATTCAATTAAAAAATCAACTAATTTCATTTTTTACCTTAATGAATAAATCTATATCTCTTATTCTTGGATTGAATAATGGCCAAATATATATTTATAGACTTAAGAATGGGAAATTGGAGAATGAATAAATTATTGAACTTTCTCTACAAGAAATTAAATAAATAATTATAAATTAAGAAGATATGTAATTTTTTGTAACTCAACCATTTTAAATTTCGTGTTTCTATTATGATAATTAATAATTATAATGGATATTTTATTAATATCTTAATAAATAAGAAAAATAAATAGAATAATCAATTTTAGCAGATCATTTAACCAAATTGTAGGATCCTATTAATAAGAATTTCTATATAAGTTTAAATTCTAGTGAGAATTAATTGATTATTAATTATTAGAATTATTATTCATTATATTAATAACAAGGTTAGAAAAAATGGAAACTGATGTCACATCGTAAAATTATTGGATAGTATTATTTTTTAAATGACAATATTTAATTGATTCTAGATACATTTAAATTAACTATTCTTTAAGTCAATTTTAGAAGAAAAGCATTGATTAGATCTTTTCATCTTCGTCTAAATCACTTTTTATCTAATAATGAATTTTAATTTGATCGAGAATAGAAAATATTAATCTTTAATTATGATAATTATTCTTTAGGAATAGTTACAATTTTAAAACATGATTAATTTTGTTAATTAAAAACTTTAAATATTTATGAAAATTTTGTAAAAAAATCTATTTCTAGTAATCTTTAAACTATGGTTACTTATGCCTTTGAGGAACCATTATAAATAAAAGTGTTGATCTAAGAAGACAATTAATCAAAGGAAGAATGAAATAATTTATAATACATTAATTGGTATAAATATATTCTATTTAAAATTATTTGTATATCAATTAATTAATGATAAAAATATGGTTTTATCATATTTAAAATTAAAATTATCATTAATTTAATATCAAGAATGATACAACTCTTTTGCAATTTAATCTTTCTTAAGTAAAACTTTAAAGCATACCAAAATAATTTGATAATTCAAAAGAATTCTTATTTTTTTAAAGATTGGAATAATATCTTATGTATATTATAAATCCAAAGTTTCAAATAAATAAGAATTTATATAATCTTTTTATAATTTGAATATATACTAATTTTTAATGATCCCTTTGATAATCTTATGATTCTAATTGTTAAAATTTAATTAACATTCCAAATTTTTTGAGATATACTCAATAAATTAAATTATTCTAATAATTTCAATCTTTTGTGCACTTATTCTATGATTAAATAATTATCAAATAGAATAATTCATTTTTAAATGCTTACCTATGTTTGATATAATTTAATGATACACATTCATTACAATATATTAATAGAATCATATATATATTAATCTGTATATATTATAGATAACCTATTTCTAATATAAATAACAATTTTATATTTGAAGTATTTAAATTAACAACAGACTAATAAAATATGGTATAAATTTCGAGACTATTGTAATTCTTAAAAATTCTATGAAATTATTAAGCATACTATAAGATCCATGTAAAAAATAGTATAATTGATTGATGTTAATTTCGTTTATTCGTTTTTAATATAATATTAATTTTATGAAGGTATAACTAATTAGCCTTCTTTTGTTTTATTTGGTTACTTCCAAAAACATACCATTATAATTAGAGATTGGGTTAATTCAATTTGAAGATCTTTAGCCTGGAAAACTATAATATTAAGTATGACAAATTGCAAATGAAAAATAAAGGAAATATAATTTGATCAGCCATTTATCCGTGTCCCTTAGGTTGCATTAACAATTAATAGTCTAATGAATCATAATTCTTAGGTGTATTTTAGTAAGATTTACAATGTAACAACCGATGGTACTCTATTTTAAACTAAATTAAGGATTTACAATAGGAGTTTTGAGTGGAACAGAATAATAATTAGAATATCGTTATATGGCTATCGTTGATGATAGAGTATAAGTGAATTGTTTGAATTTTAAAGTCAAAGAAATTGTGTTCATACCTTATTTAAAGTATTTGCATCTAAAATCTCTAGATAGTTTGTAAAAGTACCTAAATCATGGATATTCTTAACTGGAGTAAGATAATAAAGCAATACCTTCTCATTTTAATAGGGTATCCACAACTAATCTAAAAATTAGATATCAGAAATGAAGGAATAATGCTTAAATTCCAATCAATAGATACAGAAATATTAGGAGTTTGCGTTGTGGCTGGTGCTGTTGATATTCTATAATCTAGAATCGATGATTTACCAACATTCTAAGGATATAACCTAATGAAATAATCTACATCTTTATCAATTATAGCATAATCAACATTTATTTGTGAAGATGAATGTTTATTATACTTTAGTAATTCTTATTATAAGTTAGGAAATGATTAAACAAAATAATTAAAAATTAATACTGAATTTCATAATTAATAAGAAAAACCAACTTTATCAAAATTCATACCATTAATAAAAGAAAATCTTACAGTTACTAAAGATAAAGTTGAAAATTTAATAGAATAGACAATTAAAATAGATAAAATTGAATAGCCACATATATCTCATGAAGATAGTTTAAAAAAGATGATAAATCAATAAATTTTAAATTTAGAAGAATAAATAAATCATCCTAATGGAATTAATAGTTTTGATTCAAATCTTAATGAGATATCTTAATAAGAAGATATTGAGAGTGTTATTGAAAGTAATAGTGAAAGTGAAGATGAAAGTGATATAGAAAGTGAAAGTGAAGATGAAAGTGAATCAGAAGATGAGATTACTAAAATTAGAATTTCAAAACCAATTAATATTGAAGAAGAATTATAAAAATTAGAAAAAATATCAGAAGATAGAACTAAAAAGATTAACATCATTGAATTTAATCCAAAAGAATCCATTAATGTTTCATTTTTATCTAAAAATAATATTGATATGCAAGTAGAAAGTTAAGCTGAAAAACTTATTGAATTAAAATATATTGATAGAGCTCCTAAATTTTCACCTAAAATTTAATAGATGTTTGAAGAAGCCAAAAAGAATATTGAAGTTGAATAATCAACATTAGATAAAGTAGAATCTAAAATAAATAATAAATTATCAATAAAAGATTAATTAAAATTAAAGACTGAAAATTTAATGTAATAAATTGAAAATACTTCATATTCTAATGAAAAAGATATTAATCAATAATTCAATAATAATATTGAATAATAAATTTAAGAAATTTCTAATCCATCTAAAGAAGAATAAAGAATAAATTCTCCAAATAATGAAATAAAACATTCTAAATAAACAATACTAAATGAATATGATACAATTTTTGCTTAATTTGCTAATAACAATAATTTAAGATCTGTAAAACCATAATAACATTTTTCTAGTCCATTGATTGAAACAGAGATCAAAATTGAACTTGTTTAAGAAGAGTAGCACATTGAACCTAAATAAGAATTAAAAATTCTTAATCCAAGAGAAGAAAGACTATAAAAATATTTGTAAAAAGCTGATGAAGTTGATCTCAATTTCTTAGAAAACATTAAACTTGTTTCAGAATAGAGTGAATAATTAGAAGATCAACAAATAGAACAAGAATAAATATAAGAAGTATTTGATTAATCCAATGTATCATATACTGAATAATTAAATTTAAGAAAAAGTATATATTTATAATTTATTTTATAGATTAAATTCTTTAGGAACTTTAATAAAAATACAATATTAAAGCTACTCCAATTTAAAGCTTTGAAGAATTTAAATTAAAAGTACCTTAAGATCAGTATCCACAAATATTATATGAGAAATATCTAGAATAATTGAAAAAACAACAGATAGGATCCAGCTTTATTGAAACTGATCACAATGTAAGATCTGTAGAAAACTCATATTAACTTGAAGCAGCCTATTATGAATGGCATTTATAAAAAAATATATGAGTGGATAAATTATCTATTCAATTATCAGTATTTTTTAATAATAAATTATATTATAATATAATTATATAAAATTTTTATTGCAAATACTACTATTGTACTAAAAGTAATAATTATTTATTTTAGAACTTAATATAAAATTGTTTACTCTTTTATAAAATAGAAGATATCCTATATAATAATTCAACTATTTTATCATTTGAATTTTACATCTATAAATAAATTAAAGTTGCCATAATTAAGTTGAATTGAAAACTTAAGGAGAACTGAAGTCTTGTTAAAAATGATAATAATATCTACTAGTACTGTATTTATATTAAAAAGTAATTTTAGAATATGATTAAGAATTTTAGAATAAATTAGAATTGAAGAAAGGATAAATTGAACATAAATGATAAGTATCACATAAATGATGATTAAAATAAAAGTACATAGTATAACAACACTATTATGAGATTGTTTAAGTTAAAAATATAACTGGAATTTAAAAATGAATATAAATTATAAATATCATGAAATTGTATTCAAATAATTTCAATCGATAAAAATAAATATTGTCGATTTAAGTAATTAAGGACTGTTTTTCTAAACATTAAATGTATGTAGAAATTGGTAAAATTTAATAAACTATAAATTTCATTATAAAACACTTTGCTACTAATATTCTGAATGCTGTAGTTAATAATGAATTAATAATACAGTATTTTATATTTTATTTATGCAAACTGAGAGGAAGGAAGGAAAGCTAGCTGGTAGTTGCGAGATGGAGGATTTAATTAGTAACGTTTAGTATGATATTGTTAAAGTATACCCTTTTGAAGTGGTAAATCAGCATTTTAGTAATTTTGTTGAAAATTCAAAGGAGTTTTAAGAGACAAGGGAATAGCTGGTAAGAATAGGTTCCAATCTTCGATTAAAAGTTGATGATTGGCCATCAATTGAGGAAGCAAAAATGTTATTCTAATTAAATATGTATAGAATTTGATCAACTTAATTAAAGTTAGAATGCTAAGAGAAGAAGTGTAAAATGGAATGATTAAGATAAAAGATTATTTTATTGGGTGGTTATCAGATATTGTTTATTAAAAGAAATCAATTAACTTGTAATTAAAATTATTCTTAAAACTAAGACACCTGTTGAATGGAGAGATATAGCTAAAATGACTATAGGTCGGAATGCTCATTAATGTAGATTGAAATGGGAATAGAAATATAAAATTTCACTTTCAGAGGCTCCATGGACAGAAGAAGAGGATTAATTACTATAATAAGTGCATGAGTACTAATTAAGCAATATCTTAAAGAGAATTTAGTAGATTAGGAAAAGAAAATAAATGGTCTTAAATAGCAAGAGAGATATACAAGAGATCTCCTAATAAAATATTTAGATAACCAAAATAATGTAGAGAGAGATGGATTAATAGATTAGATCCAAATATTTGCAAGTAATGAGATGATTAAATTTGAAGTGAACCTTGGTCAAAATAATAGGAAATAGATCTATTAAAAACCATTTTAATTAGAGGAAAGAAATGGTCTGAATTATCTGCTTTATATGGAAGAGTGAGAACAGAGAATTCTCTTAAGAATAAGTATAATTCTCTTTTAAAAAAAGAGAAATTAAAATATGAATTTGAAACGATTAATCCATAATTATTTTCAAAAGTATAAAAATTAAGGATGGATTATGCAAATAAATATGGTAAAATAACACCAATTGAAGAGATTGATAATTATGAATGGTAGTTTATAGTATTGGCAATTTAAAGTTTATATATTGATTTATGTGTTTCAGAAGGTAAATATTAAGAAGCATAAAAAATAAAAAATGATGATTTTTTTGATTTATTTCATAATGATTTAACATCAAGCAATAAGAATGATGTATTATACAAAAAAGTATTAAATATAAAAAGAGTGGATAATCAATTTTCTGTTGATAATGATAGATCTGGTGTAGTACTTTTTAATAAAAAAACAAAAAAGTTATTTATATCACCATTTAATACATTAGATTATTAAGGATTAATATTAAAACATATATACAAATAAATAAAAACAGAAGAGAATAATAATAATAATAGTAAATGTTCAACTCTAACTTAATCTGATCATAATATGTTTATGATGTAAAAATCTATAGATGATATAAATCGATAAAGCACAATGCAACCATTATTATTATTGGCTAATTAACCATCATTTATGATGCCATTAGGATAAAGCATGATAAATAGTTATTGGTTACCACCTGTATTACCTTGTATGTCATAATCTATTGGAGGATATTAGCATTAATAAAAGAATATTTAAGAATAAGTGGCTTAAAAAATTAAAGAAATTAATAAGCCAACAAGTTTTGATGATTTATTTGGTAATGATATCAAAGTTGTAGATTCTGATGGAGAAAAATGATAAATTTATGATCGTTAATCTTTTATTTTAAATAAATATATATTTTTATGTCCTCCAAAGATGAAGAACTTGAAGAGATGCTTATGAGATATGAGAATCTTGAGAAGCACAATTAACTATTACAAACTCAAAATTTAAATTTGATGAATCAATTACAAAATATATAGCAAGTATGTGGAATCCTTATTATATTAAGAATGCTAAGTAATTGGAAACAGAAAACAATGAATTAATTGATTAAATTGAGAATTTAAAGAATGATTTACGAACTCAATTTTAACTTAGTCAAAGTTTGAGATAAGAGAATGAATTCTTTGAAAATTAATTACAAGATTATAGAAAAGAGTTAGAGTAAGGAGGTCAATACTATCATAAATTACTAGAAGACAATGACTAATTTAAAACACATCTATAGCAAAAAAATTAATAAATTGAATATTTGACACAAGAGAATAATATGTATAAGGATTAAATGCTATAATTATAAGAGGAAAATGATTTGATTACATAAGAAATAACTAACTTACATGATTTACTTAATCAAAATGAACTTTATCATCAAGATCCTATAAATATCTAAAATTCTGATTAAAAGAAAAATAAAAAATAAAATAGAAGATAAATAAAAGAATTAGAGAGATTAGTAATTAAAAGAGAATAGGAATTAAGTCATTTATATGGTAAGATTGAGGATATGAAAAATTATATTACACAGATTAAACTTCAATCTGATAAATATGAATAAAATTTATAACAACTATATAAAGATTATTAATAAATGGAAGCAGATAGAAATAAATATGCTCATAAAATTGATTAGATGTAAAATTATAATGAAAGATATTCAACTTTATAATAATAGTTATAAAATTAAGAGAAACATAAAAATAAAGAATATCATTCATTAAAAAATTAATATGATCAATTATAAATGCATAATTTATAATATGAATAATAAATATAAAGTATAAATGATGAATATGGAAAATTATCATAATAATGTATAGATTTATAAGAATTAAATGAATAATATATGCAAGAATCTTAAATTTTAAAAGATTCTTTAATTGAAAAGGATTAAAAATTAGAAAGAATGTAATTACAACTATAACAATTATAATAGAAAGATCTTTAAATTTAATAATAAATGAGAGATCAAAATTAATAGATTAAAGAATTTTAAAATAATAAATAAGAATTTTAGAGTTAGATAATATAATTATAAAGAGATAATTAATAATTTTGTAATTAGATAAATACATTAAAAGAATTATAATCTAAAGAACTTAAAGAACATCTTAATATTTAAGAGTAATTTAAAAAGGAAAAGTAAACTTTAATAGATAGAATAAAAATGTAAGATGAAAAAAATTAAGAATTAGAAATTAAATATAAAAATATTGAAATACATTTAAAATAAGTTGAAGAAGAAAGATTATATAGAGTTTAAGCTGAATAGTATTATATTTTTATATTTTTAGATCTTTTGAGGAAGTGTCTTAATAATGTATGTAATTATAAGATTAAAATAGAGATCTACTTAGATAAGTAGCTAATCTTGAAAATGAATTATAAAGAAATGAAGATGAATTAAAGTAACTAAAAAAAAATAATAAAAAGTATTTATATAGGTTAATACAAGTTCTTAGAATTTTGATAAAACAACTTAGTAATTGATATTAAAAGATAGGGAAATTTTACATCTCTAATCAGTAGTAGAAAGATTAGAGGGTATGAATAGACAATTATAATAAGAATGTGATAGATTAGCTGCTAAAATTTAATTAACATCTCATGAGAATTCATTATTGAGTAAGACAAATAGAGAAATTAATTAAATGGGTCGTTTAATTTTAGAAGGTTAATAGATAAAAGAAATGTTAGAAAAGAAAAAATATGAAAAACCTTTAACAATTACTAATAATAAAGCTCCTTAAGTTATTCAATAATTATAATAACATAGTAGACGACCATCTGTTAAAAAATCTTGAAATATTTTCGAATTAGTTTGATTTATATTTATATAAGTATAACTTTTTCATTATTTTTTGTTCACAAATATTGAAGATTAAATTTTATTTATTTAAGGCTCTTCATTTATATTTTGTAAATCCTACTATCCAAATGATATAAAGCTGATTTATTATTGATTGAAGATTTCAGATGTTGCTTAATATTCAGAAGGTAGAATTTATGAATTTCTAATAATTATTTATTTACGTTAATACCTTTATGTTTCTATTAATCTTTGACTAAATATTGGAAAGTTGAGAATTTCAGATTAAAGCAATGAATTTTATATAGTTTAATCTAAATCCAGATCTGTTTTTAGAATTATAGAACTTCTATTTAAATTTTATACAGAGTTTATTTGATTATCTAATCTTTTTAAGCTACTCAAATAATAAACAGTAGGTCTGTCAATTTATAGGAAATCCATCACCTATACTTATCATTTAAGAATAATACTTAAAAAGCACTTTCTAAATCAAATCCTTTTATGATTATATATGCACATACAATAGCATTTGATAAACCATCTTATGAATAATTTATTTGAACATCATTAATTGAAATATATTAATCTATTTATTTACTTGTAATTTCATAAATGGATAAGAAATCTTGATTATTATTATTAAATGAGAATGATAATGGCTATATCTAAATAGACTTTTCATGTAGTTTTTTATGTTCAGTTCGAATAAAATAGAAGAAAAAATTATGCTTTTAGTATATTTGTACTTCTTCTTTCATAATTAGGGAGGAATTCATCATATTTTTTTATTTAATTTATTAATAAATATTAATTATTATTATTGAACATAATAATGAAATCATTCCATTTGCTTTTCTTTTTTAAAATATTAAAATTATTATTTTTACTCTTCTTTTCTTAACTTTCTTTATTGAATTGCTCTTTCATTAATTTTTTCCATATATTCACTAAATGAAATAGCCTTTTCTTCTCCATCTTTGTTTTTCTCTTCATCTCCAAAAATGGCATGTATTTCTGAATCTAAACATTATCTACCAAATCTAACATATAAGAGTTCCAAAGTGTCCTAATTTTATAAATTAATATTTATACTTCAACTGTTACTCTTGGGTCTTTTCTATCTGGTGGTAAATACATTAAAAATTAAATCATATGAAACAAACTCTTAGGTTCAAGACCTGTCTTATCAATTGTACATTTTTTGTACATATTCAAAAATTCAGTCCAACTAACTTTTCCATCTAAATTTTCATCAACTTCCTAAATTTATTATAAATTTTATTGTTTACCCATAACATAAGATCTATTTCAGATTTAGTAAGTGAAACACCTAAAAATCTAAGCATTTTATCAATATCTTTGGCATCAAAGTAATCAACATCCTTTTTTTTAAGCATTTAGAATACTCTAATGTTAACAATTTAAATTACTTTTCTAACTACTTTTTTTCACTAGCTTTGATTTCTATCCCTTCTAATTTTTATTCAATAGGTTATTCTTTTTCAATCTTTTTCTGTTTCATTCTTTACACATCAACTTAGAGATTAGCTTTAGGAATTTAAGGTTTAGGTAGTATTCCCATAGCAGCATAACGTTCTTTCATTGATGAAGGTAACAGATTTAAGTCTATTTTGTTACCTTTTTTCTTCTTTTTTTCATCATCCATTTTTGTAATAATAATTATAATTACATTAATATATATATGAACAAAATTGTGTAAATTTTTCATCAATTCAAACAAATATATAGGTTTATATTTATAAATTACTATTAAAAATACTTAAGTATTAATTACATTATATTAATTGTCTTAAGTACATAAAAAAAGATTAATATAAAATAATATTAGGATTCAATTATAAAAAAGATATGATATAATTCCTACTTAAGGAATTTTAGAATTTAATATTAATAAAAGATAAAGAATATATATTTAACTCAAAAGGGGGTGAGATTATATTTGATTAATTAATATTATATTGTATTATTAACAACAAATAATTCAACGTCTTGATTATTTTCCAATACCACTTTTACCAGTAAATAAGTGCTTAGGCATTTTACAATCTATTTTAGTATCACCATCACCAGCTTTAGCTTCATTTCTTCTTCTTCTTTATATTTTTTTAGACATTCTTTCCATAGCCTATAATATTTAATATGATATATTTACTTATTCTTAAGCAGTAAGTACTTTTTTATTACCTCTACTTCTACTTCTTGAGATTTCTCTAAGTCTACTTCTACTTCTAGATAATGCATCTCTTCCTTTTCTTTGATTTCTATCATTACCTTCAATATCCATATCATTATCATCACTATCATCTGATGATTATTATTATCTTTTTTATTTTTATAAAACTTTCTTAGCAGCAAATTTTTATGCTCTTTATTCTAAAAATGTAGTATCAATTCCTTTTTTAGCAAAATCTTCTTTTGCATCTTCCAAATTTGGTCTATGTAATTTAACTTATTATTTCATCTTCATATGATGTTCTTCTTTAATCATTTCTCTTTTTTTATTAATTTAATCTCTTGTATTTAATAACATCTCTTCTCTTGCATCTTCTTCTGGATCTTCAATTTCAGCTTAATCCATCATTTCTTCTTCCTTTTCTAATTCTTCTAATCTTTATAAAATATCAGCATCAACAAAATCTCCAATATTTTTACCATCCATAATTTCAGGAACAGCATCATATTTCCAATCTGGATTTTCTAATAAAAAATGTTCTATTAAATTAATTAATATATTATTATACCTTATAATGGGAATGAGAAAACACCAGCTCCACCATTTTATTCTTATACATCTTTCAATGTTGGTCTATTTAATTTACCAATTACTTAAGGAATTACTGGCATTCTATTTTGATTAACTCTTTTAGGTTAAGCAATATAGACACCTTAAAGAATTGATTCTTCTCTTAAAAGATTTGGATTTCCACCTGTTAATTATTCAGGTTTAAGATTCTATCTCCATTCATTTAATAAACCACAAGCTTTTTCTTTTACTTAGGCTATTCCTTCACCAGATTTATTACTCAATTAAGAACTATATAATAGATTTTAAATTAATACTAGAACACATTTTCAGATTGAATAACATCTTATAACTTTTATTAATCAATTGGATCTAATTATTCAAATTTTTTAATATCTATTTTAGTCATAACTAATAATAATGGTTTATTTTTGAAGAGTGGTTTTAAGTCTTTAAATAATGCTATCTATTGATCAATAGAATAACTGCATGTTTCTGAGATATCCAAGAAAAACATAATACAGGCCTTTAAATGTGCAAGTGCTGTTATTGCTTACATTTCAATAGGGTTTCTTTCACTTAATGAATGATCCAATACTCCTGGAGTATCTATTACTTACCAACGAACAAAGTTATAATCAGTATGTCCTACATAAAGATTTTAAGTTGTAAATGGATATGGTTGAACATCCAAATTTGCATTTGTTATATTATTTACAAAACTACTCTTTCCAACATTAGGGAATCCAGTGACTAAGAGAGTTCTTTCAAAGGGATTAATAGCTGGCATTCTAGATAAGTGTTTTCTAACTTCATCTAAATAATTAAGAGAACTGGTCAATTTTTTAAGTGTGGTACACATACGACCTAATGCTGCTCTCTTTAACATTTTGCATCTGTACAAGGAATCACCATATTTTAACAATCTACAATAATCCTTAGCAATATTATCAATCACATTTCTACAAGCATGTACATGTCCTAATGCCAATTTATAATGATCTTTGTCATACAATACATTAATCAAATCTGCATAAAATGGATGAATATCATCTAACTATATTATATAATAATATCAAATACTTTTGGAAAGTCTTGTAAAATGGCATCTATCTTCTCATGAATGGTTTCTTATGTAAATTTTACTTTTCTCATATAAAATCCTCTAATTCTAGATATATCATATCCAGGATGAACTACTGTAGGTGTTTTCCTTTATGTTTTTGATAAAATCACATTTATCATGTCTTTAGCAGGCATAACAGGACGTATAGTTTTGAAATTATAAGACATTGCTATTTTTAATCACAAAAAATATTTAATCAACAACATTAATTTAATATAGTTTATAATTCTCCCTAAGTGACGGGCTTAGAAAGGAAATAATCCATACCACTCTCAAAACCTAGTTTTTTAGTTTCCTCATCAGAAAATCCACTACAACCAATAATCGCACATTTATTCATTTATTTCTCCTTCTCAAGCATTCTTATTAATTTAGAAGTTTGATATCCATCCATCATTGGCATCTATATATCAATTATAACACATCTAATCCAATTACAACAATATTCTTAGGTATTTTACCATCCCTTTAAAAAATCTAATGCTTCTTATCCACTCTTTGCCTACTTATAGAGATATTTCAAATTCTTAAGTTAATAACCCAATATCATTAAATTTATTGGCTCATCATCAACAATTAAAATTCTTGGACAAGCACAATTATCATATGATTCTTATACAGGATCTTCTTAAAAATTATCATCATCACATTAAAATTAATAGATAGTGCTTTCATTTTCTTCTATTTTTTATTCACTAATAACTTTTGCTCTATATAATGATGCACTCATTGGTTATATTGTTAATTAATCTCTTTTTTTTACTCTTACTATTGAAAGATTACTCTCCTTTCTACCAAAATATTTTGTATCTTAAGATTAATGAACAGAACTCTTTGTTTCATTTTAATCTAATATTTTAAATATAAACCTTGTTCCTTATCCCAATCCTTTAGATTCTACTTATAAACCAACATCTCCTCCACTTAATTTTTATGCTAACACATTACTTATCATTAATCCCAAACCTACTCCTTAAGTATTTAAATGTTTTGAATCTTCTAATTTTCCAAATGGTTAGAATAATTTCTTTATATCTTCTGGTTATAATCCTACACCAGTATCTTCAACTGATATTTCAATTAATTTTGGTTATAATAATTTAGCTTCTACTTTTATACCTCCTGTTTTAGTGAATTTTGTAGAATTATTTATTAAATTCAATATAATCTATTATATTCTCTATTGATCAGATTTAATAAGACCTGGTATTTTTTTATCATATTTTAAACTAAGTTAAAGATTCTTAGCACCTACATTAAAAGTCATCATAGCTATTGCATCAAAAATTAAATTTTTTAATGCAAATTCTTAAAATGTTAATTTAAATTTTCCAGCTTTTAATTAAGCTAGATCAAGTAAATCATTAGCTAATCTTGAAATTGATTCAGCTGAACTCTTTAATGGTTTCAAATACCTTTTATTATTAATAAAATTTACTTTTTACTAGTTTCTTTATCTTATGAATATTTTGTAAGTAATTATGCACTTATAGCACATATAGCACCTAAAGGATTTCTTAATTCATGTGCTACATAAGATAACATTTTTGATTTATTTGTATTTTGTTGTTATAATACTTTATACTAATTAAATAGTGACACATCTCTAATCATTAATAAAACATTTCTTTTATTTTCATATGTATAAGCTTTAATAGTTATTTAAATTAATAATCCAGCAGAATCTTCATCATCTGATTAATCTTCATGTATTTCATTAGGAATTCTTTCATTAGATTCTTCAATCATACATAACATTTTTACTTCTTTACCAAATTTTATTATTTCTTATCCTTTTTATGTTCTTTAAGAATGACAAGATAATTATCTTTAATAAGGTGATGGAGTTCCATTTTTATCTTATAAAGCCTTTTCAATTTCTTAACTTAATGTTTCTGCCTTACTTAATTCATATTCATAATAATTATAATATGTTTATTCATCTAATGGTACAAAACAATCTTTAATTAAAGAATTTTCTTCATTAAGTTATTATTAAAATTCATGAGAATTACTTTTTAATTTTTTATTTAATGCTGCAAACATTTTATCAAATTAAGCTTATTCACCAAATTAAAATTTTGATGAATAATTTTTTAATTCATATAATTTCTTAGGTATAAGATCTTCTGAAATAGGTTTTCTACCTAATAATGTTCTTACTTAATTATTATGATATTCAATTTTATTTTAATCATTAATTATTATTATTCCTTCAGGAAATTAATTAAATAAAGTTTTATAGAAACTATTTTAATATTCAATCTATTCACGAATTGATGCTTCTCTTTATGGTTATTATTATTATTAATGATGTAATTATTAACCTAAAGATAATATTTAAACATGATTTGATTCTTCATCTAAAATTTAAGGTTAAGGACTATCTAATTTCTCAGTAAAACTACGAGAACTAGGTTTTTTAGATGTTGATTGTTTATGTTAATTCTTCATTGTCTTTTCAACAAATAATTAGTATATCAATATAAGAGTATAAAGTATTTCTCCACAAATCAATCCAATTTATGAAGAATCAAGAATTAAGTAAAATGTTGTCAAATTGACTGAAGCTATTACAACTAAAAGAAAACCCACTCTAACTATTTTATGAGGTAATATTGTATCAACATCTAATTGAATTGTAAGACCAAGCCAAAAATATTAGAATCTACTTAGAAATCCATCATTTTTCAATCCCATATCAACACTACCTAAGCAAAAAAGATTCAGGACTTACCATAAGGATTTACATATTAATTATGAGTGCTCAGCATAATTTGAAATATATTTGTTTAATGGCAATGAAAGAAATGTCAATACTATGCTAAATACAACCTAAAAGTATTCTGGATTGTCATTCACTATTTTTATAATTAGTACCATTATAAAATATGTGAGTTGAATAAATACTCTCAAATAAACATTCTTCATTATATTTTATTATGTTTATTATATTATTGATTACGCACATTCTTATTGATGTAGCTTATTCAGGAACGATATCTGCTGCTATTTTTAAGGCTTACTTGACAACAGACACTTCATTTGTAAATGAAGTAACAACACTTAAATTGAATACATAATATCTAATCAGATTTGAATTTAATTTAACAACTACTCTTAATCCAAGCACTGATTTCATGAGAATAGAAGTAACTGGATTTAAATCAATGGCATTTTTTTTTGCGACATACCAATTTACAAATCCCTCTGCTAATGGCAATTTGTACCTTGAGTTCAAGGCTGATACTTCCACTAAAATTCTAACACCAGTTATAGTATTTTATGCCACTACAGGTGCATCGACTAAGCCTCATACTTGTTATGCCTTCAGTTATAGAACCAGTGTAACTCCATATCTTGATGAAAGCCCAATTAAGACATTTACAATCACAGGAGGAGCAATAACGTTTAGTAGCTCTATTAGTGTACCAAATAAGATTTTTGGATAAAAATCTTTATATATCATAAACCTTTCCTTTGAAAACTCATTATCAGAAGGAACAAAATTACTAACCTTTCCAAGACCATCAAATTTACTATCTGATACACCTATAACATGTACAGGAACACCATCAACTACAATTGCCTGCACTTATATTTCTGTAGATAACCTGATATCAATAGCAAACTTGGATTCATCTAAGACATAAACAATATCTTTAGAATTTACAAATCCTCCGTCTCCAACTTCTAGTATTACTTTTAATAATTTTAAAACTTATATTGATACGGTTTAAGTTGATTCAAGCAGTACATCTTCATAAGTGACAGGATACAATGATGGAATACTTACAACTTTAACAGTTGAAAGTGGATCATATAAAGTAGGTTAAAGTAGTGCTTCTATAAGATATAAATTTACAAGTTTAAATGATATTTAAACTGGTTCAACAATTGAATTAATATTACCAAGTGATATTCAATGGATTACATCATCTCCATCTTGTTCTATAAATTATGTAAGTGTAACAGCATGCTCTTATGTTGTGGTTTCAACTTAAAGTATTACAGTAACTATAACTGCATCTGCATCAATACCAGGAGGAACATCATTAATTTTAACAGTTAATTCAATAAGAACTCCATATACATTTAGTCCTGTAACTGGATTTTCATTATAGATTAAGAGAGGTATTGTTGAATATGATAAAAATTTAAATTTTGGAAGTTTAACAATGACAGAGTAAAGTGGAATTACTTTAACATATTTTGGAAGAACAGAAAGTAAAAATGGTGCTTAATCCACTTATACAATTTCAACTAAATTTGACACAATATAACCTAGTGGGACTAAAATAACTTTTACACTTTAAGGATATATTTTAAGCAATGTTGATAAAATTGATTTTACAGGTTTTCCTTCATTCACTTCTACAAATTTATAAGTGACTAGTTCTGCATATACAATTAGTATATAATTTAGTGCAGCTTTGAATAGTAATTAAAATTATGATACAATAATATATAATATAGTAAATAAAGATAGTGCTGGTACAATTACAGCTGAAACAACTAATAATAATTTTAAGATTTCAAGTACAGATAAAGGTACAGCTGGTACATTACCAAGTTCTGTTCCAAATATTATAACTGCTGAAAAGATAGTTTAAGAAAAATAATTATTAGGAGTTGTAGATAATTATTAATTTAGAATTACATTATCTAATCAACTTACTGCTGGATCTTCAATTATTGTGATAATGCCTGATAACTTCTCCGTTGAATAAACAGATTGTAAAGCAGCAGTAGATAATATAGAAGGATTTACAATAGATACTTGTTCAGTTAATAGTAAAGAGATTACAATAAAGATAATTACAAATTAACTTAAAACAATATAATTTAGATTTAATAATCTGATAAGAAACCCAAAGAGTTATTCATCTACTTATTAATTTAAAATAAGAACATAAAAAGATACTAATATTATTGATGAATCGTAAAGTTCAGAAGGTCCTAATTTATCATTTTAATTAAAGTGTATTCCTAATTCATCATAATTTTGTAAGGAATGTGATGTTTCAAATAATTGTTAATCTTGTTATACTGATACTTCAATAACTCAAAATATTTACTTATTAGATAATAAATGCTTAAGTACTTGTGGATCATTATATTATAGTGATTCTAGTAATAAATGTTAAAAGTGTCCAAATTATTGTTAAGAATGTACAAGTAATACATTATGTTAAAGTTGTATTGATGATACAATATAAGAAATTAAGAATGGAAAGTGTGTATTAAAATGTACTGAAAAGTAATTTGATTTCAATGGTAAATGCACAGATTGTAATGATAATTGTAATACTTGTATTGATTAAAGTACTAAATGTACATCTTGTGGGGAAACAAATAATTTACTATATTAAAACAAGTGTGTTTCTTAATGTCCAACAGGAATATTTTAAATTGGATTTTCTTGTATTGCATGTACATCACCTTGTAAAACATGTGATACTGGTCCAACTGTGTGTTTGACTTGTGTTGCTAATTATTATTATAAAAAACCATCATTAAGTTGTGTTACTGATTGTGGAAATAGATATTATAAAGATGGAAGTGAATGTACTTAATGTTCTGATCCATGTAATAATTGTTTAAGTAATACTATTTGTATTGATTGTCTCACTGGATATTACTTTTTTAATAATAGTTGTGTATCAACAATACCAAATGGTTATTATAAATCAGGTACATCTTTAAGTAAATGTCCTGATATATGTGGAAATTGTATTTCAGAAACTGAATGTACTTCATGTCCAACAAATAAATATTTATTATCCAAATAATGTATAGATAAATGTCCTGAAAAATATTATTCATAAAGTTTTGTATGTTATTCTTGTGATGTATCTTGCTTATAATGTTCATCAAATACTGTATGTACATAATGTCCTGAAAATTAATAACATTTAACAGGTAAATGTTATTAAAATTGTCCTAATAAATATTATTCCTAAGATTATTAATGTTTATCATGTCAATCATCTTGTGCTACTTGTGTAAATGGTTTAGAATGTAAAACATGTCCAATTAGTGCTCCATATATGTTAAATAACTTATGTGTTTAATCTTGCTTAACTAACTATTACATAAAGTCATTTGTTTGTATTAAATGTTCAAATGAATGTGCTACTTGTGATGAAAAAGGATGTCTAACTTGCATATAAAATTATAAATTTCTAGATTAATCATGTTTAACTTCATGTCCAACAGGATATTAAGATGTATATTAATATATATATATAATTAGTTAAACAATATTTAAATATGTGAGAAAGTTACAGAAACAGAATAGTAAGTGATTTCAAATTTATAAGAAAACAAATATATACCCATACCATTTACTATAGTATCTTTTATTATGATATTAAGTGTTGTTGTAGCTAAAATATAAAAAACTGAAGTATTATATATATATATAATTAATAGACTTTTATTCCAGGATCAGCTGTTGGTTTATTAGGTTTAATAATTATAGGATCATGGGCAGTATTACTTCTATTATAATTGGATTATCTTTTAGAGAAATTAGAAACTTATTTATTAATGGCTGCAATTGGAATTCATGTAATATTAAATCTAATTAATTTATGTGTTATTAAACATTGTACTAAAGGTGATACTGCTTTTAATTTATGGTATACAGCAAGGAAATCTAATTCATGTGCTTATATCTTTTTAAATTTATTATCAATTCTCAGTTTCTCTATGACAAGATTTTACTTTTCTAGATACTTTGGATTTAGATTTTTAAAATGTAAATTATCAGATGTTGAAAATATGGTTGGTATGAATATTATCAATGGACTTTGTGCATTTGTATCATTAATTTATTTATTTATTATAGTTTTGTTGTATACCTGCTTTAATAGCTAGTGTCTTACTTGCATATAGAGATCAATTAAGAGAATAATTATTCATTAGTAGTATTGATTCATTTATAGTAACCATTATATTTGGTATTTGTTTAATATGGGAAACATAAAAAGAAGAGAACTTTTTTGAAGATATCAATTATGCATCAGTATCTTAATCACATTAAGTTATTCCAGAATTTTTTTAAACTTAGCGATCAAAGTAATCTAAAAGATTTTCTTTTGAAGATTCTATGAATGGTTAAAAATTTAATTAACATGAATAAGATGAGGAACCATCTTTCCCTAAAATTGATGAATCTATTGAATATAAAGATCCTAATTATAGTTAATAGCCTTTTTAGAAGATGTTACAAAAGAATTCTCAATTCACTTTCAAATAAGAAATGCTTGATCCAAAATAAGACAATTCTAATAGATTTTAAGAGGAAGTAATCTTATAAATACCTAATAATGATGTTTCTGAACCATTATCAATTGGAGAATCATAAAGAGATTAATAAGATATATAATAATAGAAATAAACACTTGAATAATAATAATAATAGAAAATTTTCGAAGAATAATAAAGAATTGCATATGAAAAATAATAAGAATAATTAAGATAATTAGAAGAATAGAATAAAATAGAAGAATAAAAGAAAAAAGAAATACAGAAATAAAATGAAGAACAATAAAGATAAGAAGAGATTAAGAAATAAGAATTAGAAAGATAAGCAGAACTTAAAAGAATAGAAGATAAAAAGAAATAAGAAGAAGAAGAAAAATAAAAATAAGAATAAATTAAATAATAAGAATAAGAAAGAATTAGAAAATAAAAAGAATAATAAATATTGGAAGAATAAAAAAAATAATAAGAATTATTAATTTAATAATAATAAGAAGCATAAAGAATAGAAAAATAAAAGGAAGAAGAAAAATTAGATTTAGAAAGATAGGAATAATAGAGAATTGAATAATAGAAGGAATTAGAAAGATTAGAGTTAGAAAAATAGGAAGCATAAAGAATAGAATAATAAAAGGAAGAAGAAAGATTAGCCCAATTAATTTAATAGTAGAAAATTGAGGAAGAGTAAAAGTAAGCAGAATAAAAGAAAATAGAATTAGAATAATAGGCTGAGAGATTAAGATAAGAAGAATTAAAGATTAAAGAATAGGAAGAAGAAGTTAAAAGAATTTAAGATGAGTAGTAAAAATAGGAAGAATTAAGAATATAATAAGAAATAGAATAAAAAAAGAAGGATGAAGAACTTTAATAGTTATTGGAAGAATAAAAATTATAGGAACAAAAAGAATAGGAAATGCTTTAACGATAAAAATAATCTAGAAAAACTGGTGATTAAAACTCAGAAATTGAAGTAATGTAAAATGAAATTGAAGATTTGAAATAGGATATTAATGAATTTGATTAAAAGAATAATGATAAATTGAATGATATAATTTTAGTAGATCAAGATGATGATGATGTTGGATGGAATATAGAAAATGAAGAAGATGATGATTAAGTATATAATTAAGGAGTTACAGCTTAATAAAAGAAATTATAAAAAGAAATTATTTAAGATGATAAAAATGATGCTGATGATGATTGGGATGTTCCAACATCAGGTTTTGTAAGCGTATAACCAAAATCTTAGTTAAGAAAGGATTAATAGATTGAAGAACCTATTAACCCTTTTAAAGGATATAATTAAAGGTAAGCAGCTGAATCAGATCTATTCAAATAATCTAGAGATGATTCAGATGATGAAGATTGGGCTGCAAATTAAATATCTCCTTCCGAATTCAATATTCTAAATTAAAGATTCGATCATGAAAAACATTCTATAACATAAGCTGAGAGAGCTAAAAAGTTTTCCTAAACAGGTTAAAATTTTAAATCTGTTGTTAAAAGACCAACTCTTCCTGATCCTTAAACAAATAGTGATAATGAATCAATAGACTAGTAATCAGTTTTTGATTAGTTTGCTAGAAATTAATTAAATTAAGTACCTAAAAAACAAAATTAAGGATTAAATAAAATATATCTATAAAGATAACAGATCAAATAGAAAGGCACAAATAATATTGGAATTAATGATATTAAATTTTGAAATATATAATTATAAATCAGTAATTATTTTTATATGAATTAAGAAATCGATTTTATTTAATGTAAACCATCTATTGCAATTGATTTTACAATGCAAGACTTACCTAATTTCAAAAATGAACCCAATATTGTTGTCTTATTTGGTTTCCCATATGATGAAGGCACAATAAGAAATAAAGGAAGAGCTGGAGGAGAAAATGGATATGAATAAATTATGCTAGTGTTAAAATAAAAACTTAAAGAATGTAATATATCATAAAAAGTTATACATGTTGGGTGTGTACCTAAGTAATTAACATTAGAGGATGCACATGAATATCTTTATTAACATATTGCTGAAATTTATTATTAATTGCCTTAAGCGAAAGTGATTGTAATTGGTGGTAGCAATGATCAAAGCTATCCAAATTTTAAAGGATTAGTTGATGGAATGTAATGCAAAAAATTAGGTGTTATTAACATAGATTCTCATTTAGATGTTAGACCATTGATTAATTAAAATTAATCTCATTCAGGATCTCCATTCAGAAATATGCTTGAAGATGTAGAACGCTTTTAGAATAGTAAATTTGTTGAATTTGCTATTAAAGGATGCACTTGCTCATATGAACATTACTAATATGTATTAAATAAAGGTGGAAAAGTATATTTCATGGAAAAAGATATCAGAAGATTAAATGCTGAAAACTAAGGCTTAAGTGCTATGAATAATGTATTAACAGAATTTGAAAATGATAAAAACATTGACTATATTTTCTTATCTTTTGATGTAGATTCTATTAATAGTGCATGGTGTCCAGGAGTTTCTGCACCATCAATTGTTGGAGGATTGACTAATATTGAAGCTTTATCTATTATGGAAAGAGCAAAGAAATCAAGCAAAATTAAATTAATTGATTTGAGTGAATTTAATCCAGCAGTAGAGTGTGAACGCACTTCTAATTTGATTTCTGAAATGATAATTACATTTATTTTATGATAAATTTTTATTATTATTAACAATCAGTTGTTTTTTGTTATTCTATTAAATTATAATGCAAAAGATTGATAAATTAAGATTAGTAATCATGAATAAAGAAAAATTTATAATTAATTTATATCTATACCTAAAAGATAATAAATTTACTAGTTTAAGAGAAATGTATGATTATAATTTTAATGAAAATGAATATCTATTCTGATAAATAGTTTAGATTCTCTCAAAAATCCATTAGAAATTGATATATTATTTATTTTATAATTTGTTGAATTCAATAAACCCTTTTTTATAAATATGGGATCTAACTGTTCGAATTGTGGATAATGCTAAAAAGACAAGCAAGAATTGTTATATGAAGTTAATATAACAAAAAAAACAGAAAGTAATAAAAATGGAATATCTGTAATTTCCTAACCATCTCAAGCCTCAAATCATTCAATTAAAGTTTATATCTATCTAATTTATAATAGACTCAAACAAAATAGAATTATTTGAAGGATAATCAAGAATCCGTCTATGAAAATCAATAAGAATAATTATTAGCTTAGATGGCTACTGTAATTTAAAAGTAATGGAAAGGACACAAAGCAAGATAAAATTTCCAATAAATGAGGTCCTTTCATAATGATGCTCAAAAATGTGATGATCAAGATACAAGTTAAAGTAAATAAAGAAGGAATGCATAAAAATATTTCAATTCAGAAGAATATGCAGGTAGCTAAAAATAAATTTAAAATAGAAGTTAATCTAAATAATTCAATTAGAGAAAAAAGACCAAAATATTAATTTAGGAGTGGTGCCTCATATGAAGGGGAATGGTTGGGCAATAAAAGAGATGGTTATGGAACTTAAATTTGGCCAGATGGTGCAAAGTATGAAGGATAATGGTAGGATAATAAGGCCTGTGGGAAAGGAACTTTTTATCATATAGATGGGGATATATATACAGGATAATGGGAAAATGATTAGGCGAATGGTTTTGGAGTTTATACCTAATAAAGTGGAGCAATTTATGAAGGTCATTGGTAAAATGATTTATAGCATGGATAAGGGGAAGAAAAATGTAATTATCATTTTAAATTAAGGGATTGATAATTCTTGTTATAAAGGAGAATATTTTTAAGGAAAGAAACAAGGTAAAGGTTTATATATCTGGCCAGATGGAAGTTTTTATGATGGAGCTTGGTTTGATAATAAAATCAATGGATAAGTAATATTGTATTTTATCATCATTAGGGAGAGTATATATGGGCAGACGGTAGAAAGTATAAGGGTAATTGGAGATATAATAAAATGCATGGTTATGGTTTTTATTAGTGGGCTGATGGAAGAGCTTATCATGGTGAATATTAGGAGGATAAGAAGCATGGAAGGGGTAAATATTTATGGCCAGATGGAAGAATATTTGAAGGGGAATGGGTAGATGGTAAATAACATGGAAAAGGCAAATATATTATGGCTGATGGATAGATGAAATATGGGTTTTGGGAGAATGGAAAAAGAATAAGATGGGAAGATAGATAATAGTGATCAAATTAGAGTCTCTTTTCTTATTTGTAATAGTCTATATATCTTTCAGTATCTTAAGAGTAATGCTTTAAATTTATAAGTAATTAAATTTTATTAAATTATATTTTTTATTATTAAAATTGTTTAAAAAGAAATACTTTATTAAATACAGTATATCTAGAAATTTAAAATCTTTGTATAAAATTTATTTAATATTAAGATAATAAAAATTATCAATTTAGTTAACTCATTTAAATTATTAAATTATAATATCATGAAATAAAAGCAAAAAAATAATGTATAAGCATAAAGTTTTACAAATTAACAATGAATAAAGAACAAAATCAAATTGGATCTATTAAGATTTGATTCTCAGTTTTTTATTTATAATATCTAAATCCAGTAATTAAGGCTGCTATTACAATTGTTCCTGCCCAGACCCATAATACTAAATATCCATTGAAACCTTCAAAAACACCAGTGGCTTAATAAAGAATTTCCTCATCATGACACATTAGATCACAATTATTACAAGAGCATTTTTCTGAGATAATAAATCCATCTGGTGTTACAATTTTACCATCTGGACCAGGTGGATATTCATATTTGCAATCAGGAACAAAATCAAAATTAATAGTTTCTTCATCATTATCCACAAATTTGACTGATATGAATTATTTAGCTTAACCACTAATATATTAATCAATATATATACACTGCCTATTCTCCTTAAAAATTAAAGAATCCTCCTGGAGTTTTCATGGCAGTTACTTAAGAGGCAAATTGTGTTCTCTTACAAGATGACCACATGTCCTATAGAGATTTAAATAAATATAATTACACATGCCACTTAAGGTTTGACTTTAATTTCAACTAATTAAACTTTCAATATATTCTTTGGATTTAATGGATCTTTCATGTTAGTATATCCATTTGTAGTTAAGAATTAACTTTAATTAGGACTACAAGTATATTCACACCAGAATTTCTTCAAATTATATGCACAACTAAGAATGAGGGTATATATTATACATGTCACATCCACCACCAGCATTACCAAAAGAAGCATCAATAGCTTGAAAATTTCGTTGCATTTGATCATCTTGATTTTTGTTACAACAAACCATAGTTCCATCCATATGGGGACATTATGAAACACGAGCTATAAAGGGTTCAGTATCAACTTCTAATGGATCACAATTATTTCCTTAACATTCTACAGAGAATGCACATCTAGAATATGTATAGACAATGAATGTAAATAATATTATCATTAAATTAAATAATATTATTATTTAAGGAAATAAAATCATCCTTAACTTTAATTTGATAAATTATCTTTATCAATATCAACTTCTTTTCTAGGAGTCTGAGACTTCTAATATTGTTCTTAATTGATTCTTTTTAATCTAAATGTATATAAAAAGTTATGTCGATATTTAAAGCATATACAAAAAGTCATCAAAAATAATAATATCCCTAATATAACTTCAATTTAAAGAATTTAATTTGATGAAGATTCATTAACAGATTCTAAGAATAATTGTATAAATAACCTTTAAAAGAGAGATCTTCAAAGAATAATATTTTTGGTTAAAATTATGGTTTGTAAATTAGATTATCTTGAAATTCATGTAAATGAACATATTTTTATATTGAATAAAAGTGAGTGACATTAATAATGAGTCCAATCTCTATTGAGTATCTACCAAATAGAGAGACCATATTTTCAGTTTGAATTGTAATAGTAATATATTCTTATCCTAAAAGTTAACTTTCACTAAGGTCTTATTAAACTAATGTTGTTTTAGATTCCTTTAGATTAGTCCAATTAATATAAGTGATGTAAGGATTCATAGTAAACTAGAATGAGCTTTTCAGATTTTCTGCATCAAAAAATAATGGTTAATAGTCAAATTTATAGAGTTATTTTTCTTCTTCTTCTGGGAGAGCAAATTAAATATAAAATTCAGGATCATTTGGATTTGCAGGATTAGGAAGAGAAAATTTATACAATTATAATGATAAAGCACTAATTCCTCTTGAATAATTACTCCAAATGACTTCGAAACTTTCTTCTTAAGTATAGACTGAAGGATGGAGCATTTATAAATCAAAATTTCTACAAACTGCTCTCACATTCTACATTCAAACTAGATAATTACTTCAACATATTTATCATTTTACAATTCAAAACAAGGAGGATTACCATCAATATTTTCATTGTAATATTCTTTATTAATTAAACTTTAACAATCTTTAAATGGTTAATCTATTTCACATATTATTTGATTCCATTTTAAACATTAAATATCATAAAAATCAGGTGGACATAAACATCCATAAGATAATCTATATCTTATTTCACAAAGATCTTTTTTTATTTCTTATTCATATTATTTTTTGGTAACTCTTTATTAAGAACAAAAATATTTTGTTACATTTAACAAAATCTATTGACCAAAACCACAATAAATTGAAATTAAAGGACCTTATTTATAATACTCATTAACAGTAGTATTAAAGACTGGTTCAGGATTTGTAGGATCTTAATCTAAAATTCTCCTATTTTATTATATATCTTAAATAAAAGGTATTTTTTAGATAAAATCTATTTAATAATCTTCATTTTCATCTTCATCTATATATATATCTGAATAATCAAGTGTTTAAGATTTTAAACCAAAATTTGAATCCACCATATTTTTTGGTGTTTATGTCATAAAATATTAGGTTTGATATCTAAGATCTTCATAAAGTTTACTTACATCTTTAAGTAAAGATGCATTAATAGAATGGAGTATCAAATATAATAATATCATAAATATTATAAATTTATCAAAGGAGATTTTTATATTTTAATGCACTTTTGAATAGACATTCAATAGGACTTTATTAGTATTAATCATATCCTATAATTTTTGTTTGATCTTTAGGTATTAACATATAAATTTATGCTTTTCCATCATCATCATGTATTTAATGTACAAATTTACCACCTAAGGATTCAACCAAAAATTCTAATTCGAAATGTTCAATATGATAACTCATTCTTTTTGGAACAAATATTGTCACACCTTCTAAAGGTAATATTTTTGCTTCTTTACTAAAGTATTAAATTAAATACTTACCATTTTTATAGTCTTTTTTAATATTGCTTAAAATCAAAATTATATTCTTTACAAAATTCATTAGAAAATTTAACTTAATATTAATTATGATCAAGTATCTCATATTAATTTATTGATCTAGTTAACCAATCTCTAGAAATTATAGGGATTCCTTTAGCTAATGCTATCAATAATTTTATTGATCTTAATTAAACATTATCTTCCATTATTAACATATTAAATGTATAATCTTCTAAACATATTTAAATATTTTAAATTAATAAAAACTATTATTCTTCTCTACTTGGATGAAATCCTGAAAAAGCTATATAAAATTTCCATCTACTACACTTCCTTTAACTCATTCTATTACTTTCTTTTTTTATTTCTTTCATTAATTTATGATGACTTTTCTTTTTTGGAGAACTTTCTCTATCTTTTCGTTATGGCATAATTAAATAATCTAAAGTAGATTATTTCTTTTTCTATTTAGTTTTATTTACAATTCCTTTCTTATCATTTGAATTTTTATTAAAATCAGGAGTTCCATGAGATAACATTTCAGTTTATTATTCATAATCATTAAATTAAAATAAATCTGTTCTTTGATTAGATTCATTTTTCTTTATTTATTCTATTTTATCAATCTATTCTTTTTGTTTATTATTATTTTCTTATTATTAATTAAATGAAACTGAATTAATATCTTCATCTTATTTTAAATCAATATTAATTTATTCTTATTCTTGAATAGATTTGAAATATTGCAATTCACTTTAAGGTGATGTATATAAACTTTCAACTACTTTAACTTCTATTGTAGATAATCGTTCTTATAAATTGAATTGTTTAGATTCTTATTAAGGTTCTTTTAATATTTCTTTTTATGGTTATTATTTTGTGTGAGAAGGATTCTATGTTACATCAAGCACTTAAACTTTAGCTTCTATAGTTTAACCTAATCGTATTAAAAAATCCGCGGATTCAATATTTAAACTAATTTAACGAATGATTGTACCTAAGAACAGAATTCTTGGCCAATTATTCAAATTCTCCATCTGCATTTTTATAAAAGACTGGACCATCTAATACAATAAGTTCTATTTCATCTTCATTCAAAACAACACAACAATGATTATTGACAATTTATTTATTATTAATACAAACTTCATGTTCTTGTGTATTTCCAACCATATTTGCTCCAATTTATAAATTGAATTTAATTGGAAGTGCTAATGATTTTAATCATAATAGTACCATTTTTGTAAGGTAATATAACAAACTTGACTATTTTCTAAGTAAAAAACATATGAATAAAAATAATAATATAAATTCACTGATTAAACCTATAATTATCAAAGAAATTCATTAATTGATTTGAGATATACTTTTAAGCCTCTTAAAATTTCCATCTTTTAATAAACATTATTATGAATCTCTTATATGTATGTTTGTTTCAAATCATTGTTTTCCTTATATTTTTTTAATATAATTATAGCTTCCAATAGAATCATAATCTAATTTATAAGAATTTCTTTGCGTTCTCTATTTATATGGATCTATAATTAAAAATATTATATACAGCAAATCTTCTTGAGAATGATATTTATGTATCTAATTCTTTGATATCTTAATCTAATCCCTAAGAGTAGGAATTAAGATAATGCTATAATAATTATATACAAAACTGCATCACAAATACTTCATAATCAATTGATACTGGAATAGTAATTAATACATCCTTTTCTTAAACTTGATAAAGCATAAGGTATAACCTCAAATACATAAGTAAATCCATATTCAATTTGTTTTTTTTAATTCTGAATTCTTTTGTAATTGATGAAATAGGTATTTCATATCCATTATATTTTATTGTACCTGTATCCCATTCTTCTGAACAAATTAATTTATTTATAGTAATTGTATCAAATATTTATTTCTAACTTTACATCTTTTCTTTACTAATTTCTGTATTCAACCATAACTTTTTTAGAATCAACTTATTACTCTAAAATTAAAAGAACTGTATTTATTTTCAGCTAAAGTAAATCCATACCAGCTAAGTAAGAATCTATTAGTTCTTCTTCCATAAGATACTGTAACTTATTCACCTTTCTTTATTGGTTCTGTAGTTGTAATACAAAAATATGCATCTTTATCATTCTCTTCAAGCCAATCCCATTTAGACTCTTCACTACTATCACTTTCACTTTCTTCATCCTAAATTTATTGTTATTCTTAGATGTATGATTAAAGTTATTGTTTCTATTTGTTATTCTCCATCATTTATTACTGTCTCTATTTCATAGCTTAGATCTATTGTGGAGGCAAACCTTTTATAGTTACTAAGTTTTTCTTTTCTAATATTAGGTTTCAAATAAAATACCATTATTTAAACAAATTGTCAATATGCTTTCACTATCTATTTAGCTTTATAAATCTCCATTGCTATATTCATTATTTGATTCTTAATTTAATTCTATTTTTTATTATTCTATATTAATATCTTATAGACTATTTCCTTTTCTTTGTTTTTTCTTTTCTTCAAATTTCATCTTCCAATCAGTTAATTCTTTAATTTTAACAGATTCAAACTGCTTATTTCTGGCTATTTCTACTTCTTCATCAGAATCATTATCTTCACTATCTGAAGATGTAAGGAATCCTAAATCCCAAAGATTGACATCTGGATTTTAAATCATTTGTTCATAATTGATCCAATTAATCATAGCTCTTTTATCTACATTTGATAAATTATCCAAATTATCAATATCTTTTAATTGATTTTCAGTTAAATAATGTTAATGTTATAATATATAAGACTATTTTTAATCTTCATATTATTTTATCTAAGATTCATCTTATTGTATCTTAAGAATACTTAAATTGATTTTATTTCCTTTAAATTTATATTATTCTTCCAATAATCTTATAAAGGAATCTTCCATATTTTCAAGATTTTCAAGATCACTATCATAATTCTATTCATTTCTTCTATTCTTTTTAGCTTAAAGTCTTTCTTATTCTAGTTTCTCAATTTTAGAATGAACCAAATAATGAGTACATGCCTTATTAGAATGATTAAGAAAATCAGCAATAGGAATCATACTTGTAGATTTCAAAGACCAACCAAAACATCTACTCATAACACTTTAAGCAGCCCAATAAAAATCTTATTTATCTGTTGGACGTATATCTCCAAAGATTGAAATAAATTCATTAAATATATCTTTTGCTTAATTCCATAAGTCATTTAAATCATCTCTTACAATAGCAAATTCATCTAGTATTATAGGATCTTCAATGTATCTAAGTTCTTCTTTTGTCCAATCAATTAAAGTGTTATTTGATTAAATAGCTTATATGTATGGATGATAAAATGATTATTCACCCTTTTTCTTTTCATTGAACAAATAGAAAACTATTCAATTAATTAAATTAGTTACTTAGGATATTAAATTCAGCATCAGAAATCTCATTTTCATCAAATAGTTCAGGATGCTTATCATAAACAATAGATAATGAACTTTATTTACATTTTTCTTAAGATATAATCAATGTTTAAGGCACACAGATGATTGCCTTAAATTTATAAAATTATCATAATACAGTATTTGCAGGAATATCCTTAGTAGCAACAACACCTGTAAGTTCTCCAAAGGCTGCTGGTAGATCAACATCTTTAATAATCACACCATTATCTAATCCCCATTTTAAAAGATTTTAATATCTGGGATTAAGCTTTATTTCATCTGTTTTCTTTTGATCAAATAACATATAAGAAAATAAATATAAATATATATATATATAATGTAAATAAAAAGAGTCAATCACGATTTAAATTTAATAATTTATTAAGTGATGAATGAGTCTTTGTAGCTTCAACTAAGAATTGATAGTATTATTGCCAATCAAAATGAGATTAATTATTTTTTTTAACCTATTTCATAAACTCAACTTTTAATTGTTGAATTAAACTATTTACACTTTAAATACTCTTAAAATCTTTCATCTTTTTCATCTATTATTTAAAAGTATCTCTTAATAATTTATCAATATGTATAATAGGTATTAAACCACATTATTCTTCATCATAATTATCAAACACTTTTTTCATTAAAACTTATGGTGTTTATCTTCTTTACATTGATTCTTCAGAACATAAATATTACATCCATTCACATCTTTCAATTATATTATTATGATTAGTATCTATAATTGACATTTCTTAATTGATTCTAAAATAATCTGGTTCTTCATCTTCATATAACCAAATAAGTAATTTAAGATCTTTAATATTAATAATTGATAATTAATTAACATCTGTTATTGAATATACATTCCATGCTCTAATAATATCCAAATAATCACTTTTCTTAATTGAGATATTTTATAGAAGATGTTAATTTTTCTTATGATCTGCTTTCCAAGCCCAAAGATCTTTTAATTATTATGAACTATCTTCTTATCCAATACTTTTAGATCTTAATGTATATTCTATAATCATATAAAATAAAGTATCTATTGATAATTAATCTATTCCCTTATAAATTTAATATAAATTCTATTGTAATTTAATAGCTGGTACTTAAGGTGCTTTACATTCTCTCAACCATTTATTAAATTATTATTCAGATTCATCCATTACATTAATCATTCTTTTTAATGCATATTAATATGTTTATGTTCCAGAATATAATAACATAAATTCTTACAATTCATCATATTATACAGTCCATTCATAAAATTCATCAAAATCAACATGTTTATTTTTATCTTCATCCATCATTTGAAAACAAACATAACCTAATTTCTCTAACATACTAACAGATGGAATTACTAAACCAGCTATTTTACACATTGCTCTAACTGCACATTATAATGTACTAACCATCTCTTATTCTTCTAAAGTATTTGACAAATCAAAATCAAATAATCTAAAAACAAACATACATTTTGTTTCAAAACTCTCTCCACTAAATATAGCAAAAGCAGCTAATGCTTCAAATGTATGAACTGATAATTTTCCATCTTCTCCAGTCTAATCAGCCAATCTATGAAATAGATCAATACAATTATCAGTTAATGTTGCAAATATATCATCGAATTATTCTAAATTCAAATAACAATTCTAAGGATAATATTTATCTATGGTATCTACACAATCAAAAAGTTCTCTCATTGTTATACTTTTTAATTTAACTATTAGAGATGGTTCAAACTAAGTTGCATGTTTTTAAAATATTTATCCCATTTTTAGTATATAGAAATAATATAATCAATTCTTATAAAATTTATCTTCCTCCCATTCACCACTCACTTCATATCCATCATATCTTATCAAACTACCTATTCCATTTCTTTTACCATTAATAAACTAGATTTTATATTTTTATAGAATTACATATCCCTCATAATAACTTCCATCAGGATAAGTATACACACCATATCCATTAATATCATTATTTTAGAATTAACCTTTGTAAGTACTACCATCTCCCCAAAACATTGTTCCATCCCCTTCCATCGTATTACATTTGAATTATCCTTCATATCTAAATTTTATTAAAAAACTCATACTTCGATCCATTACTAGACAAGTATACACCTTCTCCTTCTCTCATTCCTCTAATGAAATTACCACAATAGATAGATCCATTCTTGAAATATTCTTCTCCATAACCATGCTTCTCATTATTTTCCCATTATCCCTTGTAAATTGAAGAATTATTATTAACATATTCACCATATCCCTGAAATCTATTATTTACAATATTTCCCTAGTAACTATAAACATTAATAAAATAATATACTATTCATCCTAGCTATATTATAATTTGCAAATGCCATTCGCTTTCCCATTAATCCAATTACTTAAATATTATCCTAAATATATTACCCTTCCAATATAGATCCATTTGGATAGATTAGAATTCCAAAACCATTTCTTTCATCATTTTACATCTCACCAATATAAACCAAACCGTCCTCAAGTACTATTGCATTGTCTAATTTATCCTTCTTCAAAAGTGTTTCTGAACGCATTGTGACTTTTTCACTTAAATCTAAAGATTCTGAGTTTATTGTTCTACCCTCAGTGCACAAAGTGTACATTTGATAAATTAATCTAAAATTATTCTAAATCTCTCTATTTTTGATACCTAATAAATCATAAATTTTAAATCATAATTAGTATTATGAATAAAACTCTATTTTTTGAGTTTATATTTGGTAATGCTCCTCTTTTTTACGATATGATATTATATTCATTACATAACTCTGATTAATTAAAAGACTTTTATACAATGATGATATTAAAATATATTGTGATATATATATTATATTTGAATTAGTTTTAAGAGAATTTAATTGACTTTTTAATTCTTAGATAAAAATTTTAACTCATAATTCTTCACATGTTACTGAATTACCTTTTTTATAAAATGCTTACAAGTTTAATTCTATGTAATAAAGAATTAATTATTATAAATTTTGATTAAGCGTTATTTGCAATCTTTTTGATATAATCAACAATTCTAATCCATTAATATATCATTATTATTCAATTTATTATATGTTAAATAATATAATTATATTTATTATTATGAATTATTAAACTGTTTGGGATTAAATTAAGTTTTATGAACCTCATTATAAAGATTTCAATTACCTTGATCTCTAAAAGGTTAATGCCAGATTAGCAATAGCTAATAATTATATTTATTATGGATAATTTGAAAACAATTAAAGACATGGAAAAGGTTAATACAAGAATTCTATAAGATAGGTATACTTTTATAATCAAATGGACGCAAATATGAAGGAGAATGGTAAAATGATCAAAAATAAGGTATTGGATGGGAATTTTTGGCAAATGGGTCTCAATATGAGGGAAATTATATTATGGGGAAACCTCATGGATAAGGCAAATTCACTTGGGCTAATGGAGAAGTTTATGAAGGTTAATGGAACTTAGGAATTAAGGAAGGTCAAGGTATTAATTACAATTTTATTATCATAAGGAATATGGCATGGATTAAAAGGTGAATTATATTAAGGAGAATGGAGCAATAATGTAGCATTTGGATATGGAGAACATATTCTTAGCAATGGAGATCGTTATGTTGGAAATTTCAAAGATTGGCTTAAAAATGGAGAAGGTTAAGAATACTTTAGTAATGGAGACATGTATTAAGGGAACTATTTAAATGGCAAACCACATGGATATGGAGAATATTATTGGAGTAATGGAGCGGTATTTTAAGGTTATTTTAAAGATGGATTGAGATGTGGGAAAGGTATTTGGAAACGAAGAGTAGATTCTCCAACAGATTTATATTAAGGGGATTATGATGAAGATAAGAAAAATGGATATGGAGTATACAAATGGTCTAATGGCAACGAGTATCATGGGACATTTATCAATGATTATAAAAATGGTTATGGAGAAATGCATTATGTTGATGGTAAAGTACTTAAGGGAAATTGGGAATAAGGAAAATTAGTAAATGAAATTAAATAAAATTCACCTAAAAAACCATAACATTCATTTGATAATCATATAAAGATAGTTGATAATAGTAATAATTTCAATAAAAATTGTTAAAATAAGAATAAAAACATTGATATTTAATATGATAATGAAATATAGAATAATGTTTAGAATGAATTTGATAATGAGATGTAAAGTAATTAATACATAGATGCATCAATTAGTAATAAAAACATTCATAAAAATAATAATAATCCTGTTTCATCTTAAACACATAGAACCACAAAAACAATTCGAATAAGATAATATTAAAAAGACAAATCCTTTAGTATGAGTCAATAGAATTCATAATATGGACCTTCTAGTCCAAAGAGAGATATTTCAGAAAGAAATGAAAAATAAAAAACACAAACTAAATTTTGCATTAAAACTTCAGATAATTTCTATCTACATATAAGAAGACCAAAATAACACTCTTAATACTATAATTGATTGTACTTACTATTCATTTTTATATACATAAGTATATAATATGTCTAAAATAATAAATAAAAATATTTGGATATGTAGTTGTTAAGAGTTTTTCTTATCCGACACGGACAATCTATGTATCAAAGTCTAAAAATTGTTTCAGGCAAGAATGAATTTGGTTTGAGTGGATTAGGCATAGTCTAATCTAAAAGAGCTGGCACTCTATTACAATCTGTAAAATTTGATTAAGTCTACACTAGTGATTATAAGAGGTATTATAATAAATAGATTAAAGATGTATAGAATCTTATTCTCATATTGAGAGTCAGTTGAATTAAAAACCAAGAGTCATTACATATACACCATTATTAAGGGAAGTTGATTAAGGGGAGGAAATATTAAAGTCTTATTAGGATGTTTATGTCTTAGCTAAACCTAAATATTCCCCAATTTTAAATGTTGAAATCTAAGAAAGAGTAGAAACCTTTGTTAATCAACTGATTAGAGATTAAATATACAAAAAATCTTATAAATTTGTAATTAATTATATAACATTAGTTTTCATATAGAGATTAATTAGGATCATAAATCGATATAAATAACTTATACCACCCTTCAGTTTAATAGTTTAGCTCTTATTCAAAGGGATCAAGGATGATTAATGTATTGGTTTTAAGTCATGCTGGATTTATAGCAGAAACTCTAAGATATCTATATTAAAGGCATAATTCTCTTTAATTTAATATTGAATACCCATGTATATATGCTAGAAATGGAGCTATATTTTAATTAGACTTCTAAATAAATGATTTAGAAAATTGGAATTGCAATGTATCAATGATGAACTCAAAAAGAAAAATAAATACTCCTTTTGATTCCATTAATTGAATATTTATAAATCTAAATCAATATTTTAGTTATGTTTAGTAGTTGCATAATATAATTTCAATTTTTTAATGATTATTCAATATTTAATTATTATTGAAAATTTATTTATCATAAATTTATTATTCTGAAGACATGAAAAATAATTCAGTAATCACTAAAAATCTATAGATATTTGATTTTAATTAAGAGAATGGAATAAATAATTATATTGTTTAAATAATAATAAAAGAAATTTATTTAAATAAGTGATTTTTATCAAAAAAGTATTTTTAATAATTCGAATTCTCCAAAAAAATTTAAATTATTAAGTTCTTAACTTCCATAGACACTCCATGAACCAACAAATTTATTACCCTCATTGTTGTATTTTCCTTTAAATTATTGTAGTAAATATAAATGATCACTCGTATCGTTCTTTTCTAATAATTCACAATCAAGGCTTGTTCTCAAATAAATTTATATATCTGATTCTGAGTTTGTAAATATATGTCCTTCAGCTGACCAAGGATAATGATCTTAATCCAATTTAATTTAAAGCTCAAGTTTATTATGAGATATAAAAATTGGCTAGAATCTTAGTATTTTTTGAGTAGATTAATTCTTAAAATTGAAGCTAGTTAACTTCCATAAAGAATATTAAAACTAAACTTAGATACTATTTAGTATTTTTATGTTGGATTATAGTGAATGAGGTGTTTCTTATAATAATTTCTATTTAATTTCTTTTTTAACTTTCTTTCTTCTGCTAACTTCTATGATTGTTCCACAAACACATATGAGCAAAAAGAGACAAATTATTAGTATAATTACAAGATAGCCGTCATTATAATCTTAATTCTATTCTTATGTCATGAGTTATTTATTATTAGAAGTCTAGTCAACGTCTTTTTCTGACAGAAATCTAATATTGTTAGAACCATATATTTCCTCTTTTTTATTTTAAACAATTAGTTAAACTAGTTCATGTAACATCTTATAAGATTAAATCTTTATTATTGTAATAATTCATAATTTCTTTTGAATGAGTATAATTATATATTAAAAATTAGATATATTTAATATCATCATCTAACAATTAATTTAAATATTTTAAAAATCAAAATATATTTATTATAATAAAAGAAAGATCTAACCAAGATACAACATATTAATTTAAATTGACATTTATACTCTTTTATAACAAATACCCATATTTCAACTTAATTCTTTTTCTACTTCTGCTAAGTCTTTGGGCATTTCATCAATTTTAGTGTTGTAATATTTTTCAACTTCTAACAAGAGATTAGCTTCTTATTGTGCTACCATATTAATGGCAACTCCCTTTCTACCATATCTACCAGCTCTTCCAACTCTAAAATAATAGATTTCAATATTATTACCTATGGATATATTGTTCCTTTAATCTTGGGAATTCATAATTGATGACTAATGATAATTATTGTACATCAATTCCTCTACCCATAAGATCTGTTGAAACAAGTATTCTGNAAATAAGTGATTTTTATCAAAAAAGTATTTTTAATAATTCGAATTCTCCAAAAAAATTTAAATTATTAAGTTCTTAACTTCCATAGACACTCCATGAACCAACAAATTTATTACCCTCATTGTTGTATTTTCCTTTAAATTATTGTAGTAAATATAAATGATCACTCGTATCGTTCTTTTCTAATAATTCACAATCAAGGCTTGTTCTCAAATAAATTTATATATCTGATTCTGAGTTTGTAAATATATGTCCTTCAGCTGACCAAGGATAATGATCTTAATCCAATTTAATTTAAAGCTCAAGTTTATTATGAGATATAAAAATTGGCTAGAATCTTAGTATTTTTTGAGTAGATTAATTCTTAAAATTGAAGCTAGTTAACTTCCATAAAGAATATTAAAACTAAACTTAGATACTATTTAGTATTTTTATGTTGGATTATAGTGAATGAGGTGTTTCTTATAATAATTTCTATTTAATTTCTTTTTTAACTTTCTTTCTTCTGCTAACTTCTATGATTGTTCCACAAACACATATGAGCAAAAAGAGACAAATTATTAGTATAATTACAAGATAGCCGTCATTATAATCTTAATTCTATTCTTATGTCATGAGTTATTTATTATTAGAAGTCTAGTCAACGTCTTTTTCTGACAGAAATCTAATATTGTTAGAACCATATATTTCCTCTTTTTTATTTTAAACAATTAGTTAAACTAGTTCATGTAACATCTTATAAGATTAAATCTTTATTATTGTAATAATTCATAATTTCTTTTGAATGAGTATAATTATATATTAAAAATTAGATATATTTAATATCATCATCTAACAATTAATTTAAATATTTTAAAAATCAAAATATATTTATTATAATAAAAGAAAGATCTAACCAAGATACAACATATTAATTTAAATTGACATTTATACTCTTTTATAACAAATACCCATATTTCAACTTAATTCTTTTTCTACTTCTGCTAAGTCTTTGGGCATTTCATCAATTTTAGTGTTGTAATATTTTTCAACTTCTAACAAGAGATTAGCTTCTTATTGTGCTACCATATTAATGGCAACTCCCTTTCTACCATATCTACCAGCTCTTCCAACTCTAAAATAATAGATTTCAATATTATTACCTATGGATATATTGTTCCTTTAATCTTGGGAATTCATAATTGATGACTAATGATAATTATTGTACATCAATTCCTCTACCCATAAGATCTGTTGAAACAAGTATTCTGGCAGCTCCTTTTTTGAATTCTTGCATAACCTAAATTATATATATTTTATTTACTTATTCTCTTTCTTTTTATTCCATTTGACTATGTATTTTACTTACAGTAAAACCTTCAGTAGTCAATTTATCATACAAATCATCAACGGTTTTTTTGGAATTGCAAAATAATATTGATTAAGAAACTGTTAAATTTTTATACAATTCAACTAAAACTTTGAATTTTTGATCTTCTTGTTGGATTGCAATGTAGAATTATCTAATACCCTCTAATGTCAATTATTCTTTTTTAACCAAAATCTTAGCTGTTCCTTCTCTCAAAAACTATTTACTTAATTCAATAATTTCTTATGGGAATGTAGCACTAAATAATGCTAACATAAACTTTAAATTTCAGAAATACCAATTTAAATATCTCCTGGTACCATTTTTAGGATTTCTGCGAAGTTATCACTAAATCCTTAGTCTAACATTTAATCAGCTTCATCTACAACAAGCAATCTCATAAATGTAGCATCCAAATATTTATTTTTCATCATATCAATCAATCTTCCTGGAGTAGCAATAATGATGTGCACTCCTTATTTGCATTTTTCTCTGGTCTCCTGGGTTGAGGTACCACCAATGCAACAGAAAGCTTCAATGTTCAAGTATTGACCTATTCCTTTAACCACATCATAAATTTGTTTAGCCAATTCTCTAACTGGAGCTAAAATGATGACTTAAGTCTTTCTTTGGTTTGGATCGATTCTCTATAAAGCACCAATAGTGAATGTACCAGTTTTACCAGTTCCTATGTTAAATTTTTAAATGATAAATACATACCTGATTATGCTTGTGCCAAGACATCTTTTCCTAAAATGATTGGTTTGATGGCTTTTTGTTAGATAGCTGATGGTCTTTCAAAACCATATGAAAAGACTCCTCTAAGTAAATCTTTGCTCAATGTTAATTCTTCAAATGTTTCGACTTGCTTAAAAAAATAGTTTATTCGATTACCTCTATCCAATTTTCTTGTAAATCTTGTGTTTGTTGATCCATAATGATTCTAATAAAATATTTTATTTTCTTACTTTAGACAATGTTCTTTTTATTTTAAATAAAAGATTTAAATTGTCCCCTATATAACAATGAAATTTAATAATTCCCAAACTAATTATAATACAAACTAATAAAACAATTTTAAATTACTTTAAGACTTATTATCAACAAATGTGTGTAAAATCTAATTGATTGATTATTCTTATATATGTTTTTTACTCTCTAATTAATTTAGAATCATTAAATATAATCATATTCTTTTATTTAAATAATAAACTCTTTGAATTTATATACTCAAACATATAATATAATATATTATATATGATCTATTCACAAAAAGACAGAAAGATTAATAATTTTTTGAATTTTCAGAAATAAGAATATCTTATTAAGATATAAACATAAAAAGTAATAAATAGAAATAAAATAAGTTCTTATTGATATTTTTTTAGGTAATTATTGTATATAAACAAATTAGAATGGTGGAATCTATATAAATGATTATAGTTGATATTATAATTCAATATATGTATAATAACAATTATTTTATTTAAATTTTCATATTACATCATTTAATTATTCTTTAAGAATTTAGATTTAAAAATTAAAAATCAAGAATTTCTTTCTTTAAGTTAAATGGAAATAGTTTTATAGATTACAAGTTCTTCTATTATAGATATAAAAAACATTTTAGTATATAATTGTAATTAAAATCGACATAATTTGGTTTACCATATTTTATTAGAAACTAAATTATGTTCATTTTATTATTGATTAATAAATATAACAACAGAAAAAAAACTAATAAATTAAAAGAACAAAGAATTTGATAATGATTTAAATAGTTGAAGAGAGGAGTGGTATTCAATCTATTAATTTTAGAGGGATAATAATAATAATAATATGAAATAGATGGAGTTTCAGAAAGAATATGGGAAGAAGGTAATAAAGCTTTTAATTTTTAGCTGCTAATTAATATAGATAAGAAATATAGGTATCTAATACAAAATATAGTAAATCTAGTAATTACAACTCTAATTGTGGTAGAATAGTGTTGATAAAATGTTTTAAAAGTCAAATGGAGTTCCGAAGAAATATTTACAAAAATTAAAAATGATGAAAATGGGAAAATCAAACAGATAATGTAGTATATGCTGCAATTAATTCTAAAAAGGTATATACTTTTTATTTAAATAGATGAACTAATTATACAGCTGCCTTGTAAACATATATATCATAAATCTTGTGTTGACTCTTGGCTTCAAAGTAGTACGAAATGTCCAAATTGTCGATCAGACGTTTTAGAGGCCTTAAAGATTTAGGAGAAATGATTTACATTTCTATGGAAAAGTTTATATAAAAACAAAAAAATTAATGCATACAAATACTGATTGCTTTAGAAAACTTTACAATATTCACTTTAACTCTATCCTCCAAAATAATTGGAAGCAATAATGCAATTCTATACCTTTACAAAAATTCAAATTATTTTCTTTAAATGAGTTACTTCAAAATATTCAGTTTTTTTATATTATTTAATTTGGAGGGTGGATCTAAATATATTAATAAATCGTTATTCTTTTATAATCCAATTTAAATATTTGTTATAAATCTAAATACATTTAATATCCACTATTAAAAATTATCTTGAGATATTTCAATATTTTAAAAATATATGTGAATTAATATTAATCTAAATTAATACATAGGATTATTCATTAGAATTATTTAACTATAATAGATAAACAAAGATCCATTATGTATCTGAAATTAGTATTAATTTTAAATTATTTCATTCTATATTTGCATTTCAATTTTATTAAGATAAGTAATCATTAATTTTGAAATATTATTAACAATAATTATATAGTTACCTTAATTACTTATAGTTCTAATAAGTTTCTCTACAAATGAAAGATTGTTATTAATAATAATAAAATGTTCTTAAAAGACTTAATAATATAGAAAATAAGATGATTATGAATACTTATATTACCTAAATATGTTGCAATACCAATATTTTAAATTCTCTTCAAGTAATTTTATGTAAATGAGTAAAATTGAAATTCAATTCATTTTATAAACACAGGAATATTAAATACATATATTAATAAATTAATTCTACAATGAATTTTAGTATTTATTTAATTATCTGCTAATTTTAGATCCATAAACATTGAATGTCTATGATCAATCTCATTCTTATAATTTAAATTTGTTCCTACATCTAATTGATTTAATAATAGATCATTTTATAATATATTAAAATAGCATTTACTTGGTTCTAGATCTTTATAGAGGAAGTCTTTTTATGATAAATGATGATAATTGATTGTTATTGTGACAATTGATTTCTGTATAAAGTAAAGTTAAATATTAAATAATTACATAATTTTATTAATATTATCTGTTATGATGAATAATAACAATAAGAAACCCTAATCTTAGAAAGATGTTAGAGCAAAAGTAAATTCTGGGTTAAATCGTAAAAATGATATCCCATAAAAAAGAATTTAATCTGCAATATAGTCGGTATTTGTATTATATTAATTTAGGCTGATAAATTAGTTGATTCAAATGGAACATTGTCAGATCAATTAAATAACATAGTGTAAGATTATCTATTGAGAAATAATTGTTTCAAAACGTTGGAATAATTTAGAGTAGAATCTTAATTTGCAACAGAATAAAGTAATGAAACAGAAAATATTATATTGGGTTATTTTGATAGAGGTGAAAAAGATAAATTTATGGAATCATGGAGTAGATACATTCCAATTCAATAAAGATAAGATCATGAATCTTGGAAGCTAGAATTTTATGTTTAAATATATTTCCTTATATACCCAATTCATCCAGTTTTTATGAAGAAAGGTGTGATTGATAAAAACTCTATTAATCAATTTAAATAATATCTCGATAGTAAAGGAGGTGATTTATCAAAAACAAATGAAGTTTTACCTTTTTATGCTTTACCTTATGTCAAAAATCCAGAAACTCATTAAAGCTTTTCACATCTATTTACTCATGAATGGATTTCTGAATTAAGATTTAGATTGAAAGAATTTATTCAATCTATTTATGGTTAAGATCATAATGGTAGTATTTTAAAAAGATTATATTTATCAAAGGAAGGATCATCAAATATCTAATAATAAGAATTTTAAAAAAAGATTGCAGATAATATAAGATAATTATAATAGGAAAATAATGAATTAAAGAAAAAAAATATTTAATAAGCTTAAGCATTATAAGATATTAATTAAACAGCATAATAAAATTTATTTGAAGCCTAAAAAAAATGGTTTTAATTTACAGGTGAAATGTTAAAAATGGAGAAAGAGATGATCAAATATATAGAAAATAATAAAAAGAATCCAGATTAATTATAATAATTTAAAAAGAAGATTGGTTAATGTGATAAATTTTTAAGTTAAAATATAGATGAATTAGTAAATAAATCATAAGATATATCTTTATTTGATAGAATCACTTAACCTGATCATGATCTATCAGATTTAACTAATTAATAATGTATTTTTTTATTATATAAAATAATAGAAATGATGCCAATTCAATAATCAATTGAAGAATATATTCCATTAAATTATGAGAAGATCATTTAATTATTTACAAAAAATAATAATCCAGTTCTTGTTGCAACAGTTCTATAAGCTTTAAGATGGAGAATTACAAGAGCAAGAAGTGCATTAGAAAGAAGATCTGTAGTTGTTGCATATTAAACACATGATCTTATTGGAACTCATTAAAGAAATATTGCTTTGGCTTAATATTTAATGATGAAATCTCCTTAAATAATTTAATGTTAAACATTAAAATTAATGAATGCATTAGCATCAGATTATGATGGTAGAACATATTTAACAGGTAATTCATAATTAATTAAACTTTTGATTGAATTGATAAAAAAAGATTCAACTGATTCTATCAAAAGAAAGAATGCAATTGGCACTTTATAAAAATTATCTTTGAGAAGATAAAGTTAAATTTGGATGCTTGATAATGACATTATTTAAGTTGCCTTAAATATTTTAAAAAGAGTAATAATTAATTATTAAAGTTTAGGAAAAATTTAATTTGAGTGAATACACTTATGAATATATCACAGCTTTGATTATGAATTTATCATTAAGTTCTAGAGGTAGAGATGCTTTATCAATTTATAAAGAATTAGCATTTGAAGTCTTATTCGAATTAATTGAATATCCTAATGATTAAATTAGAACATTTACTAATGGAACATTCTATTCTATGTTTAGTAGAAGAGACCTAAGAGAATATGCTTATTAATTAAATATACCTTAAGAATTACCTAAATTATTATCAATTAGTGATGAAAGATTCAAGAAATAAATCTAATATATGATTGAATAGTTAGAAAATGATGATGATGATTATGATCAATCTTAATTAGAAGAAGATAATGATGTAGATGATTTAGAAGATGATGAAGAATGTCCAGTTGATGATGATGATGAAGATGATCTAGAGAATAATGATATGATTGTTGGTGAAGAATTATTAAAGAATGAATTTGCTTTAGATAATGAATAAGCAGAATAATAAAGATTATTGATGGAATCTATTATGCAAAAAGAATTATAATAAAGAAGTGCTTATTAAGAATAATTAAGAGAGTCATAGTTGGAAAAAATGCCTGTTGGATGTAAATATACATATATATATTATCAATAGAAGGACCATTTATAGCTGATAGTCTTATTTTAAATGTGAATAACAATAACAAAATTACAAATGGAAATCCAAAACATCCTCAATAATCAGCATAAGCCTTTGCTCCTAGACCAAAGATTCCTAGAACTCCTCCAGTTCAATAGAATTATTAACATTGATAAATGATTTAATATTCATTAATCATTTACTATAAATATTAAATTATAAATATTTATGAAAGCTGAAGAATAAACAGAAGAGTTAATTCTCTGTCCTTAAGGTTGTGGAAGAAAGTTCAATAAAGATAGTTTACTTAAACATTATAAAGTTTGCAAAGATGTCTTCTAACAAAAACGTAGTGCATTTAATTCTTAATTAAAAAGAGTTGGATTTGATTATTTTATTGAAAATAAGTAAAAGTTACCCCAATTCTCTCCACCTAAAACTATTAAATTAAAAACAGAAATACTCCCTTATAGAAGTCCTTAAGTTTCCTCAAAATATAATTAAATTTTAAATGCAAAAAAATTCTGTAAAGGATGTTTGAGAGAATTTGATTTTAAGATAGCTGATGATCATATTTAAAAATGCGTATAGAAAAACAAATAGAACAATCCATTCACAAAAATTATTTGATTTAAATTTCTTAAAATTATAAAATTAAATTTTGTATTTTACAAAAAATAGATTCATTTCTTAAAGAAATTTAAACTCTTCTAAGCCTTACTTTCAATTTTAGATGGAACTTTGTTTTTTGAACCAGAATAATTTCTATTTGACTCATCTGATTATTCTACTATTACATTTTATTATGTTATGCATCTATCTATATGCTTATTTAATACAGTATTATTCCCTTTACAATCAATTTCCTTATTACAAATAGGACAACGAAATGATTTTGGTTATGCTTATTATTTTTATTAGTATTATTGTTATTATTATTGTGATTAATGACTTTTACTATTAACTCCAGATAGGATTTAATTACTAATACTACTAGCCTCATCATCACTTAATATATCAGGTTTTGATTGATCTTGTTATGGTAATTGTATTTTATTAATAGAATCATTTTCATCAGAAATTTAATGAGATTTTGAACCCTTGATAGATGGTACTAAGTTTTCTTAGCCACTTGATTTATCAATTTATCTTTTGAAATAAGTAGAGATGGATTATTTTTAAATTTATTTTTCATTTGCTAATGAACTCATTTTTAATCCAAGTAATCTTATTGGTTCATCTAATTACATAATCTTAAGTAATTATTTTCCATATATAGCAATTTATTTAGATTGATTTGTATATTAATTAAGTTACAATGATTTACTCCTTATTTCAAATTTAGATGTTTTAATAATCAAAGTAAGATGATTTCCTACTTTTTCTTCTGATTACATTTCTTCTGCTAATATTTCAGCTATATAATCAATTTTATCTTCAAATTCTCTTTAAGTACTTATACTAGAGAAAGTTCTTTAACAACTTATACTATGTTAATCTTCAAATTCTACATGATAGTTTCTTGATACTCCCCAACAAGAATAAAATATATATTCAAAAGTTTTAGGAGTAAAGATAACATAAAGTTCATCAGCTCTGTCTCTGACATCCTTACAAATATTAAAATTTAAACCACTTAATATTTATTCAGTGATATTCCCTATTCCAGGGATCTTTCTTATAGGTAATTTTTCTAAAAAATTAAGAACAGCTAAAGGAGTTTATTCAACAATATGTAATCCATTAGGTTTATTAATTTCAGAAGCAAGTTTAGCAATCATTTTATTAGGACCAACTCCACAACTTGCAGTGAGTTGAGTTGCTAAGAATATATCTTTTCTGATATTTTCACATAGTATTGCTGGATCTTCTTAGGAATTGTTAATATATTCTGTAAGATCTAAATTTGCTTCATCCAACCCCATAGATTCTAGATTTTCATCATACTTCTTGAGGATAGTCATAAAAATCTAATTTAAATCTAATTCAAATACATTTGAAACACTTCTATATTTCTCAAAATGACAAGGAATAAATATGAGATCTGGACATAACTTCTTAGCTACAAAACCTGGCATAGCAGATCTAACACCATATTTTCTAGCAACATAATTTGCTGTAGATATTATACTCTAACCTACAGCAACTGGTTTATCTTTAAGTTCTGGTTTATCTAATAGTTCACAAGCTACATAAAACATATCCATATCAAAATGCGCCCAAATTCTATCTGTGTTAATTTAAAATTCTTTCACTTTATTCTAAATAAATTCTTTTGTTTCTTTCATTTTTAGTTCATTCTTCTTATAATTATCCAATTCCATCTACATCTTATTCACTTTTTAAAGAACTTATTATCTTTTCTCTTATTATCTTTTATAATATTCAGATCCTCTAGTTGCATCATCAATTACTTATTTAACTTAATCTGCTCCTTCAACACCTGCTTTATTGCCATAGTAATGAAAAATGGGTTCATTCATAATAAATAAATATATTCATTATTATTCAACATTCTTTTTTTACTATTTTTCATGATTTAATTAATTAAAATTAATCAGCAATTAATTAAAATCATCTCTTATTATGTCATCTAATATATCTCATCTTAAAAATCAAATAAATTTTAAAGGTATTTCTTCATATTATAATAATATTTAAATTATAAAATCAGCTCCATTTAATTCTTCTTATATAATGTCTTTCTATTATTATCTTTCCCTCTTTATATTTCTCCGACTCTCTATATGCTTTTAATCTAATTGAAGAATCAACACAATCCTTAATACATATTTCCATCCAATCACTTTATTACAGCAATTGCAAATAACATCTTAGACTATATGCTTTCCAGTCTTTAAATCCTTATCTTCAGGTTGTCCAACATGATACTTAATACTTATTATTAATGATAGAGTACCCTTTCTCAAACAGGAATGCTTGTACTATTCCACCCCTAAAATTTTATAATCATTTACTTAATCATACTTTTGATATTCTACTCTTTAAATTTGATATATGTAAGTGAGATTTTTTGCTAACATAAATTCTATTTCCATCCAAATACTCTAAAATTATTTTACCCATCTTTAAACTGATGAATTAAGTTCTTGATTATTTATTAAATTTTTCAATTAAATTATATTGAATTAATACTAAATAACCAAGTAAGCATATTCTAACAAAATTCTAATCATATTTATCCATTTTCTTTTCATTTTTAATCCAAATTATTATAAAGATAAGTATAATAAAATTATTAATTCATATACTTTAAAGATATATTAACAGGTTTTTAATTCTATATATATTATTTAAAAAAGATAGATGAAAGCAGAAAATTAAAAATTTTCTTTAATATTTTAATGTTTAATAAACAAAGTTCAATATTTGAAGCAATGTAACTGAAAGAAATCTGCAAAATATCTAAATTAATATTATTATTATTATATTATTATTTAATTTTAAATTATTTTTATAAGATATCTATAATTTATTAGATAAACTTAAATATTATGAATTAGTTTATTATAATGAATAGCATTTCATTTGATTGATTTTCATTGTATTAATTAAAAATAATTTATCAAAATGTTATTCAAATTGTTTATAAAACTGAAGAAATGAATTTATCTTACTTTATCCTTTTTTTTCAAATCTTGTTAATATTAATACCTTGATATAGTTTTCAAATATCAGAGAATATTTAGAACTTTAACATCAATTTTTGGGTTATAAAAAATTTTGAATTTTTCAAAGATTATGAGGAATACTCTTTTATTACCTTATTGACAAGTGTTATATTTATTAATAAGAAATGAAAGTAAATATCATATATAGGTATTTGATTCTCCATTTTTCTTTAAATATTTAATAAACTTAAAAACTAATTTTATGGCTAATAAACCATTATTCATTGTAATTATTAAATAACCATATGGTTTCTAACATTATTTTATATAAAATAGATTTTTACTGTGAAATTTAAGTTTTATTTGTGCTATTATAATAATTGATATTAAGATTGTCTGATTCGTAAAACAATATAGTATTTCTTTACTTTCTCAATAGAGTGAAGCTATAAATCTTTAAAGAATTAATACGAATCAAAAGAATGAGTTTAATAAACATCTAATACAAAATATATATATATCAAAATATCTTGAAGTTTCATATCCCTGGAGTAAGTTAATTACTTCTTCTTTTCATGATGTTGCTTTTTGAAGCAGGTACAAGAATTGGAACTTAGACAAGCTTTCCAAGTGTTGGATTATAAACTTCTAAACTTTATTTTTAATCAGGGGAAACTAAAAAAAATCAAAAAAGAAGATATTACAAGTATTTGCATTTGTCGAATAACGCTTGCTGATTATATCAATTTATTTCTGTTTTTATAATGAACATCCCATTTTATTTAAGTTTTTAATTAATTTATATGGGAATTAAGTGAATAAGTGATAGTAAGTAAATATCCATTTAAATCAATTTCAGTACTTTAATCAGTACATATTTTAAAACATAAAATAATTACAATCACTATTCTTCATCATTATCATCTGGATATTGTTCTTCATCTTAAAATTCATCTTCATTATATTAATTTTATTCTTAATTTTCATTTTGTTATTTATCTTAATCTTATTATGGAGTTTAATTATCATTATCATTTTCATAATCATTATCATCTTAATAATTATTAGAATTCTCTTATTCATAATCATCTTTTTATTGATTTTCTTTATTATCTTCTTCCATTTTTTACTTATCTTAAGAATTAGATTTATTATCAGATTATTAATTTTATTTTCTATCCTAATCTACAATTAAATTATGTGAACTTTTTCTTTAAGTATTCAAATTAGTATTTTGTTTTTTAATAGGTTAGAATTTATTTTATTTGGTTTTACTTGTTTCAGTTTCAAATTTAGATGAATTCTCTTTCTTATGTGTTCTATCTGAAAGTTAAGTATTGAAATGAGTTTAATTATTTTTCTTATTTAATCTTTCAGTTGTTTATTATTGATCTTTGAAAGAAGGTTTCAATAATTTTTATAACAAATTCAATTTTTCTATATTTCTAATTTATTAAACAAAAAAGAATACTTTTAATTTAATATTGATGGTATCTAAGCATAAGGACTAGTCAAAATAACATTTTTTATTTTAGATTAATCAAAAGGCTATTTAATAAAACCTTGATTTGTTGTTGAATTAGTATAATCTCTTATGGATATCTTTTATGCCAAATCAAGATCATCTTTAAGTGCTTAATATCTAAATTAAGAGAATGATAATTTTCTATATTCAAATTAATATTTACTTAATTAACTATTATTCTTCTTCAATTTTTAACTAATACTCTTATTATTATTAATCAAATTTAGCTGAAAGTTCTGCTTTCTTTTTTATTTAAGAATTTCTAACATTTTCTATTTTTTCTATTCTTTACATATCTAATTTTTATTTCATTCTAAATTTCTATTCTTAAATCTATGAGACTAAGCATGGCTTAAATTTACCTTTTAGAATTGCTACTATTTAAGTTACAGCTCTTCATTTTAACTATGTTTATATTGCAATTGATAGAGCATTTATCTTTCTTTCATTACTTCTTATTCAAGTCTTTTTTCTTCATCTAAATCTCTTTTTCTTCTTAAAGCATCTTCCTCTTGTAATTGTTTCAATAACTTAATTTTATTGTTTCTGTTTTCTTATTCTTAATTCAGATTTTCAATTCTTCTACTAGACTAAAATAATATAATCCAGATAATACATCTGATTAATCTTTAAATGCATTCTTTTTAGTTTCTAAAATTTTATTAACCTTGAATTCAATAATATGATTGTTAGATTCTTACAATTATAATTATTATTTTAATTATGAAATTCTAGAATCAATCAACCCTAATTCCTATTATTTCTGAATTAGAGATCTTGTCTATTATGATATTGATTTCATTGAAATAAAAAATATATTAATAATTATTATATTATCAATTTAATAAATTTAGATTATCTACATTTTTACACACACAAGAGATATCAATATTATTTTATAATAATTTCAATTAATTATTCCCTTATTTTTTTTAATATTGGTCAATCTTTTTATACACTCATATTAATTTTTGAAACTTTTTGTAATTATTTAAATCTTTTGTAATTTATATCAACTTGAAAAATGTCATTTAATTTCTCTAAAATTATTATTAAAAATGATGTTTAACTATTTAATACTTTAAATTTTATTATTCATCTTTTAAATATTTAATTATATCAAACCCATAAAATATCATTTTTATTAAAACTATATAAGTAAATTTCTAACTTTACTTAATTCACTTACCTGGCGAGCACTGCTGATGATCATGCAGATTAGCAGTGTGGGGTTAAGCTGGCCATCGCACAACCGGCGTCAGTGAGGCTCCAAAACTTTCCGTTTGGAAAGGCTTTATCGCTCAATTTCTGCTAGTGAGGGGAAACCCTCGCACCCTCTTTTTTTAATTAAACAAACGAAATTATATATATAGATATATGTTAAACTAATGAAGAATAAATAGTTGAATTTATCTTAGAGTTCATATTATTTAATAGATTAAATATTTTCATATTTTGATTATGTTTCTTAATATAAATCTTAGTACTTAAAAAAAATAATGCTATATAGAGTAAACTTTTTTTAAATTGAAATATATGCCTTCAACTGAAATATAATTATTTATTTAATTTAAATGAACCATTAAAATATGATTAATGAAATTGAACAATGCTTTTCATCTTAAGAAGCTTATGCAAAAATAAAAAAGTATAAAGATACTTTCCGTGAATAACAAAGGTTTTGTTTATTTTTATTTTAGTTAAATGTCTCCAATTATTTGTGAGGCAATTTGTGCAACAATGACTGAAGGCACTCCAATGAGTAAATTATTAGCCTTGAGAGTAAAATATTATCATCTAATTCTAGCTATGTAAGGAATTGATGGACTTAAAATCAGATCCATTTACCAAATAAGTCAATGATAAAATTCTTTCGAAAATGAAATAAATTGCAATTTTTAGGAAAAATGATCAAAGTGATATCAGAGGTAAGTTTTTATTCTCTGACAATCCATGTATCTATTTATTAATAAGCAAGCCAAGGAAATAGCATCTATTGGAAATAGCTTAATGAAATTATGTCTAGATTGCATTAAAGTTTGGGCTTTTTGGTATCCTTAGAGCAATTTTAAAGTTGTTTATGATGATTTAATTGTCTAAGGTGTCACATTTCCAGCAAAATACACTTACTTTAAAGAATATAATGATAATCCATCATCTTTAAATTAATCACTTATTCTATCATCTCACTCATCTAAGGAGTAACCTTTAAAACAATCTATTCCTAATTAAAAAACACAAATAGATGGATAATAGTTATTATAACAAATTAACTTTGAGATTGAAAATCTAATTAATATAGTAAAAGATTAAGAATCAAATGAAACAGTTAATAATTTAAATCTAATAATAAAACATAATTTAGATCAATGTAATGGATAAATAGAGTAGGTTTTAATACATATTATTGACTCTGGTGAGGAACATTTAATTAATGATTTAATATCCAAATAAGAAATTGTTAGCCAAATTAAACAAGATTATGAAGATTATCTTATAAAAAAACTTGATTGGAGTAAACTTGGTTAGAAATTTAATAGATTTTCTTCATTAACTTAAACTCCTGAACCTAATTAAATAAATATATCTTCATATTAAAAATAGCAACCAAATCAATAATAAGCATAATCTATTTAATAACCTGTTAAATCGAAAGCTGATCAAGTTCTGTCTGTTATCCGAGAAGAAACTATTTAAGATGCTGATCAATTAGAAAAATCAAAACAAAAAGAGTCAGATATTCTTTAGGAGGACAATAAAGTAATATTAATACAGAATATTAGATTTCAATGAAATATTAGTCTCTAGTGTTAAATTAGAATGAAAATATTAAAACAGGTGCTTAAACATTTCAAACAGAATTATATAAAAAAGATAAATTACAATAAGAAAATAAAAAACAGATCTATAAATCTTTATCTGTGGAAGTTAATGATGATATTAATTAGAATGAAATTTAAACTAAAATTACTAAATAAACAGATTATACAAACACTAAATAATCAAAATAGACAATATAAAACCTTACTAAAAATATAGAATAATAGTCTCCAAAAGTTATAGCTAATTAAGAATTAAGTAATACCTAAGCAAACCAAAAATCTTTAAATTCAACAATACTCTATAAAACTATTAATAATTAGATATAAACTAATCAAAAAGATTAAAAATAAAATTAAGAAGATAAGGAACTAAAAAATAAAAAAAATAGTGATAATGATTAAGAAGAACAAAAATCATTAATAAAGAACAACGAAAAGGAAATTAAAATTTAGTAATAATAATAGTAATAATAATAATAATAATAATAATAATAATAACAATAACAATAACAATAACAATAATAATAACAATAATAATAATAATAATAATAGTAATAATAATAATAATAATAACAATAATAATAACAATAATAATAATAATAATAATAATAATAATAATAATAATAACAATAATAATAATAATAATAATAATAATAATAATAATAATAATAATCATAATCATAATAACAATAATAATAATAATAGCAATAATAATAATAATAATAGTAATAATAATAACAGTAATAATAATTATTATTATCATAATAGTAATAATAATCAGAAGATTATTAAAATTCAAAAAAAAATAATTATGATGAAAAAGTTAATCAACTAAAATCTGGATTAAAAATTGAAGGATTTGATTAAATTTATAGTTTTTCTTAAAGATAATAAAACCTCAATGAAAAAAAAAATGGAAATTTAAACCAAATAGATGCTTAAGTTAAATTAGAAGGCTAAATTAATTAAATTTAAGAAACTTATATTAAGTAAAAGCAAATATAAAATTTTAAGTAAGACTAAGCAAATAATAGTTCAAGAATTTCTTAACCTTCCTTAAGTTTAAGTTAAGTATCCTAAAGAAAGTTAGAATAATCTTAACAATAACATAGAAGCTCTTCATAAAAGCGAGAAAATTATCATGTAAATGACAAAATAGAAATAGAACTTTTAAAAGAAGAAAATCAAAGATTAAAATAATAAGTTACTTAGATTATAGAAAAATATGAAATCAAATAATAATAATATTCTTAAGAATTATAAGATAAAATTAATGAGATTTCTAATTTAAAATAGATTGTATATGAAAAGAATGATAAAGTTGATAGTAACAATTAATTGCTAAAATAATTCTAAGAATATTAAAAACTTTAATTAGATTACTAAACTCTTGACTACAAACATAATTAATTATAAAAACAATATGATAATCTATATTAATAGCATGAACAGATTTTGAATGAAATGTAATTAAAATCAAAATAGATTGCCTTATAAAGTAAAGAAATCTATGATTTAAAATAAAATAAGTAATAAGAATTTGAAATTAAGAAGAGAAGTGAATCAGTAGGTTAATACTCAAAAACAGCTTAGCAATTTCATCCATATAATTCGAACTTAAAATAAAGTTTGTATGATTAACCTATTTTGACAGAAAGTTAAAAAAGAATTATTTTTCCATTCACAAATCCATTTGAATATTATAGAGATCGTTTAAAAAATAATTAAAAAGGCATGATTTCTGCTTCTTATTCTGAATGGTAGAACTTGAATTTAGACAATTAAAATATTGGATATTTAAAATAATCAATTTTATCTAATTAATCCTTACTATTTACATGTAAATAATTGGAAATTGGATGTAAATTAGATAAATTTAATGAAAGAAAAATGATATTACATCTATTTTTTTTAAATTCCAATAAATTATCAGGTTTTAAAATGGATTTAAATTTTTAATTTGTTAATGAAATATCAACTGGAATTTAAAAGAGATAGTCGATTTAATTATATTAAGATTCTTCTGAAGATCAAGTAATTGAATTTAATATTAATTAATTTCCTTTTGGAATTTCTTTTGTAAACATAAAAATTTAAACAACAAAAACAATCAATTACAAATGTTATTTACCGATTTCACTGTTTAGTTGCTTTAAATTTATAAGTTTATCTTTAAAAGAATATTAGATATATTGGCAAACAGTAAAAAATTATGTAATAAGAAGTCAAGAATTTGAATACAATTTCAGTTGGGTGAGCAATGTATTCAGTAAGAATATTTTGGTTTTAGAATTGAATAGTCATAAAAAAAAGGAGTTTTTAGCAGGTATTGATGAAATTAAATATGGATCAATAATATAATGTGATAATTCAAATTATTTAGTAAGATATATATTATAGCCAAATAATAAAATGTTAATTTAGATATGCCAGTTGAATGGAAAATAGAATATATCAGAATAAATCTTAAACATTTTAGTTTTTATACTTTCTGTTTGAAATAGATATCATAAATATTTTTATAAATTATAATTAAAATTTAAATCTAAATTTTTATCTTAAAATTAAAATTTAAGACTATCTAAAAATCAAATCTAAGACTAAGTATGTAATAATCTTGTTTAGATAATTAGTAATAAAATCTCTTCACTTAATAATTAGTCTCATAGTACAATCTTAAAATAATTATAATAAATTAAATAAGTTTAGTAAATAAATTCATTAGGTACAATGAAAAATCATAAATGTATAGATTAATCTTTTTATTTTTAAAGAAGAATTGTAAGTTCAAGAAGTAAATATAAAAAACAAATTTGAATAAGATGATAATTATAAATATTGATTAATGAAGTATGTTAGGTTGAATAATTCATCTATTTTTCCAACAGAGATTGGATTGTTCAGATAATGTAAAAGATTCTAACCCAAAGTAAGCTCACTTCAACCAAATGAAGAGGACGCAATGATGTATTCTAAGCTTTGAAGGTTTGAATTAATTAGAGATAAAGCATTAAAGTATTGTTTTGCTTGCCATTGTAAAATTTATGTTTAACAAGGTAAACATGGAATTCAAAATTTCTAAACTTCTCTTGATAAATAGAGGATTATTTGAGTTTGGCAAATAGTTGGAGAAATGAATGAGAGAAGTTCTGAGAAATTTTAAAGGGTTAAATGAGATGATGGATTTATACATTCCAGTAATTAAGATGAATAAAATATATATGAAAGGCCGAAGAGTTTTATTAGGTTTTATTAATTCAAGTAAATGATTTAAGCTTCCATAATTTTAAATGGGAACAGGAAAAAAGACCATTATTTTGAACTAGCAGATTACTATGAAAAATAAAACCTTTACCTAGTACCTTAATAATTGATATAGGATTATTTGATGAAATAATCCAAAAATAATGAAGAGAACAATTTATAATAGAGCCTAGAATTTAGAGATAAGATATAATAAGAATAGATAAAGAGAAAGGATAAAAGTAAAAATAAAAGGGATTATATTAATTGATTGAATATTTGTCCAAATGATCCCTCAATTAAAATTATACTATAGAGTAGCGATAAATTTTGATCCAAAAACTGATAATAATCGATGAAACTAAATGCTTTCAACTTCAAAAAATATGCAACAATTAAAATCATCTATAGACTAAATAATACCAAATGGAGATTAAAGAGTAAAAAAATAATTTTTATAAATACTAGATTAATTAGTCTGAAAAGTTGTTGATAGGATAAATTGTAAATTTGATGAAACTTTATATGATAAAGATTTGAAATATATATGATTATTAATTCTAATTATATTATTATCATATTATAATGAGAGAAACTGCATTTAGTTCATCTCCATTTGAAAAACCAAATAAATTAACTAGTGGTTTATTTAGAGATTGTTAAAGATTTATTCCTAGACGTAAGTTTACTGAAGAAAATCAAGAAAATGCAACTGTATTTGCCAAATTAAGGAGAGCTGGTTTTGAAAAGAAAAAAGCACTTAAATATTGTTAAGCTTAACATTGCAAATTAGATGCTACATAAAATGATTTTGGACCACCTGGTTACAAAATATTCAAATAAAATTATGATCCAATAAAATAATATAAAGGATGGTAATTAGATGGGAGAATAAAATTAAAAGATTAATGTGAATATGAAAGAATAAGTAAAGATATTAATTTAGGCTTGAGATAACAACCCAATGAAGATTTGTATTAATTGTATAATAGACTAGCTGAGACTCATAGAAATACAGAAGAAAAATGTAATTTCACTGATCTTTCAAGATAAGAGTTAATTATGAAATTAAGATCATTAACAAGAGATGACAACAGAAAATATAATACACCAATATATTAATTAAGAAGACATAATGAAATTTATTATGAATTAGCAGATTATTTTGAAAAATAATAGCCTCCTTAAATTAAATCTTTAGTTACAGAATTAGAAGCTTTTGATGATATTGTTCCTAGAAAATAATTAAAGTAATTTTATTTAGAGTAAAAATCTACTGGAAATAAAAAAAAGAACTTAAATCAAGAAATTAGTGAAAAAATGTAAAGGCGTTCAAGGATTCTAATGGAGTTGACAGCCTTATTCTCTCCTGTAAAATCTGATAGTTTGGTATCAAATTATATAAATAATATAAGAATAGAAGATCTTTCTTTACAAAATAGGATTAAATGTGGTAAGTATAGAATGATTCAGCTATAACAAGTCTATTAGATATGGATGAAAGTAATGTTGGTAGAAATGCTGAAAGAAATAGTATTTTCTTTTATCGCTTTGCCAAAGTTAAATAATCAGAGGAATAAGAAAGAATTAATCAATTTTAAGATTCATTAAATAAAGTAATTAAAAAAAATATTGAAAACATAAATTACTCAAAAAAAAAAAATTAATTCTTCGATTGACTTTTATAAATATCATTTTTATATTCTAATTAAATTTCAATCATATGTATATTTATCATTACTTTCTAAATTAAAATTTATATATAATCAAATATTATTATTAATGAATAAATATAGGGTAAGTACTCATCCTTTAATAAATTAATTTTAATGGAAAATATCAAAAAGGCTTGAATAAAATATAGACTTATCCAAATATTCAACCTAATTTTGTACATTATTGAGATGTAATAATGAAGAGTTAGATTTCAAAATTCCTTAAATTATTGGAATTATTAAATTGGGCTAAATATCTCGTCTAGCATTTTTGGAATTTAAACTTCTTATTTAATAATCCCTAATTGAAGCTTAAATAAATGGATAATTTTAAAATGATCTTGATTTCGTTCGAGATATCATTATTTTTATTGAATTGAATTATTTGTAATCTGAAGATGAGAAATTCTTGCCAGATTCTATGCCATCTTCACTTTCTCCTTTAAAAGCAAAATTAATGACAACTAAAACTTCAATGCGAAAGGATGGTTGGAAAAAGATTAACATATGATCTCTCTTATATTCTGAGTATTGATTATTATATCAATTAAAAAAATTAATAGGCAATATTAAATATTTTCTATATGTTTTTCAACATATATTTTAATTTTTTATTGTTTTTAGCAACAATAATTCATGTTATTAATTTATTAACTGCTTATGCTAAATTTAGAATCTATTTATTTTAACTAATGAAAATTTATTTATTTTTAGATACATTGAATAAATAATGATTTTATGATATCCTTAAATTATTTTCAGAATCAAAACTACAATCTATAAGTTGATTTTGATATAAATAATTTGGATTTGTAATTTAAAGGATAACTCAATTTATTCTCTCACAATAATTAGTTACCCTCTGTCTTTGATTTTGATATGAAAATTACATATATTTTACTGTAGGTCAAAAATAAAATATACTTAAACAATTTATATATATTTTACATTCTATATTAAAACAATAATTCTATAAATTAGGAGTTAGAATTCAGAATTAGAATACAAAAAGTCATTAATTAAATAAATGGGAGGAGCCTAATCTAATAATTAAAGATCATTGCTTAATTGTTTAAAATTTCTAATAGAGGACATAGAATTATAAGCAGATGTGAAAATGCTGAACTATTTAAGATAAATTTTCATAAAGTTTCCATTTAACTTTGAAAAAAACAGGTAATTATATTTACAATAATTTATAGAAAGAAAGTGATAAATATTCTTAGTAAATCTATTCCATTATAAATTACATAATTTGAAGACGTTTTACTCAATTACTTAAGTTCAGGTTTTTAATGTTAATTAATTGCTAAAAAATCTGATAATAGATATAATTAAATAGAAATTTAGAAAATAGATTCAGAATTTGTCAGGAATTTTAGATTAATGAATTTTGATAATTTGAAATCAAATTATGAAGGTGAATATGAAAATTCATTAATATTGCTATTTTAAGGACTTAAAAGTTATTGCAATTTAGCAAATTAAATTATTAGAGAACTCAAAAATAATATTTTAGTTTAAAGTTAGGTTTATACATTGATTTGGGAACACTTTTAAAATCATTTGATTAAATTTTCTAAGGATCCATGTTTTGATTTAAATCCAATCAATAAATATTTTGATGAAAAATTCTATAAATTATCTCCAGAATTAAAAATTGAAATAATTGGAGGTAAATTATGGGGATGCATGGTTTAATAATTAAATATTGATTTTATACTTGATGAATTTAAAATTGCAAGAAGATCTAATAATTAATTAGATATTTAATTTCATAAATTATTTAATGCAATAATTGATATAAATATTGATGTTGCTAATTTATAATGGATTGGTAGAAGTGACTTTTAATTTTCAGATTAACTTAAAGATATTATTTAAATTATTCAAAAAGATTCATAGGATTTAATGAATAATCTATATTTTGAATCAAAAGGTGATTTGTTAGTGTTTATTGAAAAATGGGAAAAAGATAACAATTTTCTTAAATCTTCAATACCATTGTGGATTTGTGAAAATTATTTTGATTGTTTATTCTTTGAATATTGTGAAGAAAAAATAAAAGAAAATTTTAAATTGCTTTCATAAGTAGAATTAAACAAACTTATTGAATAATACTAAAATTAAGAATCTAAATAAAATGCAATGTGCATTGAGTAAGATTTTTAATACTAATTTAATTCAAAATTATTTTAATTTGATGATTTCTTATAATAAAATTCAGAATAAATCTTACTTAAAATGATAAAATTATTGAAAGAATAAAAATAATTAAGTAGTATAATGTTAATAAGTGAAAGTACATAATAAGGAGGAAGTGCTGCAATTAATTATCAAGATATTTCTAATTCCTTATTTGAAGAAAATTAAAAATAAGAATAAATAAATATTCAAGTTTAGAGTATTATTTCATCTTAACCTCCACTATCAAAGATTCTAATAGAATAAGAAGATGAAATATTAAGAATATGCAAAAAATATGATTATATCAAGAACATTATTTTATCAAGCATATAATAAAGAGATAATAATATAATGTTTAAAAACAGAGCATTAAATTCTATTCCAAAGGAATTACTTGACTTTTTTAGTTTCAATAAACCAATAAATGAAAATTATACTATAGAAATCATCAATTATCTCTCTAAATTAAAATTAAAAGAAAAATCATTCGAAAGTAGTTCAGTAAATAGCAATTTAGAATTTTTTAAAGGATCTATGGCAGCAGAGTTACTGTTTTTTGACAAATGAAAATATAATTTGTTTATAATACTTTTTAACAATAATTTCTATAGATTTTATGAAAAAAGAATTTTAAATATATTTAAATCATATATATTATCTTATAAAATTGTTGTAACCATATATTCTTTCATAAACTTTATTTAATTAAACAATTCTCTGAAATTAAAGAAAAATATTAATTTTATTATTAAAGAATTAAAATGAAACAGAACTAATAAATCTAATAAAAACAAAAGATAAGTCAGGCTTTTATGAATTAGTATCTAAAAGAGAAAACAGAACTTGAAAATTCTATAAATTAGGTTTAAAAAATTATGAATGCAAAATTTGAATAAAAATTAAATCCCAAAAGCATTCTTACATCATATTTATAAACTTTATCCCATATAAATGAATATAGATATATGGGAATAACAGTAAATATAGAAGAAGACATAAAGTTATTTTTATAAAGCCTTCCATCATATACCTTTTTCCCTTAAAAAATTTGGGATTTTTCTTTTACAAGTAAAATAAAGTATTAAATTAGAATAATTTCAATAAAAATTGTTATCTCTGAAAGATGATGAATTTATTAAAGTAGTTGTTTTAATTAAGATCTTAGTTTAAGGAAAATTTAATTAATATTAATGGGTTAACGTAAATCAGATATAAGTTGGTAGTATAAAATTTCCATTTTAATATGATTTTTAATTATAGTTGGCTGTTGATGGTAGGACTACTATGTTTTTTTAAGTTTTTCCTAAGAAATATCCTGTTATGAATGGTTCAGAACATCCAATTTAATTTGATTATGTACATGAATTGATATTTGTTGAGTTGAATGAAGGTACATACCATAAAAATCCATAACCATATGAAAAATATCTTAAAACATAATAAAGTATACCAAACTTTTTTACAGATATGAAATATATTTAAGAATTTAGTGATAAAAAAAAAGTGAAATATTTAAGAGTTGGAGAAATAAATGAAAATTAATTTTTATTGATTGGACCTCGAATCTTTAAACCATTATTATGTTAAGGGAATTAATATGTATATAATAATAAACTAAATTTATGGATGACAATAGAAGACGAAGAAAAATATTATAAAAAATTAAAATAAATATAAGAAATAAGATAAAATAATTAGATAATAAAAAAATATTGTTATTTACCATCATCATAATAATTATTAACAATAATAAAAAATATTCCTAATTTTAGAGTAAAACTAACTTAAGAATAACAAAATGTTATTTCATATGGAGGAGATGCTTTGGTAATTGGTAGAAGTGGAACAGGTAAAACTACATGTGCACTTTTAAAATTATTTTCAACTGATATATTATATAAATTGAGAATCAAATTAAATTAAATAAAATATTCATCAAATGATATCAATTTATCATAATAAGATTAAAATTCATAATTAAAAACAATATTTGTAACTGCAAGTCCATTATTAGCTTGTCAAGTTAAAAGATTATATGATTAATTAGTCAATAATATCTAAAATGTTATTAATACTAAAAGATAAAGAGTAAAATAGGAGTAATAAGAGAATATTTAAACTTAAAATATTGATTTAGAATAGAGTACTTTTTAAATAATAGAAGCATTATAATAAAATGATAAAGATAATGATAATGATGATAATAATAATTAATAAGAATTTTAGAATGATTATGAAATAGAAGATGAAGATATTAATGAATTTGAAAAAGAAATGGGAAAATTTAATAAATTTAGTGAAATATAATAATTTCCTGTTTTCTTAACTTTGCGTAAATTATTGGCACTTATTGATTCTTCACTTATCCATTCATTTTTTAAAGTATATGGAGGATATTAAAATAAATTATCATAATGGCATAATGAATCAGCTGGTCTTATGACACTAGATAAAAATTAAACTGTTTAACCATTTAATGAAGAATTACTTCATAAACATATTAGTTTAATTGACAATTAAGAATTTATAGAAACAAATTTGTAAGAAGTTACATTAGAGATTTTTGAAAGAGTATTTTGGCCTAAGATTGTTAAAGATTTGAAATAGGAATATTATGATGTTTCAACTTTTGATCCAACTTTGGTTTGGAGTGAAATTTGCACAAAAATTAAAGGTCATGAAACTTCACATGAATATCCTGATAAATATATGAATTTTGAGAATTATGTTTATTATCATAGAATTTTATCAGAAGTATAAACAAAATTACTATATAA